TCACACAATTTATGATGATTAACTGACGATACATAAAATACTGTCTCTATACGATACTAATCTATACAAAAATCCAAAGGATGTTAACGTTTTCAAACATTGCATAGACTTTCAATCAAGTTTTTAACGTAGTGAATGATGTTTTATACATTCTACAGAAATGCTGAGTACGAGTGATGATAACGTATTGACAGTTCCAAGAAGTAACCGTTCTAACAGTTCTAAGAAGCTAATCTACTTTTATTGATAACAATAAAGACATTCTAATTATATTACTCCAACTCTAATAACATTAACATGATATTGCGTCATGTATTACGCTGTCTCGTTTATGTAGTGAGCTGTATATTAATTGGCCCACATTGTAGGTAGATGTATGGAGAAGACATGCTAGTAATAGCACATTGAATATATCTGAGCAATTTTTGTCGATCTTTTTTGTTACATCGAGGAGTGATCATACCGGCTATACAAATGCAGATACAGATACCCACTTTATTAGATCAATAACACAAAATTGTGTAGGTCATAAACTACATAGAGTCGATATTGGTCATCGGGCAATTTATTTATGTTCTTATTGTATGTAACTCGCCCTACATAATATTTATTGTTCGAATTAAAATAGATTAAACTTTATTTTCAAATCAACAAGACAAAATTAAACATTAAACATAAACCTGAACATATTATGGAGGTATGAGATCTCCGAAGTCTTGTTGCACTAGATTTGTCCTAAATGTGAAGTACGGCACAGACCCTGATCAGTGCTTCTCTCTTGGGCACTCTTTTATTTGCCTTTCTCCGTGGGTTTGCTGTCGTAGATAAACCCATTAGACATTTACGGGTACGTACCTACATGGATCATACTTAAACCGAAGATTATGGGATATCCCTAGTACCGTCATGACCTGAATGTTTGTGCTATAGCCTGACCATATTGTGAAGTGGCTCAAGTTGCATGTAAATTCTTAAAAGATAGTGATGACAAAGATCATGATAGAAGAAAGACCAGCACTGTACGGAACCCTATCTTAAACCACACATTGTTGTTCGTCCGTGAACAAAACTGCACTACCCAAAACCCATTCATTAATAAGCATATATTAAAGCATACGTAAAGGTACACGCGAGGGAATAAACGGAATTTTTAAGCATGCTTTAAGGTGTGCGTAAAGAATAGACTTTATACAGTGCAGTTTTCTTCGAAAAAGAAAACTGTGTAAAACACCAAGCATAAAGGTTGATGGAATCTTTTCCATTGGCGATTGATGACTTTTAGATCTAGCAAATTTCATACCGCTTTCAAAAGGTCAACATTGAAATCTCTTACGCCAATGTGGATCACAACTGGTTCAACAAAGAGCACGTGTGTTATAGGCTTTACCTGTAGAAATGCCAACATGTCAGAGGTCCCTGACGGATGCACACAAGAAAGGCCGAGGCTTACCGCTAAATAGTCTCTTGTCAGTCGTTGCTAACCTCCATTGATCGCAGCGCTTTGTCTTGATGTCACAATATTCAGTACGTATAGTACAAGTATTAACGATGTGCAAAATTTTGCCAGCAGAGATCTAAAGTGTGTATTCTTGTATATATCTTTTAATTAATATAATCTGAATTTTTGCAATGATGTTGGACAACAATTAAGTTGCTGTGTTAACTTTGTATGCATCAAATTAGAGATACAAACATAGTTTAAATCTTGTATGATTCAGAATATAATAATTTTCACAATTTAAGAAAGGTTCGGGGACCCATACCCCCTTCAAATATGTTAAACTTTTGTAAATTTCTTGTTTTATTCTATCTAAATGATTATACAAATAATGGTATGATAAACATAAGTCCTTTCTTTGGCAGCATTCTACTCTCAAATTTATGAATATTACTTGTACATAATCTACATGATCTATGCAAGAGGATCACAATGATGAAATTTCCATCACTACTTACGAATTATGGTATTTGCGCATCCTTATTTACAAACCAAATCAGAAAATTGCTATTATTACACTCGTACTGGAAATATAGAATCTAGTGTGTACATTTTCGTCTAAACTACCAACCAGAAATTACGGAAGTTTGTGCTGCGTACTCCTTGCTAATGATTGAAAAGTAACAAGTGTGGTTTGCAATGCAACCGTATGCCATATCGCAAAGAAGAGCTGTAGAGGGAGGTCTACAAAAACACGGACATTAAGCGCCTATGGTTACAACTGTCAAAGTGATATGTTGACCTAGACATGGCCTGTCCATCACTGTTTGCACCACAAAGGCCATAGAATGTTAACCCCAACCTGGTGCATTGGGGAATGCATTCGTGCATTTTGTGAGATATTTTCAGATGGAACTCAAACTACTGTAAAAGAAAAAAAACGCACTCGCCTCTGAGGCGTCAGTAACTAATAATGTAGGAAACCCGTCGATAAAGGTTAGACATCCAGGTAATGAGATTATAACAACAAAGAAACTGTTACTCAAGAAACTGGATAAGTTTTGACAACTATCAGACGTACCAGCATCACTGACGAAAAGGATGCTTCTTGAAACGTCTGACAGTTGTCAGAACCTTCCCAGTTGCTTGAGTATCAATTTCCTCGTGTAATGCACAAAATCTAATCATATACAAGCTGTCAACTGGTTTTCAGCGGGCGTTATATTACTTTTCCGAAGAGGGGGTTGAATCTATACCCACTCGGCCGGTGTCATCAGCTAATAACTGTGAGCAGTGATGTATAACTGTTTCCAGTCACGTCCTCCTGTGGCCAAGGTTAGCTGATTTATGAACTTGTTTTAATCTCATTCTCAAAGGACACGTTGCTCTTCAGCATCAACTTTTCTGAAGTATTGTCCATTAGTTATCAGTTTCAGGGTAGTCTTTCTTTTTTTTTCTCTTTTAGAAATATTATGACTCCCAAGTTAATATGTCGGGGTACGCCCATAGTGTTAAATGACGAACATATGCCTCGGATAGCCAAAAGAGGCATTCCGGGGGCTCTGGACGGCAAACCAAATGTTTGTATTTTGTATAGGTTTATGGGTTAAGATCATTGTACCGTAGAAAAAATGATTGAAAGCTCTCTGAAGTATAAGCTGAGCTGCTGTAATAGAAGAGTCACATTGGGTCGGGAGAATTGTACAGTTGGCTTGCTTTCATAACGATCCCAGTGCAGCATCGGCAGTGAGCACTTTATCATGCGTCCCAATGCGTCCTCAGGATCATCGAATCTTCAACTGACAAAACTATAGTCGTCAGGTGAATATTACTTTTATATCTGGGATACATTTCGTGCTGATACCTCGAGTCGCAGGCTCAATCTAGCTGTTCATGTGTGTTAGACAGTATGTCAGCAACCGGTTTTAGGAAAATCCAGTACAGATCCTGTACAGATGGGCTTAGTTTTGAAATTTCCTGTCGTCAGATGTTGTTCTTCAGATACAGGCAGACTTTGGTGGCTCAGTCACTGTCAGCCGTGAACCAATAGCTCAATACATTGCAAGCCAAGGCTGTCTACCAACATACTTTTAACGTAACAAGTTTTATATCCACCGAGTAATAGTATCACTATGACATGAAGATGTGTACTACTTCGTGACAACATGTCCAAATTATAACATCAAGAGTTCCAGATCCTCAAAGATTGCCTTTACACCGGCGTTTCGCATGTATAGAATAGATCGATTTCAACGACTCTTTTGTCACCTTTGGTAATCTCTTCTGCCCTGTTATTTTTATGCTTACTGCATGTCCTTTTGAATTTCAAAATGGCGTAACCGTACGCGTGTCACCCCGTCTTTCACCAACTAACTAACCAAGCAACCAACCAACCAATCAATATTGGCTGACGAACGGACGCAGTCCGACTAGATTTAGGCTACTACTAACTTTCTCTATGAACGGAACTTAAGTTAAGTTTTTTTTAGTCCAGTCTGATTCACGAATACTGCTAAACTGCTTCCGAACACCAGTCAACCACCAGTCATGGTCTAACCTCACACCACACCTGAATGTTTAAAACGTTTTTAAAACATTTTTCAAACATTCGGCTGGTAAAGTCGAACGGTAACCGACCTCATCGAACACCAGCCAACCACAGCCGACCTTGTTCCCGCCTTACTCCTAACCATGGTTGATGGGAGTTCGCCTAGTGTTCGGCAGGCCATACTCGGCTATGTGTGGCAGGGGCTTACGTGATGTGTCCCCTATAGACAGCAGCTAAGCATAGGGCAATGGTAAGAGTTTTACACGCAGTGCATACGGGTACATCACTGTGTCTGCAGATGTTTAGGCGAGTACTGTAGAGCCAGTTCAGCACACTGCAGTCAGAGAATGTTACATTCTTTCACCCCAAGTTTCCGCTCGAAGATCCCGTGTACAAATTGCGGTGTCAAATCGATTAATTACTCTACGTTGTGGACCTTCCTACAGAGTCTGGGTTTAAAAGCATTAATTGCTTCCCGGACTCATTTCCATCCACAATTACGCACCACTGTAGTCGCAATGAAAAGAACTAACCTAAGGCCAATCTCAATGACGCAAATCAAAGCGTCATTCCAGGAATTTTATTAAACTCGAGCTTGTCTGAAACTCTGAGGTGAATGTCAAACAACTTAAAGGCATACGATGGAATTTCAGGGCAGCAAAACAGAAAAAAAATCCATTCGTCAGTCGTAAAGGTTAAAATAATTTGTTGAAAAATATGACTGTGTAGTGTGTATCTGTATCTGTATAGCCTGTATTACCGCCCTTCGGCGTAACACAACAGGCACGCGGCGCGGCGGCATCTAGCTATTTTACATCGAACGACCAGTTACATCTGTATGTAACCTTTGCACATCTATACCTGCAGATGTTGTTTAAAGCTAAGCTTTATATAAGTCTTGATATGCAATTGGTGGCAGCGAGTTACACTCTACAATAGTCCCAGGAAAAAAACACCGAATTTTGGAGTCATTGAACTCTAGTTAGGAATGTATTGACATCGTCGTGGTTCATAATGAGATATTCACGTTACAAACCACATACAATGCGTGGGATAAGTTATAATTCTTCAATAAGAATTGTAATCAACTTCAAAGCTATGTAAAGCCCATCTGAAACGAATTGTCATCTGCCAATATTACAGACATAATTGGCTTTTTTGTCAAGTTGATGAAACCATTTATCTCAGAAATTTCTGTGTTAAGCAGAAAGTAACGCCGTATTATATTGTGATTAAATGAATGATTGAATACATAAATGAAAGACTGAAACTGTCTTTACGTCTCTTATTTAATTCTTCTTGTCCAGAATGATGCGTAATACTTTTTCTTATTATATTTCCAACAAACAGTATCCACATCTGAAGCGTCAAAACGTGATACAAATGTAATAACCAAAACTGTAATAAGGAATATTACAGCTTCTTTTCCTCCCTTGTGACTACGTTATATCTTAACAGATCCACTAACTGAATACTGAAGAAAGATAAGACGTGACAGCGTAAAACAGCATCTAAGCTTCAATTCACATATTTGGATGACTGCCATACATTTAATGCAATCCTCCAAAAATCATAGAAGTGTATATTTTGTCTCACTATGTACATGTAGTTCAGGATGAATCGGCAGCTGAGTATCCGTTCACCGGCGCTTTAATGTTGTCATAGACATTTTCTGTAACCACGACGGAGCTGTAAGAGATGTGATATTTCAGTTAGTGTAGGCAACATGGTACATGTAAACAAGAGCCCATTGGACACAAAATCTCCATGAAGTTGTAACATTTTTGACAGAGTGCCCCGTGATAGTGTATGCTTGCGACAAAATTGAAAAGAAAATGTCACTACATGTGCTCAATAATAATAAATGTCAGTATGAAATAAATTTTCTCACTGAATTTGACTTCGATGCCTTGAAACACCACGGCTATATTTACCTAACAAATGTCCACTTGGTGTTTACATGAACCAACCATTAATTATGACGCTATATACACCGAAGAACATCGGACACATTTCCATAATTGGTGAATTGGTTGTTGGCAGAGGTATGGCGTGGTTGATTTCTATTGTCACATTTGCACAAATGATAGGCAAAATCTGTATCACACAAACTCAAGTGTAATACAGAGAAAAGAATATAGAAGGACGTACTTGTCATAGACGTGATCGTCAGGCAGGGTCTTTTCTGCACCCTGCGTCTCCATCAGATTCAGCTGGAGGTCGCTGTTTAACGTGATCTCATCTTTCCTGTCGTACATAGAAAATATATTCAAATTAAAATCGTTCAAAACATATTTACTGTCTGTACTTAAGTGTCAGGGTGTGGGCTATCCAGAAATTCCGACTATGTAACGTTATATATATTAGGGTCAGAAAGTAAAAAACCTTTGTCTACAAGTCAGTAGGTGATACTTTATACCTAGGTTAGATAGAATGTATTCTCTAGTAGTTCATAAAAACTTTACGTTATCCTTCTATCCTGCGTTTCACCCAGTACTATATACATATAACATCATACTCCAATGGGTGCATTTAGCCCCATATGGGCATCAACATGCAATAAAGATTCATTATTACTTTCTGGCTGTCATAGCCGGAATCCCTAGATAGCATACTTTAACACTGTTGCAATACATTGTACCTGTCGGCCACGGTAGATGAGGACAGAGTCCGTTCTTTTAATATAGGCTGAGTAGGATTTGATCAGCATACCTGCTGTTCGCACGTAGACAGCACAGCAGGATGACGAACACGGACAGGATGAGGACTGTCGCTCCTGCTGCTCCACCAATGATGGCGTAGGTAATGATGACGTCATCAGGTGGCGTGTTGCAGCTGCCAGCAGCGTCGTCCTTCTGGCACCTGTGGGCAAAGTAAGTAATTATAAATAGATAAGTCAGGACTATGACTTGGTTGGAATAAAATGGATTATTACCTCCATGAAAAATGGGGGTAATGTTTTTGGTTTGTCAGTGTGTGTGTGTGTGTGTGTATGTCTGTGTTTCGGCATAGCCCTTAGGTCAGGTTGTAATAGATATGGTTGGGTTCAGTCTGACCCAGAGTAAGAAAGTCATTAATCACTTCTACCTCTAATAGCGGTTTTTCACTACATGACCTCCTTGACAGCTGATGTTTATTCCATGCACGACAAAGAATGGGATTTCAATGGGATCAGCAAACTGGCATCAGTAGTTGTCTTAGGCAAATTGTTTCATGGATATCTATATATATTCATATCGGAAAACACATCAAATTGAATTATCTACAAATGATAGACAGTTACATGCACAGTGTTCATGACTCACAGTGACGAAATGTCCACTCCCAGTGTATTGTTGGTGTCTGCCTCCGCGGCGCTGACCAGGACATCCTGCACCTGTGATGACGTCACGTCCGAGCTGGCTGCGGTTCTGATGACGTAGTCGACGATGACGCTGCCGCTTCTGAAGCCCAGGATGGTGACTGACGTGACGGCTGAGCCAACGTCGACGTCGGTTTCCAGATATGATGTTACCTTTGAAGAAAAAAAAACGTTATCTTTGTCACTATCTGACTTTGTAGGGCATTTAAATAGTATTGAAGTTGCTATTGAAATAAACGGCAAACACATATTTTAAGAAATACGTTGTCACAAATCATTTATGTCTTACGAACCAGTGAGATGACTTGCGCGGCAAGATCTTGGTACGCGGTCGATTCAGGGTCATTCAGGTCATCCGTGAAGGTCATCGACACCAAGGTCATCTCGTAGTAAAGTAAGGTCTCAGCTGTGGAAACGTCAGAGAGTGTTACGGTCAGACTCTTTTATGGTTTGTTGCAAGAAAATGTTCTCTATTCTTCAACAAGTCGAAGAAGAATAAATGACAGAATTCGAAAGATACCGAGCTTTGACTAGAAAATATGACATGCTCGGAGACAGTACAAAAAGAGCTTAACACGTATTTGGAGGATTGTCTATTCACAACTTTCAAACATCCCATAATACTTTGCTGACCTCTGACCTTCAATCCCAAAATGCATTGTCTTGACTATCTAAAAACTCTTGGAGCCCGGCAGCCATATTGGATTTAACTCAGCTCGCAAAACAGGTTTGAAAGAGATTTTGCGCCAACGTTCAAGTTTATCTAGGATTGTTACGTTTAGAAACATGTCTGGATTGAAGGTGAGAGGTGAACAAAGGATTATGGGAAGTGCGAAAGTGTCGGATTCAGTGAAGCATGCCTACTTGCACCAGTTGTAGACGGGTGGTCAGTGGATGAGGTCGTGGTTGCTTCTGAGGTGAGGGTACGATCTGTCGTGGCACTACCACGGGTTGTGGAAGTCGAAGCAGTAGATTGCTGGTCGGTTGATGCTGATGTCATCGCTGATGGTGTAGAACTATGTTGTGTCGTGACGTCATCAGTTGATGATTGATAGGTTGCCGGTGATGACGTAATGACTGGCGGCATAGAGCTGTGTTGCGATGTGGCGTCATCAGGACTTGTAGATGCTCCAGCTGTTGATGAATGGGCAGTTGATGATGTCGTCTCCACTGGCGCTGTGGACATGTGTTGTGATGTGACCTCTCCCGTCGTCTGCATCATCGATGATGTTTCCAAGACTACGGTGGTGGTGCTAACTTCATCAGTTGTCTTCTCTAGTGTCGTCTGTTCGGTGTAGATGCTAGCTTCATCGGTTGTGTGTTCCACTGTAGTCTGTTCTGTACTAAGTTCCTCAGTTGTGTGTTCCGCTGTCTGTTCTGTGCTGACTTCTTCAGTTGTGTGTTCCACAGTTGCCTGTTCTGTGTAGATGCTGACTTCCTCAGTTGTACTTGTGTGTTCCATTGTTGCCCGTTCTGTGTAGGTGGCAACTTCAGTTGTCTGTTCCACGGTTGTCTGTTCTGTGTGGATGCTGACTTCTTCAGTTGTGTGTTCCACGGTTGTCTCTTCTGTGCTAACTTCATGAGTTACTTGCTCCACGGTTGTCTGTTCTGTATAGGTGTTAACTTCATCAGTTGTATGGTCCACCGTAGTTTGCCCGGCCTCCACGGTTGCTTGTGTGTTGGTCATCTGGTCCGGTGCATCTGTGATTGTATCCATGACAATAGTAGAGACGATCTCATCTGTGGTCGGTCCTTCAGTTGACATCATAGTTGACATCACAAGATCATCGTCCGACGTTGTCACGGCGCCTGTCTCTGTTTCCATGGTAACAGACATACCACCCGTTGGTTCCATAGACGTCACGTGATCCTGAGAGGGGCTTGTTGATTGGTCAGACGGCATGGAGGTCGTTACTTGTGTGGTTGTAGAATTAGAAGTTGTTGTTGGTATTTCGGGAGTTGCCGTGGACATGGTGGTCTGCTCTGTTACTGATGTTGGTACCGAGGATGGAACTGCCGTCGTTGTCATGACTACATTGCGAGAAATAAGCAAATGGAAATTATTTACGATTTTATACCCTCAATTTATCAACAATAACAAGCTACTTAATGCATCTCTTTATCTTTATTCTTGGGTAGCAGCCATATTATTGGGGTACCGCCCGACACTTCAATATTTTATGTTCTAACAATCTGATAAAATCATTTCAGATGTTACTTACACACTTCATTACTTGGATATGTAGAATGTCCGTACTTACGGTCACACCCAAGAAGCTCCACTCGCAGCCGTATGAAGCTGCTACCCTCCCAAGTCTGTGGGTTTATCCTGATGTACTGTGCGGTGATTGGAGTGGACAGTGTCTGCTCCACTACTGTGGGACCATCAGTGTTGCCGTCAAATATCTATGAACAGTTAAAGGAATGTGTCATAGATATGTATTAAGTTGTGCTTGTACGTAGATGCATGGGGATTAATAAATTGTGAGACATATGTGACATCAAACTGGACATGGCACACACACACACTCACGCACGCACAGATACACACACACACACACACACACACACACACACACACACACACACACACACACTCACGCACGTACATATACACCAAAAACACATTTCACACTCCATTTTAGGGGTGAAGTAAAACATTTCGACATACCGTGTCATTCTGCCCGTCACCATAAGTCAGCCACGAGGTGCCATCATCAGAATACATCAGTTTGTAAGACTTGGTGTGCCCTCCCCACAGGCCTTGTGTTTGGACGCCTGTGATGAACTCCTGACTGCCGAGGTCGATCTGTAGCCACTGGTCCGTGGTGACGTTGTTTGTCTCCCACGCCTTGCCGTTATTCAGACGGCCTCTCCACGCTTCATACCCGGTTTTCTCACTAGATGCCGTGATGTGGTCATCAGGAATGGCGCCGCTCTCCATCCCAAGTGGTGAAGAAGAGGGGCAGTCACCGATAGCTGAATTTATAGTAGACGTTGGTAGTTAGTTACAGTGATTGCATAATGTGTGAATTGAGACATTGAGTATTAAGCTATGATACTAATTATGCACCTTTTAGCCATCAACGTAGAACAAATATAGATTCAATAACACATTATTGATATAAGCTGACCTTCACACATAAGACCTGACTATAACTTTTAATTACTTCATTTCTAGAGAGAATTCAATTGGGGGGGGGTATAATATTTGTCATCACCTTTGGTTAGAAGGTAACGTATCGATACAAGTTTGTATATAGGTTAATATTAAGCATGTTTGAGTTATATTGTATGATGTCTGCCATATATGGGTGTGTGATAGCCAGGACGAGAAGTCTGGATTTGTTTCTACCTAGACCACAAAATTGTTGTCTCCAGGACAATATATGCTTGACTCGCAATCGACAGACGTCATAATTACAGTTGATTATATTTCATACATGATAGCGTCATACTTGACTCTACCCTGACAACGTAAAAAGCGTTTCGACGTGGTACGAATTTACGTCATTTGAAAACTGTTACATGACATCTACTGTGTTATTGTCAGTTTTAGCTTGTTTGTGTACCGAACAAAGATGGCGGTGCTTTGACATGGCTGAAGAAACAAAGGTAAACATTTCGTCCATTCAGAGAAAGGACACATGTATGTGCCATGCCTGATGTGAAAATACGCTGAAGGCGGGGTTGGCAAATACGGGACCTGCTTTATTCTAACTTACGGAGTGACAAGAGGGTCTTAGTCAAAATGTACTTACTGGGCGAGGTGATCATATCTTCATCTTAAAGTCATACAGGGCAATTTTTAGGGCGGCAAGATTTTCAAAGTCGATTTTCTGGCCTTAAGTATTAATGTAGTAAGTTGAATCAACCATGTCCTATAAATTAGTATCATATTCTGGTTCTATAAGTTCTATATAAGTTCTATACAAGCTTGTTAACGTTAATGGGGTTTTTCAAACGCTTCAAGTATAAAGTGGTGACGAAATTAACTGCTATTTCTTCGCGCATTTTGGTCACTATTTCAAGTACATGTATACTGACAACAAATGGCTAAAATCAGTACGAAACAAGCAAAGTCTGTATTCCGTCAGTGGCATCGTACCTTTGCCGCACAGATATAAGTATGCTATGGGGCAGGGTTGATTCTACTTTTTACAATGACAAAAAATTTTACTCCGAAGTTTATTTCAAAGTATATTGCTGTGCCTGTGCAGTTTAATCAAAGATATTTTATCATATTTTAATTGAAGGATATACAAAGGATATTGCGGCTGTAGCTGAATGTATAGCTTTCAACGAAAAGGCAAATTAGGCTATTAGTAACTCTAGTTTTATTGCCCCTTTACTTGACTATCGAAAGTTTGACAGTTGGAAGATTAGAGAAGAATCTTACCTGTGTCTACCAGTACCATCACTAAGATCAGTAGTCCCATGGTAGTCCTCTTAAAACAGCCAGCCATCTTGACGTTGGCAGAAAGTTCTACTCAATCCTAAAGTCCTGAGGTCTGCTTTTAAATTAAACTAGTATGTGAAAGATTTAGGACCTTTTTAAACTGGCCACACCTTATACCTATACGGAATGCTGACATTATGACGTCAGTAGGCCCTAGTAGCCACTTGATTGGTGGAGTGGAGTAATCTCATTAGCTCACTTAGGTGGTACCAGTTCAGTATGATGACGTTATCTAAAGCCCTCGTCACATATTCACGAATTTGGTCTCCCGAACACTAGCCGAACGCCCCGCAACTATGGTTGGGAGTAGGTCGGGGCAAAGTGAAGGTCGCCTGTAGTTGGCTGGTGATCGGCAGGGTTCCACGATCTCCTACCTTCGCCAAGTTGTGCATACCTTCCGACTAACGAATTATGTTTCTCATTGATAATGCAAAAAATCATTTGCCTGAATCATATCATGAAATATGCTATAATAATGGCAGTCTTATGTCAACAAAGAAGGCCATATCCAATAGCGTACCATTAATTATGCAAACGAATTCTGAATGAGTTGAATGATGTTCACCTTTACTTAATTTCCAAGTGCCCTATGAAATTCTCGGTAGTAACTATCACGTAATTATAGCATTTTCGTATGAATTATGCAAATTAGGTCTTTCATTCTCAATTACATTTGTCACAAGTTTGATGAGTCCTATCGTTAAACGCAGCACGCACACACACACACACACACACACACACACACACACACACACACACACACACACACAACCCTCTTTTTAACCGTACATAATTCTGGGTGGTGTCCTTGCGCAGGTAAGCTTGGAATTCGGAAATGAATGCATGAATGGATAGATGTACAAACATTTTATTTACTCTAGCCTTTCACGTACAGATGTAACACTGTTGGGTGTTTCACCCCACTTCAACCTAGTCAATATTTGCAGTGTTCCTTTTGATGTGATTGTACTCGCTGTATTTGCTTGTGCAGTTTGCTTTGTAATTAGTCACACGATAGCTACGCCTATTCAGCGTTTGAATGGTGTCTAAAATTAGACATTTTCACTTACGTATATTCAGATCTTTCTCTAACTAATTCAGAGAGATGGGATGTCAAAGGTTCACTGAACATCTTCGATATTTATTTATTCATCTTTTCTGCATTTAAGACAAGTGTATATATTTCCTCAGAACGTAAAAACACCTTCATAAACGTCTTAGTGTCAGGGTGCTTTTTTAAGTGGGTCAACTTTTGCAAACTTTTGTCACCTTCTGAGGGGAAGGTCGTTCAGGGCATAGAGATTCTTGAATAGGATGTCATGCCTGTACATGTGGGATCAGCTGTGCATGTCTCAATGGTGTACCCTTAGAAATACGCTTTACACCTATTTCCTCATTAGTGAAAATGCCATGAGTATCTAGCTTCGGTTAGGGACGGCATCTTGGATGGGCCATTGAAAATGGAAGTTCTGTGGTTAAGAGAGCAGTCATTTTAGACACTAACGTTCAAGGAAAATGAGAATGAATAAGTCTGCCTTGAAGACGACTTGACAGTGTTTCCAAGGGTGTAAAGTAATCAACTTTCCACTATAATACATTGTTGTAAGCAACCACATATGATATCGATACTAGCAATATAATCAATATTCTCTTGATATATTATATTTTTCAATATGTAGAAAAGTTAACGTACTGTGAAATACAAATACATAAAGAACTCTCAAATGACAATTACGATAATTACAATTACCACGACAACATTTCTCTTATATAAAAGCTACGTACATTAATATACTGCAGATCATATTCTAATTAATACAGATATAACTCAATGAAGTACATGTACAAATAGTGTCTACTTTACTTAGGTAAAACATATATCTAAAGTATATACATAAAAATATGAAAGGAAATTATCTTCCACTGGTCATCTGTTGTGTCCAGAACCGTGCTCAACTGTGAAGAAAAAAAATTAACGTTAAACATGTTTTATGATGGGTGGGAGAAGCTATCATGCTGATACGTATTGTTTCGTACAATGAAGAATACATTTATCGTCTATCCTGACCACGATACTGATTCTAAACGCTTTTTGTAACATTTATATTCATAACAATCCTATCGGTATTTAAGCAAAGGTTTCCATTCCAAGCCATTGCTTATTATCTAATTAATAATGTACATTTTTTTTGCTTGTTTATATGTTTTATGTAATACTATTTTCTATGTGTTGGGGGCGGCATGCAAATAAGGTGCAATCACCATGTTTTATCATTAAATGTTGCAGTAAAGAACGCAATAGACTAAAACAAATAGTTAGAATAGTCTAATTGATACGTTACCTTCTGTACGCAGGGTTGTACAGGTCCAAAGTGTCCTTGTTTGCCTTCTCCACTTCGTTCAGCCCGACATTCTCGTGCTGAAGGGTACTTTTCCCTCTCCTGTCACAATGTAATAAAGAACGAGCTGTTATAATTGTTCATTACCGCCGATCTCTATGGTCGTTTGCGGTCATACAGGACTCTGAACCGCACCCAGACAGGCCTTTAGCAAACACTGTTAAGAGGTTGCGTGGAAGGTCAGCAGGATACACCACCATACCTGCCATTCCCTGTAATGAAGTTCGGATTGTAAAAAAGACTAATGACTGTGTGTTTTGTTGTGAGGGTGACGGATGATGTAGGTTCAATAGTGTAAGCCTGTTTGTTACACAGTTACCGCCATAGACGCCTGTTTCTTAGCAATATTAAGCAGGGTAAATCTAGATCTAAGTACATGACAAAGTCTCGAGGTCATACTGTGGAGGATGGAATGCCACTGGTTGAAGTAAGCCCCTGTCATAAATTCCCGAATATGAACTCAGTAACACTGGCCGAACTCCCCTCAAATTTGACTCAAATCTAACTCAAATTAGATTCGAATCGAAAGGTGGGTTTCGCATAAATATGGCCACACTGCCCCCACCCTTGGTCGGCTGGTGTTTTGGGGAAGGTTCTGAATGAGTGACACGGGCCTAAACGACAAAATGCTCACCTGTGACGTCTGCAGCAGATACAAACGGCCAAGATCGCAAAGATGAGAGCAAGAGCTCCTACAGATCCTCCAATGGCTGCATACAACACTACGTAATTTCCTGATGTCGTCACTTCCGGTGTAGCTGGTTGTGCCGTGGACGGTACAGCTGTCACATTGTCACGGGTTGTACTTGTAGTTGGCTGTTCTGAGGAGGTTGTAGCTATGTCAGAGGTTGTACTTGGCTGTTCCGTTGACGATATAGTTGTATCGGAGGTCGTAGTTGGCTGTTCTGTCGATGGAATAGCTGTCACGGTGGTTGTAGATGGCTCTTCTGTCGACAGTACAGACGCTGTAGTTTGTTGTTCTGTCGACGGTGAATCTGTCTCAGATGTTGTAGTTTGGTGTTCTGTTGACGTTTTAGCTGTACCAGAGGTTGTACTTGGCTGTTCTGTTGACGGTGTAACTGTGTCAGGGTTTGTAGGTGGCTCTTCTGTCGGTATAACTGTCTCAAAGGTAATTGTAGTTGCCTGTTCTGTCGATGGTATAGTTGTATCAAAGGTTGTAGTTGGCTGTTCTGTCGATGGTATAGTTGTCTCAGAGGTTGTAGTTGCCTGTTCTGTCGATGACATAGCTGTCTCAGTGGTTGGCTGTTCTGTCGATGGCACAGCTGCCGCAGTGGTTGTAGTTGGCTGTTCTGTCGATGGCACAGCTGTCTCAGTGGTTGTAGTTGGCTGTTCTGTCGACGCCATAACTGTCTCAAAGGTTGTAGTTGGCTGTTCTGTCGATGGCATATCTGTCTCAGTGGTTGTAGTTGGCTGTTCTGTCGATGGCACAGCTGTCTCAGTGGTTGTAGTTGGCTGTTCTGTCGATGGCATAGTTGTCTCAGTGGTTGTAGTTGGCTGTTCTGTCGATGGTATAGCTGTCTCAGTTGTTGTAGTTGACTGTTCTGTCGATGGCACAGCTGTCTCAGTGGTTGTAGTTGGCTGTTCTGTCGATGGCATAGCTGTCTCAGTGGTTGTAGTTGGCTGTTCTGTCGATGGCATAGCTGTCTCAGTGGTTGTAGTTGGCTGTTCTGTCGATGGCATAGCTGTCTCAGTGGTTGTAGTTGGCTGTTCTGTCGATGGCATAGCTGTCTCAGTGGTTGTAGTTGGCTGTTCTGTCGATGGCATAGCTGTCTCAGTGGTTGTAGTTGGCTGTTCTGTCGATGGCATAGCTGTCTCAGTGGTTGTAGTTGGCTGTTCTGTCGATGGCATAGCTGTCTCAGTGGTTGTAGTTGGCTGTTCTGTCGATGGCATAGCTGTCTCAAAGGTCGTAAGTGGCTGTTCTGTCAACGGCATAATTGTCTCAAAGGTTGTACTTGGCTGTTCTGTTGAAGGTATAGCTGTCTCAGTTGTTGTAGTTGGCTGTTCTGTTGACGGCATAGCTGTCTCAAAGGTTGTACTTGGCTGTTCTGTTGAAGGTATAGCTGTCTCAGAGGTTGTACTTGGCTGTTCTGTAGACGGTATATCTGTCTCATGGTTTGTAGTTGGCTGTTCTGTCGATGGTATAGTTGTCTCGAAGGTCGTAGTTGGCTGTTCTGTTGACGGTATAGCTGTCTCAGTGGCTGTAGTTGGCTGTTCTGTCGACGGTATACCAGTTTCGGAGGCTGTAGTTGACAGTTCTGTGGAGGCTACAGACGATGCATAGGCTGTGAATGGCAGTTGTGTGGAGGTTGTAGCTGGAACAGAAGCTGTGGCTGACACAGAATTTGTAGTTGGCTGTTCTGTGGAAGTTGCAGATGACACATAAGTTGAAGTTGGCTGTTTTGTTGATGTCATACCTAAAATAGAGGTTGTACTTGACTGTTCTGTGGATGTAGTAGCTTGTACAGATGTTGTATTTGTCTGCTCTGTCGGAGATACAGCAGGTGCAGAAGTTGTACTTGGCTGTACTGTTGATGTTATAACTATCCCAGAGGCTGTAGTTGGCAGTTCTGTCGGGGTCACAGCTGGTGCAGAGGTCGTAGTTGGTTGTTGTATCGGAGGTACAGCTGTAACAGATGATGTTGTTGGTTGTACGGTTGCGGTAAAAGCTGCCTGTTCTGTCGATGTAACAGTGGCATTATATTGTCCTGCTGAGGTTGTAACGTTCTCGAATGTTGTGTTGAACACTGCTGTTGAGGTTGTAGCGTTCTCAAAAGTTGTGTTGAAATCTGTGGTTGGGGTTGTAGCGTTCTCAAAAATCGTGTTGGACTCCGATGTTACTGTTGTAACGTTCTCAAAAGTTGCGTTGAACTCTTCTGTTGAGGTTGTAACGTTTTCAAAAGTTGTGTTGGGCTCCGATGTAGCGTTCTCCCAAGTTGTGCCGAACTCTGGTGTCGAAGCTGTAGCGTTCTCAGAAACCATGTTGGGCTGTCCTGTTGACTTTGTTTCTGGCTCTGATGACGTAACAAGGTGTGGCGCCGATGTATTAGCTGACTCAGGGGTTGTCCACACGGGCACTGACGCTGCTGTCATAGACATAGGCGCAGGTGTTACCGTAGACCCTTCGATTAAAGGGGAAATAAAACAGTTCTTCATAAATCCCTCATCCTAAGGTTAAAGATTAAACTACCATTGTATCAACATAGGTAGGTGGGCAGGTATCAACATCTTAGTGGCCTTACTCTAAAGCCGACTATAGACTGGGAACGGTATACCGTTCCAAGATGCTCGGTTTCACATCCTAGACGCACCATGAAGCGTTTCGGTCCCTCCGCTGAAGGGTTGTAAAACCAGGGTGGGGTGGTTTCGGGGTCGGTTTATGGAACCGTTACAATACCGTTTCTTCCTTTATAGACCGGTAACGGTCAACCCTCCAGACATGTTTTCTGAATCCGAAATGGCTTAACGTTTCCCAGTCTAAAGTGGGCCTAAATATAAATCAGGGGTCTAGGCATTTAGTTAAAATTATTATAGCTATAGCTACAACAAGTGAGCAATTCGCACATACCCCTGAGTGCGTTTATCCCCATCCTATACGTATACGCAATATTCGAGAACTACCAAAGGAACTTACAAACGCACAAGGGCTTACCTAATGCCGTAGTGAACAACAAGATGGCCATGTGGACAAGAAGTCTCCCGAGGCTTGTCTTCAGAAATGCCATTTTGAGATGTAGAAGTCCACGTAGAAGTCCTCCAGGTTTCGGACTACAAAGTGAGGGGCCACACCCGGCGCACTCTTATATAGGAACGGCCTCGCCCAGCCGCTCCTAGCAATGGAATGTTTCGGTGATGTCAAACTTTCGAAATTGCGAAATAATTGGCAAAAGTGGTCCCTGATTGGATGAAAACAAAGTTTGAATGAAGACGTCATCGAAAGGCGGTCGAGTCAAAGCACTTTTTATAGAAAGCTTCATAATGGCCCACGGGGTCATACTTTCAGTTAAAGTAAAACATTAACTCGAGTTGATAACGTCGGAGTACTTATCGTTAATTACGTGTCTTAGTTCACATGGAACAGTTTCATTCAACAAGAAATGCACTTTGTACTTTGATATTTTACAATCAGTATAACCTGTATGTTGCATACCTAACATACGCACCAAAAAGTCTGATATGTGGAACAAAAATACAGTAATTATCTAATATACAATGTGTGGCTATTAAGTTAGTCATCTGCCGTAAAGAGCTCGGCCTTTTGTGCAATTGATGAAAGTTATGGGCGGAGCCTAGATTAGACGGCTCATTGGATAAACATTACTATGGTAACAAGTGCGATGTTTGGATGCCATTTAAGACTATTGTCCCCTTTATGGACTCGGCTACTGCTATTACTACACGGCACTAATTAAAGCCCCTGTCACACATTCACAACCTCCCCCCGACCACCAGCCGACCAAGGTTGGCTGATGTTTGGGAGCTGACAAGATTTAGGACACACGTATCTTTCTGTACGAATTGAATCACGTTTGAGTTATATTTGAGTTTTGACGCCACGAAATATGTCTGATTACCAGCCAACAACCAGCCAACCATGGCCGAACCTCCCGTCCACTGCCGAATGTTTCCAATTTTGCCGAACACCCCCGACTTTGCTCCCGACCTACTGTACTCCTAACCATGGTTGTACGGAGTTTGGCAGTGTTCGGGGGACCAAATTCGCCTATGTTTGACAGGGCCTTAATTCTTAGTACCATGACGACAAGCCATAGTACAGAGGTATGCTGCTCATCAAATCGCTGTGACCCTGACGTGGTTGTGTCGTGCTAAAGCTGACATCAAACAGGGGGCAAAGTGGTCTTAATAGTGTGGCTAGGGTTAAAGGTTCTGGGTTCGAATCCCGGGCACGTCTCACTGTTTCATCCTTGGAAAGGAACGTAAATCCTACTTCCTTATTCGACACATGTGAAAATGATTACCTAGCTTCGATTAGGGACGTCCTCTTACATGGGACACGTAAAGCCGGAGGTCCCATGTTTGAGGAGAGTCACACCTTAAGCACGATTCCACCTGACTTTCCAAAAAGAGAAGGGTTTCATCCCGATGTGAGTGGTTCAAACCTTACTGTCCAGTCTTATGTAGTTTGTACTTATTTCGTGTCATGTTTGCCAGGATGGCCAGTGATGTGGCCGTTAGAAGTCGATATATCCAGTGATCATGAAGCGATACATGCACTCAAAACAGCACACATTTCTGTCTATAGACTGGGCGAGGTCATTGACTTTTATCGTCATGATGCCAATAGTGCATCAATTTTCTTGTTGTCTCTCATTAAGAGCTAGTCTTTACCAAACTCCGGTTGGTTGATGAAATAAGTACAAACGTTATACAAGCATGTTGGTCGTAATATCAGATATTTAACCACTGTTGTTTGCTAACAGTTGATATCATTTCATAGATAAAGTTTAGCAGAAATAATAGGTCCATGGGGTTTTTCACAGCCAAAGACATATCAACGCATAAGAGCTCCAGTTTTCGGTTCACTGGGTCTCAATACATGTACGTGTAATTACAGATGACACATTGTAGTAACACCCTTGCGTACGTGAGTATCTTTATTACTTTATTTTTCCATCACTGGTTCACATGGTATTTTTCCATGACACATACTGAGTAATATATAAGCGTGGGCTTGGCACGGTCGTCGTCACAGTTAGAAAGAGAGCGCTGTCGTGAATGCTGTGACTGGCTCAGCTCTACAGCAGTTCTGGTTTACAGCAATGACATTAGGGGACTGACAATGTTAGTCAGTATACGTACAGCCGTGTGTTCTTTTCTCTTGCTGGTGACTCAAACGGCAGGTAAGAAAATTTTACTTCTGTGCCGATTACCCAGTGACAAAAGTGTAAAAACTAATTTTGAATATGAAAATGACTTTATGTGATCGCAAGGGGACAAGAGTCATCTTCTTACACTGCCCTCTCTATAGTTTGTGCGGGGATTTTCTATTGTAGTTATTAAGAGTTTTTAATGATTCTAAATCATTTTTGTAACATTTACATTAACAGTCCTATCTGTTATGGGATTGTTATTAAGCTGGTGCAAGCCAAAAACCTTTAGTAGAGCTTTTCACAACAGACATAATACACCACGTGTAATTACATATATGTCTGTACATACCATTTCCATGTCAGTTAGAAAGTGTTTTATACTTTGTCTAAAAAAAGTATACATGTAAATGTGTCTACTATGCAATAAAGTAAATAAACTACTGCAATAAACTATTATGCAATCAATTTTATGGAATGCAATCTTTTTTAAATTTAGGCATATTTACTTCCGTGGGCACGTTTTTTGAACGACGGCACCCATAAGACTGATTTAGTGTTGCCTTATGTGTGACTCCACCCTTTATTTAGGTGTGGTCCACTTCTATTTTATTATAAGCTACGGTCACACAATTCACGACCTCCCCCCCCCCTCGACTTTAACCAGGTTCAGCGGACGTTTGGGAACACTCTGACCAAAATTGCTATACGACTCGACACGAATTTGAGTTAAATTAGAGTCAAGTTTGATGACCCCAGATCACACCACAAGCACTGCTGACTTCCGAATGGTTGGTTGGTGTTTTACTGACTTCCGGTTGAATACCAGCCAACAATGTCCGAACCTCTCGACCAACACCATCCAACATATTACAATTGTTTTGCAAATATCACCTACTATTAATCACACCCAAACAGGTCGAAAAACGGTTGGATACCAAATGTACATATATGGCAAAAGGCTATGAACATCAAGTGGTACTGGTATTGTTTGATATGGAAAATGGTACATGTATGATTATTAAGAAGCACAAGCATTATTATTAAGAAGCACAAGCATTATTACATGTAAGGGCCACCATTCAAAACATGCACTCATTTCTCTCATTTGTTATTTCGTTTGCTCTTTCTGGTATGTATCAGATAAATGATGATGATAGCATTTGTGGTAATGGTTGAATGCACATGAATAATTAATGACTTGGTGGCACTATCATAAAACATATAAAACTAGAAAAGCAACATTCGTAACGAAACGCGGCATATCATATAACATGTGAAGTGAATTGAGCAAAAGGGTCACATATTCAGGGGACATCCTTAAGTCTAACGACCGTTTCTTCCAAGGACTAACTCAGAAGCAAACTAAATGTATATTGGATATGGAAGGATGTCCTTATAGCTACAAGACTAACGGAGATTGGTCTCTTCAAGCTCTTTACTTTTCGTGAAATTAAAATTAAAGGACAAAAACATTCATGCCAAATTAAAGCGAAAATTTGGCATTTTGAAGTAGATCTTTAAATGCAATAACAGTCACAGTACAAAAATAGGTAATATATAAAAGAATGCTTAACAAAGACTTACGCTAGTCCTTGTTGTTCTATTTAGTTATTAGGATGTTGATTTTTTTCTGTACCAGAAGGTATGCTCAATACACTGTATGCTAAATACTTTTGCCATACATTGTAGCATGCACAGTTGTCGTGTTATAAAGTTCTTTTTTAAAAGCAACGTTTATTAACGCAAATTTTCGTATTAAATCTCTAGCTGATTGTCAGACGGGAGGTGGAGTACCCTACCGAGGAACAGTCTCTGTGACAGAATCAGGTAGGACGTGTCAGCGCTGGGACAGTCAGACGCCCCATAATCACCCCTACACAGCCGCTAATTATCCTGCCGCCGGACTGGAGCAGAACTACTGCCGGAACCCGGAGGACGGAAGCAGAGTGTGGTGCTACACTACGGACCCCTCCAAGAGATGGGAGAACTGTGACGTACCAGTATGTGGTAAGGTCTGATTCAGACTGTAACCTTTGACAAGAGCTAACGCCACCAAGCAAGTCATTTATGGATGACATCAGAGCGCGCATTAAGGTTTTGTTTGATTCAACGACAATTTTTCCGCGTTTCTGCAATTTTTCTAGTTAATTGAGGTATATACACATCTACAAGGACAGATAATACTGTTGAATAGAACAATAAGGTTGTGATATCAACTTTTGTCGCCGCAATTCGTGTTAACAAGGCTTACGAGCTCAAACTTTGGAAAAGAAGTAATCCTTTTTTATTTTATTGTTTGTTTATTGTTTGTTTGTTTATTGTTTACCCACCTTGCCCACCTTGTTTTTTTTTCCATACAATTTACTTGCTGGGGCCATATCTTTGTTACAGTATGTGGGGGTACGTTGACGTGTCCGCCTAGGGGCACCCTGACGTCACCAAACTATCCAAACAACTACGGCAATGGCTGGCGTTGCGAGTGGTGGTTGATTGCACCGGAAGGAAGCACCATTCGTCTCACCTTCGACCGTTTCCACCTTGAGGAACGCTACGACTTCTTCTACGTGTACGATGGAGACGGTACTAGTGATTGGAGATTCATCCAAAGGTAAGAATACTCAATTTTCTATGTCATGAATTTCAACAGAGCGACGAGTGATAGCTTTCTAACTTTCTCCCTTCAGAATTAGAATTTAAAAAAGCTAATATCTTAATGATATATTTTCTAGATGACGAAAAAAAACATACGAGGAGACAATGGCCACCGTAACGATTTGTGTTTTCTCTAAATTCTAGGTTAACTGGTGAACTGTCAGTTGGCCCAATCAACAGCACATCAAACCGGATGTTCCTAAGGTTTACATCCGATTTCAGTACCACGGAGAAAGGTTTTGCATTAACCTACACAGGTAAGGACTTTATAATGCACAGTTTTCCTCTATGTTCTAAGCAGCCTGACTGTCTATGTGTTTCTAGATATTTGTGGTCAGAAGAACTTTCGTTTCATAAAGCTCGTTTAAAGAATACCTGCTCGGTCAAGGTAAATTTCTATCAATGATATATTTAATGGGAAAAGGAGAGAAGTACATCGCGTAATTTCAGCCATTCTACTTTCTGTTCTGCCATTGCAGATGTTTCTTTTGCAACATTGACTACACCATCACCAACGACCATGATCTCCGTAGCTGTCGGTATGTATCCAACACAGAACTTTAATTATGATGAAAACTTATACTATAAAACAAATAATCGGGCCAACCTTTAGACTTCTGATAAAAAAACAACGGACATGGAATGTTACGAATAGTACAAACATCAAAGCCCCAAAACCTCCTGTGTGAAAAATTGTTTACTGAATCAATTAATTAACAAGTGCAATTTGCTTACGTTATCATCATCAGTTGATATGTAATAGGCCAGAAGCGCATAAAAAGGTTGGTAACCACTTGTAGGTTTTCGGCACGTGTAGAAGAAATTTTATAGTTCATATCAGGAGCGAAAGAAATGTAACATTCTTTGCGGTTTTTTTAGAGCAATCGCCGTTTGATTGTTTCTTCGAGTCCAACCTCTGCAACTGGACACAGTTTGTGGACGATGAGTTTGACTGGACCAGACGACAGGGACCGACTGATTCTATGCACACAGGCCCAACAGTAGACCATACCATGGGAACAGGTACAATATATATATAATGTATATGTGCCAAAATTTGGTACATTTTCTAGCTGCCTATATGCATATGTTTTGCAGTATAACAAGGTTTGCAAGGTATACTGCCGCTGTGTAAACATATGCATGACGTTTATGCCGATAGAAAAGTACTTTCTAAGAAAGAACAGTTTTTATTCTGTGAAAATATCATTAATCAATCAGCCATTATATTATTAGCTATAGTTATTTCTAGACGTGATACATCTAGCGGCATTTGCAGAAATGACGAGTTTCTATGTTTCCCAGACCAAGGCTGGTACATGTACATTGAAGCCTCCTCACCTCGGGTCACTAACGACAGCGCAGTGCTTCTGAGCACAGATGTCCCGGCCAATCAGGGCAAGTGTCTGCGGTTCTGGTACCACATGTACGGCGCACATGTCGGTGTCCTGAACGTGAAGCTGTACGCCAATCACGTCTTCTCTCCACCTGTCTGGACGAGACAGGGAGCTCAGGGGGACGCATGGCGTCTGGCTTACGTGGCTGTGACTGGTTCAGCTACTCAGTACCAGGTCAGTTTAATACTTGTTTTTTTTTTCACACACAGACCAAAGGCAATCTGAAGTTGCACATACACATATGACAACATTATTAGAGTACCTTGTAGAATGGGCCCCTTCCGGTTAGTCAAGGTTGTAATTGACTAGTAATAATCACGACATATGTAACGCTATATAATGATAAAAAATCTATATATATATATCTATTTGAGGGACAATTATATCAGTCAGGGATGAGAGATGGAAACGCTTAGTGCCTTCGATGCATGTATGTTCGTGTTATGTTTACGAACGTGTATATTTTACCACCCGACAAACCTCTGACTGTTTTACCTTACTTCAGATTGCTCTGGAGGGAAAAATAGGTACTGGCCATGAAGGTGACATCGCAGTGGATGACATCATTGTCACAAACGGGGCGTGTCCTGTTATTGGTGAGGGAGTTTTGAATTATTTTTGTGTCACAGATGCCATACAAATATGTTTTAACGAGTTAATGACGGAATTTAATTGAGTTAAAAAAGGATATATTGTATTACCTTTTCCGATAGTCAAATTTTTGCGATTAACATCTTTCCGATAATTAGAATTTTCCGATACTTGAATTTTTTCACGGCAAAAAATGACTGGCGCCTATATTGCTATTCGATGACAAATATGTATAACTGATGCACACTTATACATTTATAGTGGAATGCATACGAATGGGAAATGGTCTGAGTTTTCAGAATTTGATGCAAATAGTTGTTGTCTAGACTACTGTACCGAGAAAGCACTACATCAATGCCGTATATGATGTTTTTCCAGATTGGTCCCATACTTGCTACTTTGACCTTCCTGACATCTGCGGTTTCACACAAGACGAGACTGACGACTTTGACTGGAAACATGCTCACGGAACAACCGGTGCTACCATCATAGAGCACTCCACTGACAATGGCGCTGAAACAACTGTTGGTATGTTTTTTTTTGCTTTTTTTTACATTTTATATTCATGAGAAGCATGCAAGGCGCTTTTCATTACAGTGTCGGTTAAAACTGAATTATTGGGGCAGTTTGAAATATAAAAAGAGAAGTTCAGGACGACTATATTTTATAAAAAGAGAAGTTCAGGACGACTATATTTTATAAAAAGAGAAGTTCAGGACGACTATATTTCAAGGCGTGTTTAAGGTTTTCGTACAATGTAGGACATACGACTAATGCACACGATGCACAAGTCTCAAAGTTTCAAGGATAAAAGCTACTACTAGGTTTGATCGAGAATACAATTCGATGAAAAAATAAAGGTTTTCACATTTTTTTTTCAATCGGTGTCAGTTTTAAGTAGATAGACGCTGTCATATCATCATCACTATGGTCATTTCAGGAACGTACATGTACATTGAGACATCTTCACCGAGGCAGCCGGGTGACATCGCTCGGCTCATCAGCAGTCCCCTGCCCGACAATGCCACCAGCTGCCTCCGGTTCTACTACCACATGTACGGGGACGGTGTTGGTACGCTGAACGTGTACGGTAGGGATAGAGAAGGCAACATCCTGGACGGGACCATGTGGAGCAAGTCGAATGCCCAGAACAACCAATGGCTGAAAGGTTACGTTCCGATCCCACAACGAAGTCAAACCATGCAGGTACAGAACTCAATGTTGTTATGTCTGAAGGGTTCTGATTTGTTAATTATATTAGATAGGCCAGGAGCTGTGTTGAGTGAAAAGGGAGAAATTGTTGCAAATAATTTCATATGGTTGCTCGGTATGTTTTTTTTCCAGATTGTGTTTGAAGGAGTCTGTGGCCACGGCCCCACAGGAGGCATCGCCATCGATGATGTCCAGTTACACCCAGGAGATTGCTCCCTTTTTGGTAAGTTGTTATCACATGTTTCGTACATAAATTTCCTATTCGTGAAATATTTCATTCATTTACATGTAGTTTGAGGGTGATATTATACATGAAGTGTAAAATGTATGATGATGATGATATACAGACTATGATGATGTACACATTAAAGAACACTTTTTTGACTATTTTGATAGATGTATGTGAACCCGGAACTTAAGTTAAAAGGGCTTTAATTGAACATGCTGCAAGAGACACCCTCGAGATTTTCTTTATTCAATTTCTACCTTATGCATTCTTATTTTTTTAATTCATAGTGACTCCCACTGCTACGCCCACGCCATTCAACGGAGGTAAGGTTTTCCTTGTCTCCCAGTGTTTTAAGCTGAGAGCATTGCTTTTAGTGTAAAATTACTGCAAAAATGTGTGGGCTAGATCTTGTGATGAACAAATTAAAATTCGTTTTCTTCTACTCTAGTTGGGCCCATCAAATCTCCTGAAGAAGTAATCTGGCCTTTGGTAAAACAGCAACGCAGAGCTCCACCTATGTTCATGGTCCTTATGGGCCCTTGGGACCGGACCATGCAGTGGATGGAATTTTTATTACAAATGTGGTAAACTGCACGCACACGCAGAAAGGTGATTATCCTCCGTGGTGGAAGGTGGACCTGGGAGGGTCCTACACGGTCAGCCAGGTCAGGGTACTCAACAGGGGTGACTGTTGTGGTAAGTTATTTCACTAAGTAACATTTAGTCCAAAATGATTTTTTTAATAAAATGCAAGAATAGGCACTAAGCGGAATCACCTATGCCCTGGTTGCTATCTGTGAGGAAAAGTGATGTAAAATTCTTTATTATGTTGACCTTAAGCAGAAGGAAAGCATATTGTTTTGCCTGTCTGTTTCTTCTTATTCTTCTCCAAACACGCAAGGTCAATGATCTGGGCCAAACGTCTATCACCATGGTAACTGGTGCTGTGATAGATGCCCTGCTGTGTTGGGTTACATTATATTGCAAATTGCGGGACAGAATTGAAGAGGCTGGTCACCATATACATTGAATGTGTTTGAGTAAGAATAAACATAGCTGTAGATGTAGATGTAAACAATGTGCATGTCCTTTACAAATGTTATCTTTCAAGTCTACAAATGTGACAAGAAAATGATGTCTTCTTTACTTTACAAATCAAAGTAATTAGCTGTACATTGTTAACAGCAATTTACTCTAATTCATAATCGTTTCCTTTAAATTTACATTCACAGGAGAACGGCTGCAAAACCTAATGGTGCGAGTCGGTGAGAATGAAAACTTCCTGCAGAACAGCCAGTGTGGAGAGACGTACACGGACACTCCGACGAACGGACAGACCATACTGGTGTACTGTGACCCGCCGATATCCGGCCGTTATGTCTCCATACAGCTGGTGGAGGGAAGGGTTACTTTGACACTGTGCGAGGTGGAGGTCTATGGTGCGTGTGAGATTTAAAAAAAATTCTATCGACCCGACGGTTTGTCCATTTTGTCCACATGTCCAGATATATCACCTTTTGTGTGTCCTAAATATGTTTATATACGTAATTCACTATACAATAGACTATCAGCTTCTATACCAGGATTTATCTCAATGGACTTGAATAGCAAGTTTAAGTACATAATGACATGTGACAACCCCTGCATTGTATACACAGGAATAGATATTAAAGGTTGTCTAGAATTTAGAAATTCCTCCAATGATTGTATGTAAAAGCTCATTCCCGCTCCATACTAGCCACAGACTCTTGTATTAGGTAGGTTAGCCTTATGAAATTGTAGTAATATCTACCATACCATATACTCTGTACCAATAATTGTGCAATAAAGGTATTATCATGTTTCTGAAGAAAATACTGATTGCATCTACACGTGTATTACCAGGTCCTGACCCGGTAGGCTTGTGGCCGTTAAACTTGCGATACGGTACTTCAGACATCACAGGAAACGGAAATGACGCGGTAGCGTCAGGAGCCCAGCTAGCTTTCGGTCCGCATGGCCTTGTCGACGACGCTTACCTGTTTTCAGGGAATGCGTCTTCCTACATCGACATTCCCAACAATGGCAACTTGGATGTCCGCTTCTCCTTCACCATACTGGCTCATGTATTTCCTACTGGCGAGGCTGGACCAATTTTTGACTTCGTCCCGGGCAATGCTGGAAGGGCGGTGGGTCTGTGGCAGACGTCCCCTAGAACATTGTCCATGTGGTGAGTTTGCGCTTCAGAACTTTCCTGGGCCATTTCGTTGGGAAATGTGTAGCCTTATAACTCGATATGTCGTGCACGTGTCTTCGTGATGTTAGGTAGGTAGGTTGGAGTAGGTAATATGAAGGTCAGTTTGATAGTGGGCATTCGCGCAATAATGGACATTTTAACCGTTCTGCAGCGGCACTTTCGTGTTTGTCGTCAATCCAAGCTCTCCTACCATATAGGAAATTTCGCGCCTAGAGATTAACTATCACGAATCCTCAGGACGAAGGTATGAATTGATTAGGTTTTTATGATGCTTATAGTTGCAGAATGAAGCACTTTTTGAATCGCAACTGTGTTGCAGGATTGCAGGAAGGGATGTGGAGTCTACAAGTAATTTCTACGTGGACGTGCTGCAACAGAACGATTGGAATTACGTGGGCGGAACGTACGATAGCAACACGGGAGTGGCATCCCTTTGGTACAACGGTGATCCAGTCAGTCAAATACAAGTTGGAGTTGTGGAGGTAGCAAGTCAGTACTCTATCCGGGTGGCTAAAAGAGACGGGGACAGTCGGATATTCGCAGGCAAAGTCGCTTGTCTACAGCTCTACAACTACGCGTTGACGAAGGAACAGATTGTTGCAGCGCGGCATACATGTAGAGGTAAGCCGTACTAAAGCCAACATTTTAAAAAGCCCCATTTAGTAACTGCCTTTATGTAATGATTAACCTGTTTATTATCTTCTATCCTACATCTATCGACCATTGTTGTGGTGAATGTGTGAAATAAGAAAGCCTCAAGGCTTTAAATAAGTTTTATACAAACAGAACAACTGCATTACTCACATGTATAAATTGACTAGTTTATGTTTTCCATCAACGAACTATAAATGTGTACTTTCATCTTCAGATTGCTTTCAAATCCCTGACGTTTTTCAACTCGGCGGAAGACTTACAGTTTTACCAAATTTACTGGATCAGGAGACGGTCAGCCAGATTCGAAATTCCTCTGTTATGGAATTACTCAACGGTTCGCGCGCCATTCCTGAGGACCAACATCCGGAGATGATGGAATTCATATCTACGGTCATTTTCCCACGATGCAGGGTCTCCGAAAAGTACTTACAGTAGGTGTTTTTCATAGTTTTACCTTATCATCTTTATATCACAGTGTCCACAGTTGAATAGTCAAAAAGTCAATATCTTGTCACGAAAAATGTAATATCTCATACAGCCATATTGATGATGAAATGTACATTAAATTACATTAGCCGATTAAAGAATTTAACTTTTATACAGTTTATCATTCAACAACTTATTAGATCTTTAATATATTACTTATGTCCTTAATAACATTGTTGTTTGTTTTTAAAAGATCTAGACAACTGTCGCCGTGCCGTTCGTGGTGTGAGGAGGTGCTGGACAAGGCTGATGACGGAATAAAGGCTCTGCTGCCCCCGTGTGATTCGTTCCCGACTCGTCCGACTTGCTGGAACCCTGAACCAGCTACGAGGGGCAACGAGGGTAAGCATGGGCGCTTTTAACCCTCAACAGTACACCTTCCCGGACTGATTAATCTGTACACCTGGGGTCCGCGCGGACCCAAGAACAGTTTTTTGCTAATTTTTAGAAATTAACAACATGCTACCAGCTCAATTGTTTTGCAAACTGATGCGGGAACCTCTGTGTCCACATTACATACAAAAACCATACATTTTGAACCTTTTCTATTTTTTGGTGAAGAAAAGAAGACAAGAAGAAATACCCGATTTTTAAACCCATATCAGACTGAAGGGGCTTTTGAGGCCCAACTTTGATCTCAGATAGCGGCTAAACGGCTTGCGCTAGAAGTATCAAATTTGAAGACCTTTCCTAAAATGTCTCTGGAAAAAAGTTCATATTAGTTTAATACTAGTAAGTTGATGTTTTTTTGTGTTGCCATGGCAACGGGTTTCTAGCAGGCAGTTTTTTTGAAAATAGAAGTAATTTTGGTTTAAACATACAAATTTTCTGAGTTTTATATTAAATTACACTTCTTTTCCAGCATTAATAACATTTTACATAATTAAATATAAGTTAAATCATTTAATATGCATAGAATATGCTAATTTGATGACGTCATTGGTCAAAATCCAATATGGCGGACTATATTATTAGCTCTGACGTCACATGACATCATAATTACACCAAAGTTATTAAAATCTAATTCTATTACTACACCATTCTCTGAAAACTTGGTAGACATACGATGAGTGCATAAAAACATATAAAAACGGAAATAAGGCAATGTATAAGAACGCCAGTGTATCCATTATGATCGAAAGCCAGCTGGGGTCCGCGCGGACCCCAAAAGAAAATCAGATATAATTTTTTTTATAAATGGTAGAAACGGAGTTTTCTGCACTGTATTGAGAGACAACTTTGTGGGTGACAATTACCTAAAATTTCAGAGAAAAATCTTTAGAAACAAAAAAGATATTACAGAATATATAGTGCTGGTGTCCGCGCGGACCCCAGGTGTACTGTTTAGGGTTAAATTAAGTGATTCTGACTATTACAAATAAACGCCATGTAATAACAATACCAGACTATTGAAATGGACTGATGGTTAGGCTTTATTTACTATGCTGCTTTTTAGATCGAATTTATTGTCTTGTGATTTGTCGGGCCTACATGTATGTCTATACAATGTGTCTTGCTATCTGTTCTGTACTCTGATTTCGTGTGCTGACTGTGTCCCACGTAAGTACTATAGCTACTGCTGGTCGTGACAATCATAGTTTTAATTTTAATTCTTAAATTCATGAATCTGGTTTCAGCTTTTAGATTTACACAGAATATGTTCAGAATGCATCATTTCACTTCTGACACCTCTACAGTTCTTAGTTTTTGAGCTACATTCTTTCCTCTTCTTTAGTATGCTACCATGGCATCGGTATAAACTACCGTGGTACACTAAGTACAACTACTTCCGGGTCGAATTGTGTGAAGTGGTCCACTGCGCAGTCTGGTTACTACACCACAGAGTACCCCTGGGCTAACCTGGTGAACAACTACTGCCGTAACCCAACGGGTCTTCAGCGGCCATTTTGTTTGACTGAGGACGGTAGCCAAGAGGAATGTGACGTCATCCCGTGCAGTAATTTATCATTTTATGAAATAGTCTATAGTATAACATTCATGCTCAAACTAAAAATAAATATAAAAAACAACATGCATATCTTTTACATATTGATTTCAAAACTTCACCATTCAATATTTTGTGATAAAAAGTTTTAAGGCAACAATGCTTAGTGCACAAGGCATCCAAGGTAATTTCAGGCAAAACTGGTCATTCTGTTAATGTTGTAAGTTGAATCAATCCTATCCCAGAGTATCCCGACATCTGTGAGGCAAAATACGATGTTGCTGACAGAAAAGGGATTCTTGTTTTGTATTGTAGGTCTCTTGTAGCTATTTATGGGCGGTAAGAAACAAAAAAAAAAGAGACGACTTCTTTTTTTGCTATTTCCAACGCTTTAAGTATGAAATAATGATAACGTATGAAAATTACAATGACAAACATATGCTACGAAATAGCAGTGCATGTCAATATGCAGACAGATTATAATTTTGTAATTAATATATCTGAGTCATGCATTTTTATCTTTTCCCCTACACCTAGCCGCTGCTGGATGCTGGGATAGAGGTCCTCCAAATTACGGGAAGAGAATTCCAAGCGACCGGCGGTTCTACTTCGTTGGAGACAAGGTGGCATACATGTGCAATGACGGCTACACGCTGGAATCCGGTGCGCCAAGAGAAGTGAGGTGTATTGAGGGAGGAGACGGCGGCGTCTGGGAATACGACAAACCCATTTGTTCAGGTAATTGTATTTCGTACAAAAATTTTTTCCAAAATCATAATCCAGTTGCTTGAGTGAAGTAACTGTTTTTATTTGCGTAACGTTTTACTTCATCGACGTAATTGTATTTTCATTTAGTATTTGTGTTTATCTTGTAATTCTTTGCAATCACACACGTCATCATGTATTTATATTTTTACGTCTTTTTTGTCTTTTACCATTGACCAGTAAACTACGAGTATAGGCTACAAGATGACCTACTGGGGATCTATAGGGAAAGTCTAAGTCCTAAGACAGTCATCGAATTCGGTGGATTTGTGGAACAGATTGTGGACATGGTAAGTACACTATCTTGGAAACGCTCATTGTGGGTCTTTGTGTTGTTTCTGATATATTAAAAAACATGTATTGATCGACAATGACATTTAACACGTGCTGTCTTTTTATTTTAGGACGAAAAGAAGGAGCAACTTGTCGCTTCGGTGTCTATCAAATTTGTAAGTTGACACAAATTATTATACATACTTCATTGACACAGAAGGAGGTATGTATGCATTGACATCATTGCTGCATTAATTGTTTTAACACTTTCTATTGCAACACCATTGACGTTTTGCACAACATGTTTTTTTTTATTTTTCCCAGACATGGAGTGACATTCGGTTGAAATGGGTCGCAAAATACTACGATGGTATCGAGACGTTCAGCGTTCCCGGAAGTAAGATTTGGACTCCGGAATTTACTCTAAAGAGGAAGTAGGTTCATCCAAGAACTTTGTAATGCATAAAATGTATACATTTTATATTTCTTCATATTTTATCATATAACTGGCTACATGATGCAGTTCAGGGAGGGAAAACAAAAAAAAATATTCTGGATGAGGTAATAAGTCTGATATTGCAATTTTTTGCCATTTCTTTTTTTAATATTATTCCATACTTGATGCCTCCTAAAGGAAATTACATGTAGTTGACGAGCCCATTTTTTTGCCAATAAATAGTTAGAACTAGCCTACGATTCGAAATAGGCAGCTAGGGACATTACATTTTGCCTCACATATATTAGCATGCTTTGGGAAATGGTTGATTTTACTAGCTACATTTCAAAAATGCAAAAAAAATGACTTGGGTCTGATTGACAATCTAGTACAGACATTTTAACAAGGACAGAGGGATCAAATTAGGGACCAACTGCATTAATTTGCTCGCTACTTTACAGTGCTGATACCGGCTACCATGGCCTACAAAATAACGTGCCGGTAAATGTCAGCAGCGATGGACGAGTAGAATGGAACGTGGAAACCCTGACCACCACCGTCTGCGACGCCGATCCTTTCTTCTTTCCTGCAGACACTATGCTGTGTCACATCTGCTTCGTTGTACACATAGGAACCGTCCGTAAGTCTTTGATTTAAAATCTAGTAAATGGCAGTTTATTAGCACGTTTGTTTCTGCCAGCACTACAGTTATTTTACTTAGCACCGTCAAATCATACCACTTAAAGCGAAAAGAATTAAGTGAAGAAAACGCTCTACGTTTATTTTCCATGGTAGAGGGCCCAGTGTTGTCATGTGCTTGTGCGATGGAAAACGTTGGCTTGCTCCATGCCTAAGTACAGCACATTAATCATTTTACACCGGATTGTATGTCTATTGTTTTGGGGTACACATTGGCCCGGTCACATCAAATACATGTATAAGCCAATCTACTTTTAACTTAGAGTGTCAACCTGAAAGCTCTGGAGCAGCAGCATACGAAGACAACAATTGTGGCAAATTCTCCGTCCCGAAAACGGAGGGAGAATGGTACCGGAGTGATATGATCTTCACTAAGAACGACAGGGAAGCCTGCTTTGCCCTGCAGCTCTCGCGGATCCCGCTGTTCCACCTCGCCACGACTGTGGGACCCTGCATCATCCTGGTGGTACTGATGACCATCACCTTCATCATGCCGATGGACAAGGGAGACCGGATCTCGTTTGGAGTGACCATTCAACTCTCCATGGTCGTCTCTCTCGTGTTCGTTACGGATGTTCTTCCTGTCAAGGGGGCTTTGCCATTTTTTGGTGAGTGAAGATGGCTATATGACCAAGCGTTGTTGTAACGATTTTTGCAAACTTATTTTTCCAGTCTTGAAACAACCCTATGTAAATAGACGATATTTAATCATTTTACATTAGTATTTGATATACTGTTTCCCTGTTGAACTGTGATACTTTTTAATATAAAATGCGCAATTATGTGTGTGTAATTTCTACATATAGTGTATATTAGTTATTTGAATGGGACACATGATGTACCTTACAGCTACGCTGATCATCGTGTGGATGGGCCTGATGGGAATCTTCCTATTCTTCACCATCGCAGTCATCATTATCCATGGCAAGGACGGGAGCCTTCCTCCCTCAGCGAAGAAGTTTTTCCTCTGCTACTTGTCAAAGTTAGTGCTAATAGATTTTTCTATGTTTCTCGTCATATAGAACGATTATAGTATATATGACATACACGTGAAAACTGTACTGCACACGTTAGACATATAATTCTGACTGCTTCGTAGTTGTAGTAAGTACGTACTCACTATTAATGAAATGAGGTCACATGACATAGTATAGATTTTCTATGAAAACAAAAGCTGTGCATGCATGTGGAAAGCATGTGAATAACCAGAAAAGTTAATGACTGATTGTTCTTTATTCACATCTACTTCAACAAGAACCGACTATTCAATGACCGTCTGTCATCTTAACCAAGTGATTAGCAGTTTTCTTTCTTTCATTTGCTGTATATAAGGATGCTACTGCTGGGAGACCTAACAAAGGAGCAGAGCACTGGCGACGGTGAGACTGACCCGACCAACCCTACCGCCATAGAGCTCACCAACGCCGCGTTCCGAGACGATGACATGGCGTTTGAAGGGGAAAGACCCGGCAATGACCCGGGGAAGATCCGGCAACTGTCATCCCCTCACGCAATTTTGGTGACCACTAGCTCCCCAGGCATCCGTGAGCTGATCTCCAGTGTGAAAGCGGTAAAGAACGAGGTGGGCGAGCTGATCAAGGCGGTGAAGGACGAGGAGGAGTCCGACTACACGCTGTTAGCTAAGGTCCTGGACAGGCTGTGTCTTGTCTTGTACATCGTCAGTATCGTGGCATCCATTCCTCTGATCATGTTTCTGAGCAAGTAAATTACATCATTTTGCCTTAATGTAAAGTAACAAACACAATACCAGCTTTGACGTGTATATGCATATAGTCAAATTTGTCAACTTAGCAGTATAAGATTTGCAAAGTATTTCTCCGTGTGAGATATCATGCATAGTAAGTAGCTTGTAAATGTTCCTTTAAAATTTGTAGACTAGGTTCCCATGGCCAATTTATCCAGAGCCTTTACATCAGTACAGATGGTAGAGATGCATTGTATAGTTTCAATGTATGATTCAAGAGGTATTTTCTCTAAGAGGTAGGGATCTATATAGATTGTGTTTGTTATGTCTGTCTCTACCGATTTACGTAATACTATGTGCATGACATGAGTATGTTTACAAACTGATTCACTTAGTTCCTAAAGCTTTGTGCTCGAAACTATTTACTTGTACTTGTTATTCTATACGGCTATAATGCTCTCACACAAATAACTTAATGTGAAAGAATGTCAAAAGTATATCATATCATATGGTAAATATGGAAAACTATTATAGTGATACGCTTTACAAGTGCATGAGACCGATTGTTTTGTCAGCACAGTGTAGTAGTTTTGGATATTAACATGTATATACAAATCATATGTTACATATTTGCGGTGTTCAGTGCAAAGGATAGTGTTTATATATGTACAAATTATACAATTCTGTCAAAACTCACTCCATATATGTTCCATTGCTATAAAACAATATCAGTGTTTCATTTCTTTGACAGTATAGCACATATAGCATATAATGAAGTTGAGAGTAGTAGGTTATTTGGGCACATTTAGTGATAAATCTGTTCGTAATGGTTTACATCTTGGTGAATTTTCTCCCCGGGAATATCATTCAATATCTCTTGGAATTGATATGCCGTGGATGAGTTTGTTCTGCAAAAGAAAAAGAAAATAAAAATGTTTACTTCTATATACCCATTTGAAATATGTGTTGTCGTAATGCATTTTTTCGACGTAAATAAGTAAAGTCTTATATATTCTTAACACATTAGTTCAAACTGTATATTAAAACCCTTGTCCTGCGGAGCCCATTTATTAATGGGTTGCACATACAGTACCATCTATATAGTGCCCTGTATATGTGCGATTTGGGGTGTTTCTGGTGTCACAAACGCAACAAATGCGAAAGTAACTATGCCACCAAGGGGCAAAAAAGTCAAGGGTATGTGACCTGATTACGATTGAAAATATTGTGTAAAAAATGCCAGCAGGACAGGGGTTAAGAAAATGTGAATATTCTACGGTACTTACTCATCATAGAGCGGGTTCACTACGTAGCGGTAGTAACTGCTCCTAAAAATTCAGAAACAACAGTTGTTACACAGTGAAGCAGTATCTTAATTAAACTTTATTAATAGCACCATATGCATTTAGTGCAAGGACAGACGCATTGCTTAGTAAGCAGCGGATTGAGTGTGAAAAGTTCGTGGCGTCCTCCGTCCGTATTCAGGGATGGTTTTAGTGGTGAATTCATTTGACAAGTACTAGTGTTGGGGGGGGGGAGTTAAACATTGTCTCTATGGTGAATTTGTCTTCATGATGAAATTTGTCTCCAGGTGAATAACAAAAACTTTGTCATCTAGCGATTTTTCAACTTATAAGAGTACTGCATGCGCAAATAAAACAAACAAACAAACAAGCAAACAGACCTTTTGTTGAATCTGCCATACGGATCAAACTCTTCCACCGACTTCTCCGGCTGGCAGTTGTATTCCTTGGTGTAACTAGAAGAAAATGGTATAGATATATTCAAATGATAAAGGTGTAACGATATTTTATGCCAGCAGTTATCTCACCATATTACAACTTGCTGTGTTCTGCCCATTCTTTATCTATATGACACGGGCTTTAAACTTAGACCTCAGACCATAATACATCGCCCATGTACATGACTATAACTGTGTACCTACTTACAGCTGAAAGACCTACTTTAGCTTCGTGGTTCGGGAATTAAGAATAGGAAAAATTGCAGACACATAACCTACGTTTTCTTTCGAAGGATGATGCAGACAGTCAGCAGGAAGGCGAGGAACACGGTAGCAGCGGCGCCTCCTGCGATCACGTGGACGGCCCATGGTGGCCACTGTGCAGGCCCCTCAACTCCCGTACACGTGCCGTCTCCGTTCTCCTTCATACATCTGCAACACGGAACGTCAACACTTACATCATTGACATGGAGTACATGCAGAATATTAGCCTATATCACAAACTTAGGTCTTACGGATTTAACCTACTTTGCTAGCTGAGGCATTGACGCTATTGTTAACCTTGTATAGAAGCATTATGATAACAGCACGTTTCTTTTTAGACAACAAAAAAATGATATTGTGACTTTGAACATAATGATATACTTAATACATGTTTTAATGTGAATTCTGTATATATTCATCATGTGTTGCCTTTATTGCCTCTGTATATTTCATACACTTCATATTTACCCATAAGTAAACACTGGGATATTTTTATGTACATACAGTGATTCAGCCTGTATTCCCAGGGTGTTGTTCCCACTCGTGCTATTCTGGAGAGCCAAGAGGAAAGCCTCCCTGACCTGCAGGTCGGTGACCTCCCTGCCCTGGCGTAAGATCACCTCATAGTCCGCGATGACGCTTCCTCTCCGGAACCTGGTGACAACCACACTGATGATGTCCGCTGACACCTGGCTCTCTTGTAGGTAGGACCATATCTGGTAATACAATTAAAACTCAAGGCAATTAGAGATTACAGACTTTACACTATTCACGTACCAGTAAAAATGTATATTAGATATCTACTTGGTGGGGCTGACTGGGGCACTGGTTAGTTTTGATCAAATTTGTTGGGTGACTGACCGTTTCTGTTAGCTGAGAGGCAAGAGATGTGAACTCTTCAGAGGTAGGATTGTTGAGCTCCTCGGTGAATTCTATATTCACCATGGTGACTTCGAAGAAAATGGCGGGTGGACCTGCAGACATTACAATAATATCATCATTTTATCATCTTATGTTCAGGCTGAGTGGACCAATCACAGGTCTCCATTTCTAGGTTTGAGCTAATTTCTCAAGTTCTCAAAAATAAGAACATCTTAAGCAAATAGCACATCAAAACCACGAACAATCTAAGGATTTCTTGTTACTCACGTTCTGTTGTGGCGACAAAACTTGACTGTGTCTGTTGTACAGTAGCTTTGAAGGTCGGAGAAGGCTTTGTAGACAATGCCAGCGTTGTGAACGGCTTTGGTTTTTCTGTGGAAATTTCGGTGGCTTTTGTGTTCTGGTGAGTAGTAGCAGTGAATGTTGTTGACTTTATAGACTCTGTGGTCGCGTGTACTTCTTTGGTAGTAGCTAAGATGGAAGTGGTTGGAGGCGTTGTTGTTAGATGAGTAGATGTAAGGAGTGAAGGTTGAGTTTCCGCGGCTGCTGTCGTAGGGTAGGCTGTTGTTGTTTCTGTTGAGAAAGTTTCTACTGTTGTTGGTTCAGACGTTGTTGGGTTGTGTGCAGTTGTCAGCTCTGGGATGGTTGTTGGTCTGGTTGTCATCATGGTAGTGTGTTTCATGGTGGTTGTCATCGTGTCTACTGTGGTAGGATAGGCTGTTGTTGTTTCTGTTGTTGTTGGTTCAGACGTTACTGTTGTTGGTTCAGACGTTGTTGGGTTGTGTGCAGTTGTCAGCTCTGGCATCGTTGTTGGCTTGGATGTCATCAGGGTAGTGTGTTCCATGGTGGTTGTCATCGTGTCTACTGTGGTAGGGTAGGCTGTTGTTGTTTCTGTCGAGAAAGTTTCGACTGTTGTTGGTTCAGACGGTAATGTTGTTGGTTCAGACGTTGTTGGGTTATGTGCAGTTGTCAGCTCTGGCATCGTTGTTGGCTTGGATGTCATCAGGGTAGTGTGTTCCATGGTGGTTGTCATCGTGTCTACTGTGGTAGGGTAGGCTGTTGTTGTTTCTGTTGAGAAAGTTTCAACTGTTGTTGGTTCAGACGTTGTTGCTGTTAGTTCAGACGTTGTTGGGTTATGTGCAGTTGTCAGCTCCGGGATGGTTGTTGGCTTGGATGTTATCATGGTAGTTGGTTCCATGGTGGTGACCATAGTAGTAGAGGGAATCTTAGTAGTGGAGACTAGAATGAACAATAGTTGATATTGTCAATGTACGTGTTGATAAGAAAGCACATCTCTGTTTCCAAATCCCTTGCTATTGGGTCACGCAGTGATCGACGCATACACTGCAGCATAAGCACAGTCCAAGTTTGCAACTACCATCACTACACTCACCACTACCCCCAAAATACCTGCATAGCAAAGAACGTTTAGACTTCGATTTGCGTACGTCACACACGCCTATCAGCAAGTTTAAGTAATCTAGAGAATTACTTCTTCAATGATACCGTAAATGTCATTATTGCTGAAAAACGCAAACGACCTGTTATAGAAATATCCAAAAGTACCTTGTGAGCAGGTGTCACCCTCCCATCCTTCATGACAGGTACATGAATAGTCCCCTATACCATCCACACAGTCTCCATGTTCACACGGGTCGGACGCACAGTCGTCGATATCTGAAAGTGAGTTATTTGACGTGCATGTTCATTATTTTATAACGTTATTACCTATAACGCAGAATTAAACTTACCTCACGTCGCTGTAGGTGTACGCCATCGAGCTTCACAGTGATGTATGCAGCTATGTGTACGTATAGACGTACCTGTTTGTTAATGTGCATGTATGGATCCATTGAAGCTATTTCATTTTTATCCTAGTCTTCTGTAATGAAGTACTTTGCTAGCTATCGTTATGTAGCGGGAAGCTATAGGCTGGAGTGAAGAGACACAATAGAGACACAGCAGAATAGAGTTACAGTAGAAATAAAGATACAGCGGTGTACAAACAAATGAAAAAATGTCGCGTCTTGCAACTTGCGTCTATGCAAACATTATATGTTCAATTGTGTACTCACTGTCACTACAGTTGACTCCACCCCAACCGTTATCACAGGTACAGGTATAACCGGCTACTATGTCATTACAGGTGCCGTGTGTACAGGGGTCTGGACTGCAGTCGTCTATATCTGTGTATGAGTACATTGGTAAGATGTCATTTTTGAAGGTGCAAAGTGACATATACGTTTAATACAGACTTACGAAATAGCCATAGAGGACAAATACAGATTTTTACTCACTCCAAGTACAGTTGACTCCACCCCAACCGTTATCACAGGTACAGGTATAACCGGCTACTGCGTCTGTACAGGTGCCGTGTGTACAGGGGTCTGTACTGCAGTCGTTGATATCTATGTAAGGGGCAAATTGCATAAGATTCTAGTATTTGTTTAAAGGAGTAGATTCAAATACTTCGTACACAGAGGGATGATGTTAGGCTAAAGGATATAACCATAATGTCTAGATCACTCACTTTGATCACAATCTGCACCTTCCCAGCCGTTCTCACAACTACAAGTGTAGCTCGCTACACCGTCTGTACAGGTGCCGTGTGCACAGGGGTCAGGACTGCAGTCGTTGATATCTAGATACGGCGAAAAGTGCATAAGATTTCAGAGTTTGTTTTAAAAGGAGTAGCGGATGTAAGGTTGAAAGAATATAACCATATGTGTCTACACCACTCACTTTGATCACAGTTGCCACCTTCCCAGCCGTTCTCACAACTACAATCATCGATGTCTGAATGAAATGCAGAAATGTCGGGTAAAAGCTATAGCAAATTCGGTAATTTCAACGAATATTTTACGGTATTTTGAGTATACAAAATACCGTACAACAAATTAGTGGCAATGAATCAAACGTACATTAAATTGAAACGTAAACTCACTTTGATCACAATCTGCACCTTCCCAGCCGTTCTCACAACTACAAGTGTAGTTCGCTACACCGTCTGTACAGGTGCCGTATGTACAGGGGTCAGGACTGCAGTCGTCGATATCTAGATACGGGGCAAATTGCATTTGAATTTGCTTCTAAGGGATTATAGTCCAATACTAGTACTTGACTAACAGAGGGGTGATAGATTGAAAGGATATAACCTTAGATGTCTACATTACTCACTTTGATCACAGTTGCCACCTTCCCAGCCGTTCTCACAACTACAAGTGTAGTTGGCTACACCGTCTGTACAGGTGCCGTGTGTACAGGGGTCAGGACTGCAGTCGTCGATATCTGGTTTACAGAAAGAGTTAAATTTCAGGGTCGTATATCAAAATTTATATTTGTAACACACAGAAAGACGTCAGAAAGATTTTAGGTTGAAGGGATATAACCTCAACATTTTAAAGCACTCACTCAGATCGCAGTTGTCACCTTCCCAGCCGTTCTCACAACTACAAGTGTAGTTAGCTACACCGTCTGTACAGGTGCCGTGTGTACAGGGGTCAGGACTGCAGTCGTCTGTATCTGGTTATGGGCAATGTGCATAAGATTGTTAATTTAAATTCAAGGGTCTTATATTGAAATTTATATTTATGATACACAGAAAGACGGTACGTTTAATGAACATATTTTTTAGAACATTACAGCACTCACTCAGATCACAGTCATCACCTTCCCAGCCGTTCTCACAACTACAAGTGTAGCTCGCCACACCGTCTGTACAGGTGCCGTGTATACAGGGGTCAGGACTACAGTCGTTGACATCTAGGTACGGGGCAAATTAGAAGATTCCAGAGTTTGTTTTAAAAGGAGTATTTTCCTATACTTGATACAAAAAAGTCTTTAAGAATTGTCTAAATCACTTACTCTGATCACAATTGTCGTCGATATCTAGATACGGGGCAAATTGCATTTGAGTTTGTTTCTAATATAAGGGATTATAGTCCAATACTAGTACTTGACTAACAGAGGGGTGGTAGATTGAAAGGATATAACCTTAGATGTCTACATTACTCACTCTGATCACAGTTGCCACCCTCCCAGCCGTTCTCACAACTACAAGTGTAGTTAGCTACACCGTCTGTACAGGTGCCTCGTGCACAGGGGGAGGACGCACAGTCGTCTGTGTCTGGTTATGAATAGGGGTATGAGATCGTCGATTTTATCTCAAAAGTATTATATGACAATCCATATTTCGCAGTGAAAGAAAGATGCTAGGTTGAAAGCATATAAATTTTAAAGCACTTACTCTGATCACAGTTTCCACCCTCCCAGCCGTTCTCACAACTACAGGTGTAGTTCGCTACACCGTCTGTACAGGTGCCGTGTACACAGGGGGAGGACGCACAGTCGTCTGTGTCTGGAAAATATAGAACTGACAGGATCAGGCTAACATTTAGAAAGGAAATATCCTTATTGCATCTTTCATCGAGAAATGTGTCAATAAGCAGTGATTTTTTTCTCATGCAATTGAATAACAGTTTCAGTATGTCAAATTGAAACGATTGCTCACTTTGATCGCAGTTGTGACCTTCCCAGCCGTTTTCACAACTACAAGTGTAGTTAGCTACACCGTCTGTACAGGTGCCGTGTGTACAGGGGTCAGGACTGCAGTCGTCGATATCTAGGTACGGGGCAAATTGCATTTGAGTTTGTTTCTAAGAGATTATAGGCCAATACTAGTACTTGACTAACAGAGAGATGATAGATTGATAGGATATAACCTTAGATGTCTACATTACTCACTTTGATCACAGTTGCCACCTTCCCAGCCGTTCTCACAACTACAAGTGTAGCTCGCTACACCGTCTGTACAGGTGCCGTGTGTACAGGGGTCAGGACTGCAGTCGTCAATATCTAGGTACGGGGCAAATTGTACAAGATTTCAGAGTTTGTTTTAAAGGGAGTAGCGGATGTACGATTGAAAGAATATAACCAAGTGTAGCTCGCCACACCGTCTGTACAGGTGCCGTGTACACAGGGGGGGGACGCACAAACATCAATGTCTGAATGAAATGCATAAAACTCGGGTCAAAGCTATAGCAAATTCGGTAATTTCAACGAATATTGTACGGTATTTTGAGTATAACGAAAACAAATTAGTGGCAATGACTTAAACGTACATTAAATTGAAACGTAAACTCACTCTGATCACAATTGTCACCTTCCCAGCCGTTCTCACAACTACAAGTGTAGCTCGCTACACCGTCTGTACAGGTGCCGTGTGCACAGGGGTCAGGACTGCAGTCGTTGACATCTAGGTACGGGGCAAATTAGAAGATTCCAGAGTTTGTTTTAAAATGAGTAGTTTCCTATACTTGATACAAAATTGTCTAAATCACTTACTTTGATCGCAGTTGTCTCCTTCCCAGCCGTTCTCACAACTACAAGTGTAGCTCGCTATACCGTCTGTACAGGTGCCGTGTACACAGGGGTCGGGACTGCAGTCGTCGATATCTAGGTACGGGGCAAATTGCATTTGAGTTTGTTTCTAAGGGATTATAGTCCAATACTAGTACTTGACTAACAGAGGGAAGATAGATTGAAAGGATATAACCTTAGATGTCTACATTACTCACTTTGATCACAATTGTCACCTTCCCAGCCGTTCTCACAACTACAAGTGGAGCTCGCTACACCGTCTGCACAGGTGCCGTGTGCACAAGGGTCAGGACTGCAGTCGTCGATATCTAGATACGGGGCAAATTGCATTTGAGTTTGTTTTAAAGGGATTATAGTACAATACTAGTACTTGACTAACAGAGGGGTGATAGATTGAAAGGATATAGCCTTAGATGTCTACATTACTCACTCTGATCACAGTTGCCACCCTCCCAGCCGTTCTCACAACTACAAGTGTAGTTAGCTACACCGTCTGTACAGGTGCCGTGTGCACAGGGGGAGGACGCACAGTCGTCTGTGTCTGTGTAAAAATAAATGATCATGTTTGCGATTCATCAAAGATTTTGGACCGACGTATCTTTTCGCGGTGAACGCGGATTTGCGATGTTCAACGTCGGCCACGTTTCTACATCCCGCAAACCTTTGATATCAGGCTTATGAAATGAGATGCATACATATCTGTATATACTCACTGTTATTACAGTTGACTCCCTCCCAGCCGTCCTCACAGGTGCAGTTGTAACCGCCTGACTCAGCCACACAGCTACCGTGTTCACATGGGTGAGGACTGCAGTGGTCCGTTGCTGGTACTGGATATCACAAATGATATAGTTGGTTAAGTGTCCTTAAAAATTATGCTTGTTAACGTAAATATTGTACTATCAGTGTAAAAACTCGAAACAGTTTTACTTTTCAAAGTCAATATTAGTGTTATATCTGTGTTTGGTTCATATGAAAATTAGGCTCTCTCGTACAAAAGTTTTCTCCGGATGAGATTTTTCGGCAATCAAACGACTTTAGATGGACTTTTGAACATTTCACGACTGCCGCAAAAGCATCCAAAATTAACGTTAGTTACCAAATTATTATTCTTGCAGTTTGTCAAAAATAAGCTAGTTTGCATGTAGCTATGGTCGCATCGGAAAGTTTACTAATCAGCAGGAATAAAAGAAAAATACTTGCCATCACAGCCAAGTATCTCTGCCCTCAGGCGGATGAAGGTGTCGCCTTTCCATGTCTGTGGGTTTATCCTGATGTACTGTGTCCGGACTGCAGCAGGCAGGGTTTGTTCCACTACTGTAGGTCCGTCAGAGTTACCTGTAAAGATCTGCACCAGCATTTTACTATTAGTATTGAATATAGCAAGAATGCAAAGCAATTAAATTTATATCATAATTTTTTCAAAAATTGTATTATAAATACACAAAAACTGTGACAGTCATACCTGGCCATCATTGTCGCCGTATATATTCCATGTTTGCTGATCATCAGAATACATCAGTTTGTAAGACTTGATGTGCCCTCCCCACAGACCCTGTGTTTGGACACCTGTGATGAACTTCTGACTACCGAGGTCGATCTGGAGCCACTGGTCTGTATCTACAGTGTTTGTCTGCCACGCCTTGTTGGCGTTATTCAGACGGCCTCTCCACGCTTCATACCCGGTTTTCTCAGTGGAAGCCGTGATGTGGTCGTTAGGAATGGCGCCGCTCTCCATCCCAAGGGGGTTTGAACAGTCATCAGGAACCGCTAGTCAACAGTAATGACAAAAGTATTACATCAGCTGTCTGCATGGTTGTGAAAAGCAAATATTCAATCACCTGGGTCTTATGCAATCCTTAAGTGTACTTTGAAATTATGCGTCTTTTAAACATTAGATCCTATTGATTTAAATGTGAAATCCTCTTGAATCCTCTTTTATTCTGGACTCTGCCTTATATTTACTATTTCATGTGCCTTGTGTATTATGGAATATTATATTACGTTTACGGAAACGTATTCTGCGGCAAGGAGGATGTTCCCCGCAGCAAAATATTTTAAGGTTTTCATATAATATTCAATATACTGAAGCAAATGATTTTTTAGAATATTACCAACACTGCTACTTCGTTGGTGCAATGTTTCCCTAAACGCTACATTATCATTAACGTTAAATTAACGTTACAACCCAATTTGGGAAGTAGTTGCCTCCTTTGGTATACATAGTGCAGCTTGAGTACACAAAGTTACGAAACACGGATCATGCTGTCTACTGATATGACCACCGATTGTTTATAACCCGATATAATTACATGTCCCATAACCTACATTTGTCAGCAACAGAAATGTTATCAGTATACGTCCTTGCTAGATGTGTGTCTGTTCTTTCACGATGCTTGCATGCGGCCCAATGCAGATGAACTGTTGACATGCCATTGTTTGGTTAAACCACTTACTGATAAATCACGTTTTAGTCTGGCATGAGCAGATGACATGCCCTATGAAGTATTAGGTTATATGTGTTTTAGCTGGTTCAATATTGTACAATATTTGTGCAGTTCTACTTACATCACTCACATTTCTCAGATATCATTACTGCCAAATTATGACTATATATATTGGTACATACCGACTTCAGCCGATGGAGATGTTGCACCTAATTGTGGAAAATGAAATAAAATCAACTAATTTGATTATTCCCAAGATGAATTAGACTAACGAATTATAATCATTGTGATCGTTTTTAATCTCTCAAAATATTCTTTGCAATACTAACATTGTCAAAGCAGTAATATGGAATATATTATTTCCCCTATTTGCATTGTTTACAACCATTGTTTACAACCCCTCAAAACAGCATACAGCATTAATTGTTACAATAAAATACTGTCGTACAAAAGACATGCTACATGGACATGGCACATGAATGTAATGGCTGTATTTAAGATGTGGGTATGACACAACTCACCGAGAACAGTGCCGTAAGTGGCACGAAATCCTCTGTAAAAAGAGTTGCCTCCAAGCGACGTGAAGATCACCGTCAAGGACGGTCCTGTAGACACGATTTGACTATCCGGTGCATTGCCTGAACAATATGCGCCAATTAGTGTCGAGGTATCAGGAGTGCCGTCGAAAACTTCAAGTTTGTCCCGACTGTCACAGTTAGGACTGGAAAAACCATACATGTTGAAGTGAGTTATGTCCAATGTGACGGCCTGTCCAGGTGGTGCGGTGATAGTCCAGGTACATTGTGTGTCTTTAGGATATGGGCTTGGGTAGTTTGGTGACGTAATCTCCCCAGTAGGTGTAACTGCTGCGTCTATGGTGTCGTCGCAAGCGGTGGCTGCAAAACATACAAGGATCTTTTTTACCAAGGCCACACAACAGAGGAGGAATCTGTCATTTGTATGAGACGTATTTGCACGGAACGCAACAACCAATCCTAACAGCATGTGTTTCATAAACTATCTACAACAAGGGGCCTAACCATGCACATAAATTTGATTATAGGGGTCATGTTCACGGCTTTTACTTTTATGTGCATTTATCTAAATGGCATCTATTTCACCATTACGAATAGTGTAGTCGTCTCAAAATGTTTTCGTTATTACGTTGTATCACTGGAATGTTTTGTGACTGTGCCAGAGCTGCCCATTTCTGCCCACCCCTTCAATGTATGACACCTCCTAACAATTACACAACATAGTTCACGCGTCAATGTATTGATTGTCGTCATGTGCAGTACAAGACGAGAAGTCAGTTTTCCACACACCAAATATAACTACACAGTATACCATCAGATACAAATCCCTGTACTTATACAATTCAATAAGTAGTTGTCTCGACTCACCTTGTTTAAAGATGACCACTAAGGACAACACGACGAGAAGTGTCCTTGCCGCCATGTTACCGACTGGTGTGACTAAAAATTGAATCTCTGTCCTGCGTATACCTACCACCAGGTGCCAACACGAGTGTTTGTACAGGGCCGTGGTCTGATCTATTACTGCAAATAACCCGGGTCTCCTATCTTGTTAGACTAACATGGACTTTTGCCTGCTTTCTACCAGGTCAGCGCACGAACAAACCCTAGAACAGGATAAGAATAACCTGGGTGACAATTCAACTTAACATCACCTAGTACTGTTCTTATTAAAAAAGATATGAGGTAAATATAATTTTAGATCCAAAATCTAGAGTAAACCAAGAAATGACCAAAAGTAAACGGACCGTTTGGCATTTGTTGTGACAAATTGGTTATTTTGGTTTGTTATGTTTTTATTCCAAACTAATTAGTCACCCCTAAGATTCCTATTCCTGCCTCGTCCACATTTATTAAGGAAAACAGCAATAGTGAAGAAAACAGACCGGATGAGTTTTTAAAAGATGTCAATTTCCACAGAAACATTTACCATACGTAAAGTGTGTCAAGGTATTAGAACCGTCATCGGCACAAGAGTAGTTTAAAAAGTTTGCCGCCTTTTTCGGAAGCAAAGAGCATACATGTACCTCAGAGTACTTTGGCAAAGATAAGAGTTGGCAAATGTCAATTGATGTAATTAACGTCTAGGCAATATTTCTATGTACTTCAATGGTACACGTAACCTAACCTTTGTTCAAGGACACGATATGGCTGAACACAATGATCTGTGTGTCTGATCAGGCGAATGTGTGTGTGCGTGTGTGTGGTGGGGGGGGGGGGTGCTGGTCAATGATTGGGAACAGTCCGCCCTATTTTTCCACACACCCCATTATAAGCTACTAGTACTATGTTCCGATACCACAACGTTTCGACGGCGACGTATGGCAACTTTTAGGATTGTCTGAACATACATGTTGAGTTGTTAGAACATAGGAGTGTCAGGAAATTGGGATGTCAGAACATCATGATCAACAAGAACATTCATCGCGGATTTGCCCAGACGACTGTACCTTGATACTTCTCCATTACTGCTTATGGGGAAGTTTGATGACAGTTTGATCGATGTTTGTGTCCTTGTTATTCTGTTACCACTAATGTTCCGCTTATCCTGTGCAAATACTTCATACAACCGCTGCTTGTGAACAATGCTTTAAAATAATTATAATTTCAACTCATTGGACATTATGGTCACGACTCACGACTTTAAAACCTTCCTCCCTTTTGAAAAGTTTGAGCCCTTACGTAGTTGACCGGATTGTGCACACTTGTTTTCATTGACAAATATATTTCAATCTAGAAAACTTCCTTATAAAAAATAGCGACACGACAAAAAAGGGTACGGAAGTAGCCATGTAGGAACGCTAGTTTGCGGAACCATACCTACAGATATAAACAAACTATTGAAGTGTTTTGTTACAACTTCTGCTTTTCCATGACAGCTGTCACATATAAATACCCTAACTGGCTGTCAGCATAGCATTTTTCTCTTAGCCTACGGTACGGCACAGTGTTACAAAACAGTGCATTTGTGATACATTTGTACAGTGCATTTGTATACATTTGTACATATACATGATGTACGCAATGGCTGTATTTCCGCCGAAAGTTTTAATTCTGTGTCTGATGTCAGTGCTGTGTTACACTGACTTTGTTGAAGGCATATCTGAAGATAGAGGCAACTTCATTCTAAATTCAGCCAGTTTCTCCACTTCGGAAGACGCCAAGACATCCTCCTTCGACTTGGACTTCTTGAGAAACTGCATTCGGAAGAAGGAGACGGTTGTGTTGTGTACGCGGCGTCACCTGCGACACGTCCCGCGAGGGTTACCGGCCAGCACTACCCATCTGAACCTCACGGGAAACCTGTTTAAAACCTTAGGTAAGGGCGTTCAACACCATCTTAACTGTACATTATACGAACATGAAAATACACATTTGAAATACAATTTTTCTTAAATAGACCAGCTTTTCCATTTCAGAAAAATCCGGCATATGCAGTTTAGCAGTGCAGGTAAAGCTGTACCTGTGCCGGTATTTCTGATGTTTACCAGTACCTAAACTGCACCGGTTCATGTACTGGGTTTATATACACTGTATACCTGTAGTTGCATGTGGGTTTTTATTAGCTGTATTGACTGTCAACTCCTATGAAATGTGAAAGTAATAATCGCAATGATTTCTAAACAGTTCTAATGTGATCCGTATATTGCCTTGTAAGTTCTGAGTGGTGCAGGTAAAATTTGTCTGGTGCAGGTAATTTTCAATGTTATGTGCCTCAGTGCAGGTATGTGGGAAATGAAATATATCTCTCCACAATTGCTTAACATTACAGGAACCATACTGACAACTTCCTCATAGCTGCTTGGTTCATAGCTTAAAAACAAGCATTGAGTGTTCCGATCCCCAGCATAAAACGTCGACACATCACGATCACAAACCATGCTTTTATAACTATAGTATAATAAATATCAATATCTTTGATCTTTTTATTTGTCCGTTAAACATGCCACTAAAATAGCCATTTAGTTCCTATTCTAAGAGCGACCGGGACCAATAACACAACAAAAGAGGAACTTCGCGAGCAGAACTGTTCCTTTTAACTGTGGTATTGTTGGACATGCGTGACTGGTGGGTAAAGAAGGTACTAAACAAAATACCTTTCTTTCACCAAGCTCACTTGGTAACATAATCCCTAGCGCGTGTCCAACACGTACAGAACAATAAGGCAAGTAGAGAGTGTAATCTCAATCAATGAGACTTATGTGTCAAAATACACGTTTTCTTGCTGTGGAGTAGCTTAATAGTATATAACATTATCTTATGCTAATAAAACCACTGAATGAATCACTCTGAGTCTTACGCATACATCACGTTCCAAGTTTCGCCCACAGTGTGTTCTGTCGGTGTACTTCCCTCTTCACTTGCATGTACAATTGATGTACAATTCCTCAGCCTTGTTAATTGCTTTTTTCCTTCTTTACAGGCCCCAACACGTTTCCTCGCCTTCACAACTTGAAACACTTAGATATGAGCAGGAATCGCATCACCACCATCGAGGGAGGAAGTTTCAAGAACACCTACAACCTGACATCCCTCTATCTCAATCATAACAACATCTCTGTCATCCAGTTTGGTGCATTTGATGACCTTGTGTCGTTAGAGGTGCTAGGGCTAGCGTACACTCGCCTTTCAAATCTCAACAGCGTGGATTTCCTCACTCCTAATTTAAAATCACTCTACTTCATCTCTTTCGCAGGAAACCGAGTCAGTCAGTGCAAACTGGGTAAAGAGTTCAGAAATCTCGAAAATTTGACGTCCTTAGACCTGGCTAACAACGTCATTTCCGACCTTGAACACGACTGCTTTGCCCCACTGAACGAATCACATGTTGAAAAACTAGACCTGTCCTTCAACAACATCCGAGTTATCAGTCATCCAGCTTTCTGGCCATTCCGTAACTTGTCTTACGTGTTTCTTGGTGGAAACAAATTTGACCTGAAACAACTAAACACCACATTTGATAATCTAAACAGCATCGATACTGTGTCCTTGCACCTTTCCTTCTATAACAGTACATTTCTGGCTGGAGTCAAGATTCCTTTAAACACCACATTTCATCGTTTGGCAGCGCTGCCAATCACTCATCTAGATCTGTCGTATGTAGGCCTGCGAGGGTTACCAGAAACTGGCTTGTTTTCCTTCTTACCTCAGCTAGAAACCCTTCTCTTGGTAGGTAATAATATAACCCAGTTACCACCAAAGGCATTCGGTGGCTTAGGTAGCTTGAAGACGCTGGATATGCGCAAGAACAATTATTTCCCAAACGTAAAGAAAGGTTCGTTTGTGTCCCTCGAGAATCTGACATCCCTCTCGCTCACTCTTGCTAAAGGTCGCTCAGACATACACGGCAGTGTCTTCTCCAACCTTCCCAAACTTCGGTCTTTAACCATTTCAGGCCCTAGAGACTTGTTCGCTATAGGAAGATTCACCTTATACAGTCTACGAGGTCTGTCGTATCTGGAAAATCTAACGATTGAATGGCATGATCTTCCAGGTGTTCCAAGCCCTGCTCTGAAACTGGTTAATGGAACCCTCCAAAAACTAAGCTTTCTCCATGGACACATTTCGGCACTGGTACCAAGGGCATTTCGCGGGTTCACACAACTCGACACTCTTGACATCAGATATAACAAGCTGCCCTCCCTCCCCGAATATGCATTTGATGGGCTTGTTAACCTGACCAACCTAAAACTCTCTCACAACTTTATCAAGTCAATTGACAAAACAGCATTTCTCGGTCTTTTAAAATTGGAGATATTATACCTAGAAAGTAACCATCTCTGTTTCAAAGCCAGCTCTTACTTCCCTCCGCCATTCACTGGCTTGTCAGCCTTGATTTCTTTACATCTTGAAAACCAAGACTCGCGTTGCTATTTTGGAGGCATTGAGTCTTTTCCCCCTGATTTCTTTGCAGGACTCTTCTCGTTGAAGAGGCTTCATCTGAGCCGCAATAAACTTGGGAATATGTTGGCTCGTGAGGAAACTAGCCGTCCGTTTGCAAACCTTACGACCCTAGAGGTTCTCGATTTATCATATAACAACTTTGATACAATGACATCCTTGCCGTTCGAAAACCTCACAAATCTGACAAGTCTGTACCTCTCTGTCAACCGGATTCCAAGTATCCCAGACGATCTATTCAAAGCGGTGCCCAACCTGCGAAAGTTGATGCTAAATTCGAACCGTAGGTTAGGAAAATTGCCAAAAGAAGGGCTAAGTTTCTTGAATAATCTTGAGCGGTTGAACTTGGAAGATATCCCCTTGCAATGCACGTGTGAAGAAGAGTGGTTTTACGATTGGGTAGTGAGTAATCAGACCAAGACGTTATTTTATAACTTGTCAAACTACGGTTGTGTGTCTCCTGAACGTCTTGTACATAAGACTATATTAGACTTTGATGCTGAAGCTCAGGGGTGCCACGATAAGACAGGGCTACACCTGGCAATATTCGGCTCTCTTGCCTTGGTAATCTTCCTCGTTAGTGCTGGTATTGGTTATCGCAACCGCTGGTACATCAAATACGGCTGCCTTGTGGCCAAGGCTCGCTTCCATGGCTACCAGACTATTCCAGAAAAGAAGTTCGACGCCTTCGTGTCCTACAACCACAATGACCGCGCTTGGGTGATGGACGAGTTGGTACCCCACCTGGAAGATCGGGAAGAGTTCCGACTCTGCCTGGACTATCGTGACTTTGTTCCCGGCGCGCCGATCACGGACAACATCGTGAACGCCATCTACGACAGTCGTAAGACCGTCTGTTTGGTGACAGAAGAGTTCCTGAAGAGTGAGTGGTGTGAGATGGAGGTACAGATGGCGACGTACCGGCTGTTCGATGAGCAGGTAGGCTTTGCACAGCCCGTGCAGTCTTCTTCTTCTCGGCCAACTTTCACTGGTGGCAGGACACACTTTTGACATACATTGTTTTGGCGGTGTTTCCAAATATCCCCTACATTGTGGAGCCCCTCTTTTGCTCCTCCAATATAGAGATGACTTTAATTGTAAGTTTTGTAAGTGGACGTTTTTAATCTGATTCACAAGATTCAGATTACTTCATCCATGTCCTCTCAGCCATACCTCGGGATGGGGTGGTAGAATTGCGCTCATAGAACTAGAATTTCACCCCAAGTTATTTTATTGCATATGATATTTAGATATCATATGCATTATGATATTTCGTTGATTTATCTTCATATTTGTTTAATTCTTTTTCTTGTTTGATGGTGGCTCTGATATAAGTTCAATACAATTTCAGGGACTCCGTATTTACTGTCTTTTTTTACTTTAATTAAAAAAAAGGTAGACGTGTTGATCTTGGTGTTCCTGGAGGACATCCCTGACCGCGCCCTGCACCGCTACCACCGTCTGCGCCGCCTCATGTGCAAGAGGACCTACCTGGAGTGGCCCAAAGATCCTCAGGGGAAGGCGCTATTCTGGGAACGTCTCAAGGAGGCACTGAAGACCGGGGACAGGCCACCCATTGAGAACATCATTTGAACATTTAAATAGACTGACGCAAAAATCCCGCATACTTTGTCAAAACTCAGAAATGCAAAATATTTTCAATTTGTTCTCACTACTCAAACCAGCAATTGCCATGATCTCATTGGTCGAGCCTATCGAGAATAACATGACGACTGGCTGACTAAACTAGAACGTATTGGTTTAAGACTGTTTGCACGTACCTGTAATATCGAATGAAGCTGAATGATGTTAAAGCCAATGATTTTAAAAATAAGTAACTGATTTTTAGATTAATATCAGAATAATCTCAGTTCACCCAGGTAAATGACAATATAATACATGTAAATTATTATTGTGACTATTTCTTATTCCAGACAACACAAAATTATTACAAATATTATTGATAAACCATCACCGTGAATTGAAATGGAAGTTTGTTTGGGCTTTGGTTGGTTTATGACATACTCAAATCGTCCTCCTGGTCACTTTTCACTGAGGTCACGAGAGAAGAGGTGAGAGTACTGGTTACATAATTGACGTCCTAACAAATCCATAAACATATATGCGTGAACGGACTGTTTTATTATTGTAACCGTCGTGTTCCTTTACACGTCCTTTCAATCAAGGGCTATCTTGCATACATATTAGTTATGTGCGTTTGTAAAATAATTGTGTTGTTCAAACTTTGTCTGAGAAAGATGCTGATGATTTGATGAGACATCAGTGGAAATGAGATGCGTGAGTCAGTATTGTATGGCCACGTGCACCTTCACATTGAACTTGTTTTAATCAAGGGCTACCTGAATATACATCCTACTCTGTCTGGCATATCTTTTAGTGTTGTGCAGTTGCCAACGCAACACACTTTCAAATTATTCATTTTAATTTGTCCGAGTAAGTTGCTAATGATTTGATGAAACATTCGTAATTGGGAAAGTCATTTTAGCACCCACGTGCAACTACAGGTGACAGAAATTCATTGCTGTCAATGCATTGTATGAATTGATGCATTATATCTTCCTGTGTATGAGTTGGATGCAATCACATCTTGATTTTGTATCTCCCTGCGCGGTGGTTTGTTCATAGTGTTTGCTGGACAATGATTTCGTAGTTAGTTCCCCATGCTGGGTCAAAGGTCCAGGAAAGTCTTCAATTCCATGTTAGATACATGTCTAGTATCTATTGAGGTACAAAATTATGCTAGTTTCACGACAATAAATAAAACAAAAAATTCACGAAGACGCATATTATCAAATTTTGCCTCTTATTATTTTAGTTCAGTGCTTATACATAGTAGATACTTATAATGAACATAATGAGTGAGCAGTAACCATACATGTAATATTACATTTGGTACATCTTATTCGTTGAATGCGAAAGCAGTACCGGTGGAAACAAAATATATGATAAAAATCGCATTTATACATTGTCTATGTGGTGAGTCAGTCAGGAACATCTTAAGTGTTGACTGTTTTCACTACGTACACATTGTCAAGACAGTGACAGTGGTTCGTGTACCAAGTGCTAATAAAATATTATGATACTAGACAGAATGTACAACAAAGAGATATGTGTTCAAAATTAATACAATATACATTCAATAATGGAAACGTCTATAGATGGCAGCTTATTCAATATTATTAATATTGCTGAATTATTGTAGCTGATACAGTAGTTAAGATGTGAAACAACAGTTAAAATTATCATCGCCCAAAATATTAATACTCATTGTACATTTATTGTTTTCGTTGGGAAATGTAGTACAGTCGAATTTTGAGATTCTAGTAACAAGTAAAGTGAAGATTATCACAATGACGTATACACGTTGTAGAGACACAATGTCCATACAAAGTACAGTCAATATTTTATACTACGTGCCAGAGCTGCCAGTTCAATGGACGTTTGCTCATCGTGTTACTTTAATGAAAAGTGTCGAGGATGGCTAGATAAATCAGGTGGGGAAAAAGCTCTTAAACTGTGACATGTCAGAGCCTTGGTATAACATGTATGAACCCCTACACCTAAGTAGGGAAGATTAAAGTAATTAACTGGAGCAACTGTTCAAGTTCAAGTTTACTTATTTTACCTCAGATCCATTGATCTGCTTTTCAAGTATCCCTGGGCACACACATTAAAGCTTTCTCAGCGTTTTGTATGCATGGTATTTTTGACAGTTTGCTAGAGTTCGTTGTCGATGACGGTGTTAGATATCAACAGTTCTTCCAACTGGGAGGTGAGTAGGATTTATATTTTCGGCACTCCAGTATGCAGACGCCTGTGAAATGTGTTGAAACTTCTTTGTCCTGTTTTTAACAGTTGTGTTTCCCGTGTGAGGTAGCAAATGAGAGAGTACCAGACTACGATCTTGAGAGCAGATCATTTACACGGTAGTATGAATATGCGTATAGCATACCACATCATCTCTGTACTTAACGGAAAGGTAAATACAACGTTAAGCTGCGTTGTGAGTTCTGAACTGATAGGTTTTCACCATCGTAGACCAAGGCGTACACTGCACTGTCTTCTTTGAAGTTAGGTGGTGTCTCAAGGCGGTTGTATAACTTTGCTCCATCCTGGATCATAGTTCCTACAGTTAAACCGGGTTTCTCGATTTCCGCACTAGATTTCCGATCGCCATTCACTATATCACCGCATGCCACAAGTGTACACCACGACTTGCCGTCATTTTATCTTTTGATATGGTACTATTTCAAGGTCTGACAGTCACAGCTTAGTGGTTCATCTTTAAAAAATTTTAGACTTTAAACATTTGTCCCTAAAATTGATATTGCTTCACGGATATAATATTTCCACCATTGAACTGGCAGCTGCTGTCACGTATCACTCTACTGCTTTTAAATATTCATACCTGGTTGCTGAAGGAAATAATTTAATTTGGCTACGGATGTGATGTTTTACTTCCATACATCTGAGGCAACGCTATAAAGAAAAAAAAACTATGTTCAGCTAGGCTCTTTTGGTCAGCTTTCGTTTACAAAGTTGTTTCTACTTGGCCCAGCAACACTCTAACACTCCTTAGCCTCCCCCTGTTGTATCCAGAATCGTACGTTATCCAGAACCATACTTAGACAAGGCTTTGGACGCGTATCCAAAACCGTACGTCAGACAAACTTATGTTGTTAGATACGCAAGACTGTCCAGAACCGTGCCTGATCCTAACCCTGTCCAATTATTTTTTTTATTATAATTTCCAACATGTAATCACAAGACGTGGTGACGACACACTCAAGTTTTTCAAACTTATATTGATGCCGCAGGGGACAATACAATAATCATTTTCACCTGAGCGAAGTGAGGAAAGTCGTGTAAAGTGCCTTTCCCAAGGGCACAAGATCGGTGGCATGTCAGGACTCGAACCCGGGACCTCTAGGTTCCGAGTCGAGCACTCTGCCGCTACGCCACCCACGCGACCCCACGATCCCATTATTCAGGCAAAGAACTAGACAGGCACGGGTCTGGATACCATACCCCGACCACATCACTCGGGAACAGTTTGACTGAAGCTTTGATTGAATCTCATTTCCTTTTGCCTAGGATGAAGAGTTGGCAAATGACTGGCTTATCCAATTAATGGCGTCCTTTTTAATACGCTAAATATCAATATCGATGAACACACAACGTTACCATTATTATTATTACCAAAAATATCAGGCACATGTAGCAAAAAGGCTCTCAATGCTGGTTCCATATGCCTTACACTAGAGTTTAAAAAACAACATTAAAATCACATATAGGGCCCTTACAAGTGTTGTTGTTAATTCATAGGGTTTGGAATAGAGCATTGCCCTGCAGTATTATCAGTATCGTCATTGCTTTTCTTAGGATATTTTTGTCAACGGATGGCATTGCAGCACCATGTTGCTCATGCTTTGTCGCCATGTTGCCCCCCTTCGTAGTCAAATTGACATCACGTCGACGGCCGAATGTTTCTCATTATGTACAGTTACTTTTAAATATCCATGGTTTCCACAAAATGGTACTAATTTCTTAGTATATTTCCTCATCAAAACCCTTCTCGAAATATGTCAGTTACCCATGCGTTCATCAACAACAGATATCAAGATTTTTTTCTAATTTTTTTTTTAATTTTTGTGAGCATGGCGTTCATAACGTTACTTGTAAATGAATATTTCTGTAGATACATGGCAGTATCCCTTTCGAAGAAATTACCAAAATCTGTACGTTAATTGCGATTTTGCTTATCATCCATTCTTGGTACATGACGAGACATAAGCCATGCTTAGGTTTCACACTTCAGAGATATGATCAAATTACTGGACATAAATGTCTGTTACCCAGCCAACTTCAACCCCCACTCGATCCATAGAAAATTACAAACGGATTATTCAGAGTTTGCAAATTAGCAGTTCAATATAGTTTAGAAAAAGTCGCCGATTTTGTGCGGTGACTTTTAACCACCCCAACACCTGTTAAATAAATCATAAGGTTTTTGGTGAAAATTTCATGTAATATTTGTAGAAGTTTGGCATGATAGCATTTCGGACTGTTCCGCCAATTTACACTTCCAGTATCTTAAATTTGGTCATGTCAGTGAGAAGATACTGTCTTCAATATCAACATGGAAAAGGTTTGGATCTTTGGAAAAAGATCAAGTCTGTCAAAGAAAAACTTCTGCACCCTGAAATAGTAACGCAGGTGGTTAGAGGTGATATTTAGTAGGTGAAGGTTGACTTTGTGTGACGTAATGTGTTCCCTCCCCTGGGATCCCCCATGGCCAGTAGGTGTTAGGTAGTGTTACGGTGGGGAGAGACGCACGCCGTGGTGTGTTACGGGTTCCCTCCCCTGGGATCTCCCATGGCCAGTAGGTGTTAGGCAGTGTTACGGTGGGGAGCGAAGCACGACTTTGTGTGACGTAATGTGTTCCCTCCCCTGGGATCCCCCACGGCCAGTAGGTGTTAGATGGTGTGACGGTGGGGAGGGACGCACGCCGTGCCATGTTTCGGGTCCCCTCCCCTGGGATCGCCCTCAGCCAGGAGGTGTAATGTAGTGTGCCGGTGGGGAGGGCCGCACGCCGTGTAGTGTTATGGAGCCCCTGAAGCTCCTTGGTAATAGGTAGTGTGACGAGGGGGAGGGATGCACGCCGTGGTGTGATACGGGAACCCTCCCCTGAGATCTGCCAGTAGGCACGAGGGAATGTGAGAACGGCGACATGAGCCCCGGTGATCTTTTGACCTCTTGACAGAATCTCATCTGTGACGTTGACGTAAGTCCTCACACTTTGGTCGGTAGCATGCACATGGGATACCAAAGCTTTCCTACTTGAAAGATTTATATGGGCTCTTATACCCTGGGCATCGGGGGCTTGTCTAGTAGCGTTATTGATCTCAGGAGATCCGTATGTCGTTATGGATCCTCTAGTTGTGATATCCTGGTAGGCCTGTCCATTTTGAACCCGGCTTGTGACAATCTGAAGCAAAATCTCTGCAGCATCAGCATAGAAAGGTATGCCTACACTCTCCTCATCATCAGGGACCTCACTGTAGGTATGTGAGACAGGCAGAGGATGCTGTGCAGCGGCCATGTGATCTGGGATCTCACTATAGGTGGGTTCAGTGGACGGGAGAACAGCCGACAATGACCTGCAGGACGCCGCATCGTCTGGGGCGACCGTACTGCCACTGGTACTCAGTGCAGGGAGGGAAGCTGACCGTACCACGCCGGCTACGGATATGTCGTCATCTGGGACCTCCCAGTACACGTTTGGGGGGCGAGGCAGAGTCCTCTGAGCAATGCTCCTGTCAAATGAGATCTCACATGAAGCAGGTTCCATGGATTGTAGGAGAGTGGGCATTGACGTATAGGAAACTACGCCATGCGACGCCGTCCTGCTTGAGCCAGCAGGGAGGGAAGCAGACCGAAGCAAGCCGGGGAAGGCAACCCCACGCGGGATTGTCCAAACCTGTGCACTGTCGGTGGGCCGGTCATCCTCTCTCGTTCTTACTAAGCACATCTTCCATACCAACACTGCAATAGACGACACAGCCAGACCGGCCACTACCGAGACAACAACAGATATGAGAACATGATCTGTTGCTGGAGGCACCTCTATCTGCTCTGATACATGCACCGGCGCGCACGTGGTTGTTCCATCCTGCAGCGTAGAGTTGTCCCCCTGTTCTGAAGATGTGTGTTCTTTGTCTGTATATTCAGAGTAGTGTGTAAGGTTGATAGAGTGGTCAGTATCTGTTGTGTAGGTTGGTGATGTTGTGTGTGTCTGCGGTTGGTCACGGATAGCGGTGAAGAACAACTCCCTGTGTTTAACTTTGTTGACCAGAATGCATTTGATGTTCTTTGCATTGTTGCCGTTTGTATGGGCTGTGGTGGTGAATGTGTTCGTGTCTTGTGTCTGGACAAATGACATGCCAACACCTCCGAAGGTTTCGTTCCCTGTGGACAGGGAAACCAGTCGGAAGTTTAAGTTTTCCATCAGACCCACTGCAACGCCTCCATCATATTCCCACACCTGCCTGCATTGTTCAAGCGTCTTGGTGTCCAGTTTGTCTGTCAGAGAGTCGCCATGAGTAGCCAAGACAACTACAGGGGCCCGGATGGAGCTCGTGCTCCTAGAACGGTCCAAAGCACGACACGTAGATTCTTGGGACTCGATGTTATAAGGCACGTCATCGTCCGATGAATAAAACATCCATCTAAACGAGACTTCAGGGGTTACCCCATTGTGGCTGACACAGAAGAGGAATCTGGGCACTGCGACAGATAGTTTTACTGACCCTTTCCTGATATTTGTACTGGCTAACCGAAGTAGGCTCCACGTCAATTCATGCGGCTTTGCATCATTGACAGATGACAGCAGGCCACTGCCGACATGGAGCCTATTCAACCAAGACTGTCCCCGGAACACATCTTCATCCAAACATGACACATCAGTTCCACTCAGATCTAAACTGCGCAGCTTTGTGAGTTGGAATGATCCACGGGAAATGGTATGGATTGGATTTAAACTCATGTTCATGTGCAGCATTCTATATTTTAGTCCATTAAACCAGGCAGGGTCTACATCGTGTAACAGGTTGCTCTCTAGATCTAAGAAAAATAGGAGATCTAAGTGCACGAAGCTCCTTGGCTCTATCTGCCTGATGTTGTTGTTGGACAAAGTCAGCCGCACAAGCTTCTTCAAGCCAGCGAACCAGGTCTGTTTGACGGATGCCAACCTGTTAGAATCTAGGGACAGTGTTCTGAGACTGGAAAACCCAGAAAATGTGTTCTTCTCCACATCAGTGATGTTTGCATCTATCAAAGCCAAACTGAGGACCGCAGAATGCTCGAGTGGGGCTAGGCTCTTTTCCGACAGAACATTGAATGGGTATCCTCTTATTGCAACATGTTGGGCCCTGGCAAGAAAATGGAAAGGGCTTACAGGGGCAACGCCCTCTTTTAGGACCTCACACACGACACATGTACATGTACCAGACACTGTACTGTGTCTCTGGGTAGGAGGAACACACACTCGCCATACAGCTACATTACACTGAAAAGGACGTGAGTCATTTGAAGCCGCACTGGTGGATAACAAGAGGAGCAAGAACAACATGGCTACCATCTGCTTCGTACTGCCGCTTACATGCATCCTGTCCATTCATATCTACGCCTTTCATCTACTTGTCACTTACCAGCAGTGTGCGCAGTGGCCCGCAGGTCTGCATCAACGGTGAGAAATTTTCAATCAGCTAAGCACTTCTTTCCTTCGTTTTGATATTTTTTGGTACGTAACAAAACATACCCGCACACGTACACCGCTCGCTGTGGGGGCGTCTGTGTTAGACTTCTCACTAATTTGTACTGGCGCACCTACGCACTGGGGAGTACTTGACCCATAGTTTCTTCATGTTTATGCATTTAGCGATTGACACATCACATGTTTTTTTATGTACGAGGGCTGCAGAGAATCATGCTTCCTGATATGCAGACTAATATTATGCAGTTGCTAATGAATAGTAAGTCAGAAAGGTTAAGGTCGTTTCGTTTCGCCGACAGATTAATTATGCATGACGTGATTTTATGACATTATTTTGAACTCAGTGTTGTTGCCAGGGGCAACATTAGTCTTAGCAGACATTTATATTCTATCAAAGACACTTTTTGTTATTAAAAGTTTGGTTGTATTCCTTTGAGTTTTACGGAAAAATTTTTTGGGCGGTTTTACCCCTAAAAAGCATATTAATGACGTCATATGACGTCATAATTACACAAAAATTATTGTTAAGACCTAATTTTATTACTACACCATTCTCTGAAAAGTTGGTGGCCCTACGATTATAGTGGTTGTTGAGTTAGTTACATGGGACAGGCCTCGAAAGCCTGCATGTCTACATTCTACTTTTAGGCGTCTCTAGCTCTTTCGTAGCAAAATTTCCGAAAACGCTACCAAAATTAGTGTTTCCTGATACATTTTGCCGTCTTGGGTTTTTAGCTGTTGTTATGGTTATCTATATCATTAGAATTGAAGTTATGATTAGTGTTACAATCGGAAATAGGCTTCCCTTTAATTGCAAAACGTTCCGACGTCGGCGAAACGTATTGACACTACCGGTGGACCGTGTAGCAGTGGCCTCTAGCGATTTATCTCTAAACTGCAGGGTAACATTTACCTATGACTGACGTAATCATGACGTAAGTGTTGCAGTGCAGTTGCACACTGGCCAGGGCGTATTTGCACAAATTCCTAAGTTATTACCCACTCACAACCGTCTAGCATTGAGTTAAGAATTTTCAAACATATGATACATAGGAATCAAATACGGGGACATTTACTCTTTTTGAGGCTTCATTTCCTGAGGCTATACTAGTACCTTTACAAAAGTCTCGAAGACTTCGCGAAGATCCGTTGACCCAAGGACATTATACACACTCTGTATAATGTCCTTGGTTGACCGAACCGTCAACCATGCATGACCGAACAAGGCATATCCAGTCGCACGTTGATTCGTTTTCGCCCTGATCGGGTGCCCCTTATGCTTGCCTGTTCTCTTAACTCGGTGTTGGCGGTCTTCCAACCCCGCTAAATACTCCACAAACGCGACCATGTCACGCGCAAAACACAACCGGGCCGCCATGTTTCTTTAACGTTACATATTTGGTGATGCTTTTGCAGTAAAACAATCGTCTCGTTCGAGGCGACATTCACGAAACGCTACCAAAATGACTGTTTCGCGTCCCATGTTTTTACTTGTTGTTTTGGTTATCGCTATGGTTAGAATTAAAGTTATGATTGGGGTTTACAGTCGGAAACAGGCGTCCCCTCACTGCAAAACGTCCTGACGTCGGTGTAACGAGAGGAGGAAGATTAAAGCTTTCTCGTAACGTGGAAAATGACATTTCTGATCCGACTTTTTTGGGCTTTTCAAAGTATGTGAGGTCTTGTCTTCTCATCAGGCATAAAACACGCAGCCTATGAGGTCTTAACTTCTCATCAGGCATAAAACACGCAGCCTCTGAGATCTTGTCTTCTCATCAGGCATAAAACACGCAGCCTATGAGATCTTGTCTTCTCATCAGGCATAAAACACGCAGCCTATGAGGTCTTAACTTCTCATCAGGCATAAAACACGCAGCCTGTGAGGTCTTGTCTTCTCATCAGGCATAAAACACGCAGCGTATGAGATCTTGTCTTCTCATCAGGCTTAAACACGCAGCCTATGAAGTCTTAACTTCTCATCAGGCATAAAACACGCAGCCTGTGAGGTCTTGTCTTCTCATCAGGCATAAAACACGCAGCCTATGAGATCTTGTCTTCTCATCAGGCATAAAAAACGCAGCCTGTGAGGTCTTGTCTTCTCATCAGGCATAAAACACGCAGCCTGTGAGGTCTTGTCTTCTCATCAGTCATAAAACACGCAGCCTATGAGATCTTGTCTTCTCATCAGGCATAAAACACGCAGCCTGTGAGGTCTTAACTTCTCATCAGGCATAAAACACGCAGCCTGTGAGGTCTTGTCTTCTCATCAGGCATAAAACACGCAGCCTATGAGGTCTTGTCTTCTCATCAGGCATAAAACACGCAGCCTATGAGGTCTTAACTTCTCATCAGGCATAAAACACGCAGCCTATGAGATCTTGTCTTCTCATCAGGCATAAAATACGCAGCCTGTGAGGTCTTGTCTTCTCATCAGGCATAAAGCATTCAGCCTGTGAGATCTTGTCTTCTCATCAGGCATAAAACATGCAGGCTATGAGGCCTTCCTTGACCATCCTACGGTCTCACAGCGCCATAGCGATATTAGCCAGAACCGCAACATGTACCGTTGGTGCGGTCACAGAGTTAGGCAAAACTTTAGGGAGACCGGTAAGACTGTCGCAGAGTTAGGCAAAACTTTAGGGACACCGTTGGGACAGTAACAGAGTTAGGCAAAACTTTAGGGACACCGTCGGGGCGATCACAGAGTTAGGCAGACTTAAGCGAGACCGTTAAGGTGGTCACAGAGTTAGGCAAAGCTGTGAGACCGTAGGATTTCTGCACAGAACAATTTCTGCACCTTTCTCTAGTATATATTGTGTAGCACTACTTTGTACCCGTACGGGGTTCGCCCATGAATACTGTGTTGTGCGGTCGGAACCATTTAAATCTCACGAACATGCAAATGAGGTAATTTGTACCATTAAAATCTCACGAACATGCAAATGAGATAATTTTTATGAAGATCACGCCGTGTGGCGCTACACATGTCCATAAAACGTGACTCAAATGCTAAGTTATATATTTTGAAGTTTCTTCCGGTTCTTAAGAAGCCAACACGACCAATTCTACCGTGTCGGCATCAAACACAACCGGGCCGCCGTGTTTATTCACATGTTGAATACTAGTAATAAACGTAGCGTGCCTTTCGTAGTAACATTCCCGAAAACGCCGCCGAAATTGCGCTTTCCTGTTATGATTTTTTGCTGAAATTGTGTTGTTACGATTATCGCTATTGTTGTAATTAATAAATGTTAGAGTATGAAATAGTCGTTCCCTTGAGTGCAAAACGTCGAAACCTGGCCGATGGACATGTGTAGCTGTGGCCTCTAGCGATTTGTTCCAAACTGCAGGGTCACATTTACCTGTGGCTGACGTAACTATGACGTAACTGTAGTAGTACACAACTTACAGTACAAGTATCAAAGCGCAAATCTACGCCGACTGAACACGCACCATAATTCAACTTTTACAGTCTCAAAACTGACGTATTCCTCTAACATTTACCACAGGTTCCATCTCGATGCCACGCACAGAACAATTTCTGCACCTTTCTCTAGTATTGTGCAGCACTACTTTGTACCCGTACGGGGTTCGCCCATGAATACTGTGTTGTGCGGTCAGAACCATTTGAGTCTCACGAACATGCAAATGAGGTAATTTGTACCATTTAAATCTCACGAACATGCAAATAAGATAATTTTTATGCAGATAACGCCATGTGGCGCTACACATGTCCATAAAACGTGACTCAAATGCTAAGTTATATATTGTGTAGTTTCTTCCGGTTCTTAAGAAGCCACCACGACCAATTCTACCGTGTCGCGCACCAAACACAACCGGGCCGCCGTGTTTATTCACATGTTGAAGAGTATATGTAGCGTGTCTTTCGTAGTAACATTCCCGAAACCTGGCCGAAATTGCGGTTTCCTGTTATGGTTTACCGTCCCATGTTTTTAGCTGAAATTGTGTTGTTATGATTATGGCTTTTGTTTAGAATTTATAATTTTTAGAGTATGAAATAGTCGTTCCCTTGAGTGCAAAACGTCCTGACGTCGACGAAACGTCAGGACGAAACCTGGCCGATGGACATGTGTAGCAGTGGCCTCTAGCGATTTGTTCCAAACTGCAGGGTCACATTTACCTGTGGCTGACGTAACTATGACGTAACTGTAGTAGTACACAACTTACCGTACAAGAATCAAAGCGCAAATCTACGCCGACTGAACACGCACCATAATTCAACTTTTACAGTCTCAAAACTGACGTATTCCTCTAACATTTACCACAGGTTCCATCTCGATGCCACGCACAGAACAATTTCTGCACCTTTCTCTAGTATTGTGCAGCACTACTTTGTACCCGTACGGGGTTCGCCCATGAATACTGTGTTGTGCGGTCAGAACCATTTGAGTCTCACGAACATGCAAATGAGGTAATTTGTACCATTTAAATCTCACGAACATGCAAATAAGATAATTTTTATGCAGATAACGCCATGTGGCGCTACACATGTCCATAAAACGTGACTCAAATGCTAAGTTATATATTGTGTAGTTTCTTCCGGTTCTTAAGAAGCCACCACGACCAATTCTACCGTGTCGCGCACCAAACACAACCGGGCCGCCGTGTTTATTCACATGTTGAAGAGTATATGTAGCGTGTCTTTCGTAGTAACATTCCCGAAACCTGGCCGAAATTGCGGTTTCCTGTTATGGTTTACCGTCCCATGTTTTTAGCTGAAATTGTGTTGTTATGATTATGGCTTTTGTTAGAATTTATAATTTTTAGAGTATGAAATAGTCGTTCCCTTGAGTGCAAAACGTCCTGACGTCGACGAAACGTCAGGACGAAACCTGGTAGGTGGACCGTGTAGCAGTGGCCTCTAGCGAGTTGTCTCTAAACTGCAGGGTCATTCATATGTGGCTGACGTCCCACCATAATTAATTCACGACGACATTTCCGGTGGCTTGAACGTCACTTGTTTTGTTTCGTTCATCAAATTGATACCCAAACAAAGAAAATTCAACTCCGCGTGATTCCATCAAATGCATTTGAATCAACCATTCATGCTAACGTTACATTTAGTGAATAAAAACAGTCGAACCGCAGACCGCTATGCGCATCGGTTCTGCGCAGCTCTCTCTAAGATCTCGTTTAAATCTCGTGCTTCTTTTCCAAGGTAATGTGATCCGCGAGAATCCACGAGAGTTTGCTACTGTTTACTGTTTGGCTTGTAACTCCGCTTTGCGTAAGTGTTTCCTTGTCATACGTTAATGTGAGATGTAAGAATGGCCGGCGTCACACTCAAGGTCGTAGATGTACATTACCGGTGGTGTTTGTTGGAGAAACGAGGTTTCAAAGTTGACCGTGTATGATGGAGATGATTCCACTCGAGACAGGTACCCTTTAGTTTTTTTGGGGGCAAACCCGTTTGCCCTATTTCATCGTCGATTTGGTGTATTGTTTAATAAAGTATAGACCCTCCCTCATCTATCGTGTGTTGTTTCTTTTGGGATCCTGTAGTTGTTACAATATAGTAACCGATAGTAAGTTGGGCTCATTCAGTCGAATTCTCAACGATTTTTGTTCGAATCGCAAGCTTTTGCAATTGTTCTAACCAATACACCTGTAATGTAAGATATGGCTGAAATATAGTTATGTTGGCTTGACACCTGTGTTCTTATTTTTGAAGTTGCACAATGTGTATTGCAGCTCAACCTTGAGAAAAGGTGTAATTTCTTTACAGTTTCTTTGCCTTTAAAAATGTTCTGTTAAAAGTTATATAGAACAAAAAAGAAAGTGAAAGAATATCGACCAAATAGTAAGCTTCAAAGCGATACCCACTTTACGGATGAAAACAGAAGAGAAGGAATTTGGGCATGAACAAATACAACAACAGGTTAATTTTTCATGACCTAATTTTTGAAGGAGAAATCGGACACTATGACCTGTTACTGTAAATATACAGACATCGGGCATATGTACTGACATTTGTATAGTTGCACATGAATCCCACTTTCTCTAGCGTCTTCATGATATAAGTCTGACTTGGAATGGGTTTCAGAAAGTCTGTTTGTGATGAAAAAACTTGATTACTTCTTTTTATGAACTTTCGCAAACAGCGGTTGAAAGTTGCAACATTGTTGGCGGCGCGAAAAATAGAACGCCCTGCCTTGGTTCCATGGATCGAACGCAGAAGTTCGAAACCGATTGACTTCAAATTTGACGATTTTTGAATGGTCAGAACCTTGTCTTAATTCCTCTTTTTGTATATACTTGATTGTTATCATATCACTTATTATATTGCATGTCGTAGCCACATTCATACAGTTTCTCATACCAAGAAACGAATTTTATGACAGTACGCGAAATGTATCAAAATGTAGCGGAAACTCAGGATGGTGTGTGTCAGTAGCTTACAACTGGGCTAAATTTGACCACCGCGATGTGCGCATCGTCACAGTTTTTTTGGGGGCAAACCCGTTTGCCATAAAATTTACCAGGGGTCATTGGTATCAATGTAAAGGTAAAGAAGTGGGCTATCACACTGTGGTATTAGCTAACGGGATCCAGTTAAATAGTAAAAAAGACAAGCACAAATAAAATGACCAAAAATTGCTAATTTTTGGAAGGCCGTAGCGCTCGCTGCCATTTTGCAATGCACGAAATATCTACATGGTTGTACTGGGCAAATCCTGTAGATATGAAAAAATGTAAACATTGTGTAGGTCTGAGGTCTTTTTGCTGCACTATAGGCAGTTGTTTACACCCATGCAACGGGGTCAAATCGTGACCCGGCAAACGCCGTATCTTAGAGAATAACGCGTTCTACGGTGACCTGCGGTTCGACTGAAAAAGGGTCTAAGAGTACAAGTACTTCCGGGGTCATCACATGGTGACCTTGCTTGCGAAACATTCTGACTCAGGACCTGGTACTGGCACGAGTTCGCGATTTGGTAAGTTTAAATATTTTCTTAGAAGTCATCCAGATATCAAAGAATTGTCGATAATCAGATGTTTTATACTCCTTAGCCAACACTTGATTCATATTTCGTCGTTGCTGAAGCCCTATTGAGTGTCTTTTGCAAGTAAGAGTTATGACATTTTGTTCGAACGACTTTTACTAGCTTTGGGTGCCATTATGTTATATGCTCAGCTGTATATTATGCTTCCTATATTATCTAACGTTACATCATGTAATTAATGCGGCTTCCTTAGTCACCACGGCTAAGTGTGCCAGTGGTTTCATTCTGCGGCCTTTTGTTTAGTTTTCTGTGTAGAAGGCACCCCCTCCCCCAGGTCAATTAAAAGATTATATTTTTATTCCTTGTAGATTGATAATTTCAACCTATTATTTCTTATTTGAGAAAAATTTCCAATTGCTACTGTTTCTCTTCAGTCTTGGGCCCTTTTTTATTTTATTTGATTGTCATTAACCAAATTTGGAAATGGCAGAGACTGCGATCAGGACTTCTACCCAGTTCAGAGTCTCGACTCTCCACCATGACATCTATGGGGGGCCTGCATGCCTTTTTTTCATAAGGCGTAATCAGGCCTTTTTAGTCTTCGTAATCCGTAGGCAGCCTCCCCCCAAATCAAAATAATACGTAATAGTACATTAGCCGCAAAGCGTTAAGTCGTAGTCTGTTATCAGTTATAGGAATTTAATGTAATTAGTAACCGACTGCGAAAATTTTGCATAATTCATAATTACTACCCCCCCCTCCTTTATATATATATATGTAACGTTACATTTGTATATCAGGAAGCCATGGGGAATAACCAAACAACTGTTCCTGCCGACCCGCCCAACCCTGATGTGAAGAAAATGACTCCACCTCCAGAATGCCCCATGCACGCTGCTGCATCTCAGAGTACACAGGACAGGACAGCAGGTATAGTACTGTGTCACTGCTCCACTGACACTTTATTTCTTTCCATTGTGGCTAATGTATGATAATTTGTTACAAAATTCTGCTCTAGACAATGAGGGCTGTCCAAAACCTCGAAACACTACTAGTACCCTTGTGTGATGTAGAATCGGTACAAACATTCACGGATGGATTTACCTAACCCCACTTCCAGTAGACCTAGACCATGATTATCATATAGCCAGAAGACTGCCCAATCAGAAGCCCCCATTTCCCATTGATTATCACGGCAAAACCTCACTTTGCTTCAAGTTTGCTACGTCGCTACATAGGCTGTATGATAATAACGTTAATGACCCGCCTATTCTTCAGTGTATATTGTGTCATTAGGCCATAAACACGTCATAAATGTAATGGTTATAAGAAATGACCAGGCCTTACAAAACACACCACAGGGCGGGTCATTAACCCTTAATTGTTGCTGCCCTTCAGACTCCCACCTGTCCAGGTTGGCCAGTGTCCCGAGCGAGTGTCCCATGAGTGGACAGGGCGGTGGACAGGCACTCATCCCACAGCAGCCTGAGTCAGACATCAACCCAGACAACAGGGTAAGGAAGGCAGGGCTCAAAATGCTGGGTGCATGTGCACCTTAATACATCTTAATTTGGAGTTGACATGAACAGCTGAATAGGGATGTTGCAGTGTCAAAAATACCCACCTGCAGTCTGCATTTTGCAGAGGCATTTTCAATATTGTAGAGGAAAAATTAAGCAGCCTGCAACTTTACAGACTGAAAAAAATCAGTCAAGGGGTTTTATAGTGTCCACATGATATTGTTTAAGAGGTTTTGTGTTTACTACCGACTGCATGTAGCCTGGGTACCATCCGGATTTTCGCTCCGCAACGTTTGAAAAAATCATTTTTCAAGCATTGCGGAGCAAAAATCCGGATGATACCCAGGCTAGACTGCATGCATTTTTCAAATTGCACATAAAATGTTTGCCAACATGCAATGTTATAACCATAAGTTGTTTTTCCTTTGGCAGATGCCACCGCCAAACCAGCAGCCTGCCCCTGACCAACCGTTCATCCTCCCCACAGAGAGAGTGGTATCTTCCATCCCGAAGGCGGGTACAGAGGGTGAGCGCTGGGTGTACCCATCACCACAGATGTTCTGGAATGCCATGCTGAGAAAGGGGTAGGAAAACTGTTCACTGACGGGGCATTATGTAACATTTTCACACTGAAAATCATCATATTTTTTGTCTCAGAGATATGAGTATCCTATGGGGAAGGATATTTTTTTTATTCAACTAACAAAATTAAAAGAATGACCAGAAAATTGATTTTCGAAATCCAGCTTTGCCTCCCTGAAATTGCATTTGGATGCCTTAAAATTGTGAAAACAATTGTGAATATATTTTTAAGGCAGTTCTGCATGTATAAAACAGTGATGTACATGTATCAGTACATATCAGGCCTAAACAGTTTGTTTTGTATTGTAGGTGGAGATGGAAGGAAGATGCCCTGTCACCTGATGACATGCAGAACATCATCAGCATCCACAATGCTAACAATGAACAGGCCTGGGAAGAAGTGCTGAGATGGGAGGCCTTACATGCCAGGTGAGTACATGTAGGTGTGGTGTGGGTTGTTAGTTGGCGTAGTAGCTAACTTGTTACAGTACAAATCTTATTATTAAAATCAAAGTGTCAAAATTGACTCAAATTTCAGACTATGATCCCTTTGAAACATCATTTCCCATCTTTGAGTGGCAAGTTTTAAGACAATGGAATGCACTCCACAGGCTCTTGTAGGTTTTATGCCACCTTTGGCATTCACCCTTGACACTGTTAAAGTCTGCCGATGCAAAATTTTACATCCAGAGACTTAGTTACAAAGGGACAAAAACATGACTTTGGAATGATGAAGAAAATATTGTAATAATATATTAATTTTTGTTGTATTTTGCAGGGAGTGTCCATGTGGTCCAAAGCTGGCCAAGTTTGGAGGAAAGGCCAAAGAGTTCTCCCCCAGGGCCAGGATGAGGAGCTGGATGGGGTAAGTCTACAACAGTTCTAGCAGTCATTGTGAAACCTACATGTAGTCCTTAAATGTACATCAGGTACAGGTACCGGCTTAGGTGACATGTACCTGTACCTGAACAATTCGACAAACTTACACAATATTATTATGTTCTTCTAAACCTCCGAAGTAACAATAGAAACAATTTAATATAAGTTGTTAACTTGAGTGCAGTTAACTTGAGTGCAGCGTCACACTGTCCTTGTTATGTCTGTATGTTTTGATGAATAAAAAAAAACAAAAAAAACAATAGAAACAGAAAAATTAAGTTGACAGTCTTTATTGAGTTTATTCCAATCAAACGGGACAGAACTAGGCAGCCATAAGTCATGTTCAAACAAAAGAGAACCATTCATATGTAAATAATAAACAAACCCAACCAGTTGCAGTTACTGAGACAAACACTAGGTGGCGCTGGTAACCTGTGACCTGGCTTATGTCATGATGAGTGTTCACAAAATGAATTTTGTAGTGAAACTTTAGTTGTCTCTTTGCTTCACCCGTGCAGGTATGAGCTGCCCTTTGACCGCCATGACTGGATTGTGGACAGGTGTGGAAAGCAGGTAAGTTTACCTTAATTGTTTTGTTTTTTCATCCGTACTGTAGTTTGATGTTGTATTGTAAGCACTGTTGTTATGTCAACAACAGGTGTACTTTTGTACCTCTGTTCCCAGAGGAAAATTATGTGTCAATTGTCACCCCCATATAATGCTTGAAAAGAATGTTACGTACCGGTAGTCATTACTACATCAGGGCTCGAAATACTGGGTTCATATACTTTAGTGCAGGTAAAACTGTGCAGATATAGTATATATCTAATGTCTACCTGTACCTAACCTGCAGTGACTGGTCTGTGTGCCATGGCTTAAACACAAATACGGGTGTATGTGGATTTTCATTAGCTGTTTTTGGCTGTCATCACCTATGTATTGTAAAGAAAATAATGGCAATGGTTTCTGAATAGCTTTTAGTTTGATCCATACTTCCTAAATTCTGAGTGGTGCAGGTAAAAATTTGTCTGGTGCAGGTAAAATTGATCTGGTGCAGGTATGCAGAAGCAAGTATTTGGAGCACTGTACTGCATGTATTCCTCCCACAGGTGAGGTATATTATTGACTACTACGATGGTGGAAGCGTGAAGGAAAACTTCCAGTTTACCATCCTGGACGTGCGGCCGGCTATGGACTCGTTCGGTGCGGTGTGGGACCGGATGAAGGTGGCGTACTGGCGCTGGACCACCTCACCACCGAAACACACCAGCAAGGAGGAGCTGAAACTTTCCAAGGACTTCCCAGAGGAAAGACAGAAAGTCTAGATCACAAGTTACTCCCATATTGTTTAAAGTTAAAACTTTTGATCCAACGCAATAAAGTTCTCTCACCTCGAGCTAGGTGAAATTTTATTGTGTTGGATCGAAAGTTTTAACTTAAAACATGTAACAACCAACACAGATGAACTTTCATGATATTACTTACAGTTCAACTTTGTACATCATATTTGGTTGTGTTAAGTTCTTGATACAGTAGAAGATTTCATAGATAAGATTGACTTACCTGTCCAGTGTAAGGGCATTTAAGAATTAAGGACAAGAAGTCCTGAACCAGTAAGACTATAGTAAGTACTAAATATTTTGGTTGTTTTACAGGCTTTTGAGAGTGTACAAATGTTACGGTTTGTGAAACGTGTTAAGACAAGCATGAGATTTTTATTTTAGCATATGTTATGAAATGTTGTTGAGTTCTTAATATATTTTCCTGAGAACTCCTACGACATACATGTATATTAAAAATGTATTTCACAAGTTTGAAATTATCATGGCATAGTACTTAGGTATGTAGATATGTGTTAGATGTAAACTTACTGTTTGAAAATTCTTTCAAATTAAAAAATATTGATATTGTGTAAAGTACTGAAAAGTTGACAAGGTTGCATATTGGTAGAACGAAATCTTCAGTAAGTGTAGTCAATAGAAAATATAACATTCAGTACATGTATATGAAGTTAAGTAAAAATTTGCTGAATATAAATTAAAGGCGAAGGTTCCTAAAGAAACTGTTGGCACTACATGAACAACCAGAGCCTTTCTTCCAAACAGAAAGTCACAGACACAAGATATACTGAAAAATGTTTCACAGTGGAAAAAGAGCCACTCATGTAATGTGCACACGGCCAAATGTTAATAGGCAACAAGACAAGTCACAATACAATCTTTACCTTTATGCTCAGGACTTACCGGTAGTCAGCCAGAATTGATGATCCTACCAAAAACCTTAAAAGGTATTTCCTTCATTCACAGATAAGAATTAGATGACAGAGTTAACTTTTGTTACAAATAAGATTTGACCCAAATATACAAAAAAATCACCTCTACACATGTAAGCATTGATCTAATACTAGGCAGGACAATTATGTTCTATACAAAACAAAACTAAAGAAAAACGTTTTTTTATGTTTCGATGATAAAACATTTGATCTAGAATTCATCTTTGACAACCTTTGTGGTGAATTTCAGCCCTCCCTCTTTCTTGGCTTTCTGTACCGGGGGTAGAAAGTTGACTTGGAATCTTTTCTTCTCTACTTCCAACAGATCTCTCATTTCCACAAACCCTCGCCTGCCCGCCATGTTCTCTCCCGGTAGTGTGTGTCTATACTGCTTGTTCACCGCGAACAGAAACTTCACCAGGTTGACGTAGTTCACATCCCCCATCAGATCTTCATTGTAAAGAACCGCTTCAAATGTCATAGAATCCTTCTTTTCCTTGGTCTTGGAAACCAGTACAGCAATAGTGGGGAGGTCGAAATCTTTCAGTGATTGGCCAAAGATGGCGAGGTCCTTGTCAGATGGGTTGATCATGGTGCGGAAGTTGAAGAAGGAGTAGTAGCGATTCACCATGGCCTTGAACATGCAGGAAGGCGACTCATCTGAAAGATTAGGTTGATGCAATATGTTAAATCTGTTCATTATTATACCTACATGTAATAATAATATACCTCGGTAACAGCCAATTTACTAGGGAAACATCAAAATCTCAATATCATAATAAATTTTAATGTTCTAGCAACCTATTGTCGGATACAAACCTAATATCAGGACAGCTGGAAACCGTGTAGGAGTGGATGAGTAGGACTGGTAGATGAAATCCTGTAGGCCAGCATCGTCCACACTTGCCAGGGAGTCTGGGATACTGCTACAGGCCTGAATCCTGGCATCCAGGGGACTGTCCACGTATGTCCACTGCTTGTCTGAACCTGTCTCTCCAGAATGGTACACTCGAGCTGCATGGGTCTTCACCATGTCATAGTCCTGTTGGGTTGGAAAAAAACAATTCACTTGCAGGGCTCCATACTGATGTCTACCTGCACTCAGGTACTTGGTATATGCAGGCTAGTATAGGTAATATTGGAGCTGTGCAGGTATTTCTGATGTCTACCTGCACTGCTCCATGTACTGGGTATATATAGCTGCAGGTTAGTGGTAAAATTGGAGCTGTGTAGGTATTTCTGATGTCTACCTACATCTGACCTGCACTGCTACAAATGTACATGTACTGGGTATGCACCTTAGTGCAGGTAATATTGGAGCTGTGCAGGTATTTCTGATGTTTACCTGCACCTAACCTGCACTGGGCAATGTACTGGGTTTAGTATGAAGTATAATAATGCTAACTGTTTTCAAGTCTTTATTCTGAGTCAGAATTAAAAAAAAAAAAAAAAATTCTCAGTCATAGTGGTAAGAAAAAAGATCTTGCTCTATAAGGAAATTATCTGTGCTTCGGATGTGCCACTAACACCGACAATATAAGACAGTCAATTTGGATGGTTGAACTGGAAGCCCTGGAGATTTTTGAGGTTATTACAGAGAGCATCAGGAAGTTTTATCACCTGTCTATAGTAAATCCTACTGGAGAAAACACTGTCTCTGCCTGTTTCATCTTTCAACAGATACTCCGTCTTTCGTTATCCCCCTCTATCCCTCCTTACATGAATTATTTAGGTCGTGAATCCGACATTTGCTCCTATAAATGCTACAGGTGTGGAATGACTTGAACGCCTTTGTCTGGCTTGGCCGGCCTATGGATAAATATTTGATGGACTTTTACTTCATTATCTGGAGTCCATACAATCCATGCAATAAGCTGCATAAACCTTAAGTTCTTTAGGTTGACAGTTTGTGTATTTTATGCTTTGCAAAGGGTGCAGCATTTTGAATTAATGGAGTTGAACAAAGTGCAGGAAATGATAGTTTGTTGATGTTTCCATCGAAGCAATTATGATGCAGCAGCCTCAGAAAAATGTAAAGACACATTTTTCACAACAATTAAAATTGTAATAATGAATGTTTCAGGGTATTTTTTTTCTTTTTTTGTGACAAGCCTACATCAACTAATTTCCTGTGACAACAGGCCATGACGTGCTTATAGAAATTCGCGTGCATGCTCAGAAAAGTGAGTCTTAAATTCACTGGCTCGTAATATTTCTCTGTTTCCTGAACCCAGAAATGCACTTTGGAATTGTAGGTCGGAGGTCAGTGTGTGAATGTATTGACAGTTCTTGTTTCAGGGTGCACATGTTGACTAAATCTGTATCTGTATAGCCAGTATAACCGCCATTCGGCGTAACACACCAGCTTCGCAGGCACTTGGCTAAAGTGGAATTTTCCAAGAAGTGGGTATAGGTCCAAAGTCTTATGTACATGTGAATGTCTTATCAAAAGATTAGAGTTCAGGTCCATTGAATTATTTTCAGTACTTTTGTCAAAATAGTTGTCAAAATATGTTTTGTCCTTGATTTACATATTGGATCATAAATTTTGATATCATGCATATTTTACATGTACATTAATAATATTGAGTAAGTTATGAGTGGTTATGTACATAACAGAATAGACTCATTTCGTGTTTAATTCCCAGATGAAGTACCCATTACAGGTGAGACAAAAGGTACACAATGGATACTCCATCACCATGGAGACAAGACAGACATATTTGTCTACCTGTCTGGCTGGACAAGCTGTTTCTGGTCCAGTTAGCCTGTGGTATGACACAGATATTGGCCTGCAGGCTCGCCTGCACACAGATTCAGGCTTAGCGTTCCGTGCCTGCCCCACAGGAATTACAGCAGTGACTGACAACAAAAGGTTGGCTGACAAAACTTCAACAGTCCCATGACAGAAGCTGACTACTGACACTGGGACCTTAAGAAGCTAGCAGGTTTGAATTGTGGGATTTTTCAAGAACACCTGGACTAGTTGGACTTTATACAGAGAAAAGGGGCTGACAAAACTTCAACCATTGAGTTCAATGACAGAAGCTCAGACTTAAGAAACTACTGGAGTTGACTTGTGAGTTTTTAATACAAGAACACTCAGACTGGTTGGACTATAGATATATTACAGAAATATAAAGAAAATAGAGAAATACAACAGAATCTTACCAATAATGCAGATAGGTTTTGATGTGTGAATACCGAAACATGAAATATTATGATATAAAGTATTACCCGGTACACTCACTATCCGATTTAGCATATAAAGTAATAGATAAAGAAATATATTATCTGGAAAACAAATAACCTGTCCAAATGGAGGGTGCCCTCCACTATGTTGGCCTGCTTCCCAGTCAAAGGGGATATGTACATATTTAAGTAGGAATGTTCTCTTGATTTACATACTGTATAGTTACATTATTGGATAGCCTAACACCAGACTCACTCGTCACATTCCTTATCGTATTAAGGGTAAGTTACATCTGTGTAAAATGGAGGTACATGTATTTGACAAAGCATACTTGTGAAAGTCATGATTTACCAATGTCTGAAGTAAATCCTTCTCTTCTTTCCTGTCAATCATCCCCACCCAGACCACGCCCCTCAGGGCTACTGCCATCCTCTTCCACTCCAAGGTTAGGGAGCCTGCAGAAAAATAAACAGATGTTAACAAGTTCAAAATTTTGTGGGGAGCATGATCATACGACATACCTCTGATGATGTGTCTGTATTTTATGTAAACAAGCCTGACAATTCAGCCCTAGGGCTGCAACCAGGATGTGGTTTGGGAGAAATAAACCATTCTGCTACTACTAGTCTACTACGGACATCCCTATAGGTTACTGACAGCATGGCTCTCAGCCAATCAAGAGCGTGGATTTCTTGCAATCAAAAGTCCAAAGTACTAGCCTACGTACCATTAAACAATTCATTTTTTAATCAAACAAAATGATAGATTTGATCAACTTTAAGGATTTGAGGTAGAGAAGTGAATGAATGACAATCTGTGATGGTCTTACCTGTATGGAAGATCACAATCCATGCCTCCTCACTATCCAGCACTTCTTTGGTGAAGTTGGACTTAGTCAGAGGGAACATGTCCAGATATCTGTCAAGTTACAATCGTATATTATTATTATCATTATTTGATACATGTATAACAAATTGAGTGCAATCAGAAATTGCAGACTTATTTTTCTTAAGACTTTGTGCAGTCTTAATTTCCGATACATCCTTCCACTCACCGACAAAAGTAGGTGCAATGCGGATGCATCTCATGTATAATTGGATAATTTTGCAGAAACACTGACACAGTCATAAGTGCATAATTATATTTGTACACACACACAACACACACATACTGCATATTAAATGTCCTTGTAATCTTAGTACATAATATGGTTGATCTGAGTAGCACTAGTAGTTAGCATGGTTCCGATGCGACAAATTAAATGTACTAAATTGAAAAGACCTGTTCACAAAATAAAGCAAATGCTTAGTATCGGTGTAACTGGAAGTGGAAGAACAGCAATAGCTAAGTAACACGTCACTTATAAAGTCAGCCCCACCCATAATTTTTACCTCTCGTGTTCTTCCAGCTCAATTTCCTGTTGTACAGACTCTCGGCAACATAAAAACAACGTCAGAGAAACGAAAACCAGTCGGTAGATGACATATTCTCTAGATCTCGTTGGCATTTTAGTGTAGGTTTTGGTTGCTTTTTTTAGCCAAAACTTTCGCGCGCAAACAGGTGGATGTCAGAGGTCAAAGGTGAGGAGGTCATCAGTAGTCCACATCCGGGTACTTGGCGGAGGATCTCGTTCCCCGATCCCGTGACACCTGAGCACATATTATTTTTCCGCTGAATTCCTCCCCGGCACGCATCATGAAATTTGTATAAAGGTGAGGCGTACACAAAAGAAGCTGTGTGCGCACCCGATTGGCTGTGTCCGAGCGTCTGAGTTTCCCCTTACCTGTGTGATCGCGCCTACCTGGGTTCGTGCCTGTCGTCCCGCCATCTTGCTTCCTCTTCCTCCCCTGGCGCCACGCACTAAGTCCGCCTCCAGTCAACCTGCCCCGCGCCTCCTTCCTTAGCATGGACGGGTGAGTATTTCTCGTCAGATTTGCCTCAGGTTCTCCTTAGATTCACGCTGGGTAGACTTGGGAGGGCACCACGAAGGATCTATGCCCAATAAGGGGGCGGATTCTTGGGGTAGAAGTGCGAAAAGTTTGTTTGTTTTACGTCTTGGCGAGGTATGGCTAACGTGCTTGTACTTATGGCGGGAAAAAGGTAGGTCGTATGTTGCTCTCCGTGTGCCAAGAGATCGGAAATTTGCTCATAGATAGCAAACAGGAACTTTTAGACGCTATACAGTGTTACATGTTGTGGTTACTTTTCGTTTAGTCGTCTTAAACTCTTTGGTATGACCAGACACTGCACTGACTAAAAACAGACACATGTTTGTGATTGCAGAAATCTGACGACTCTTATCATTTTGTTTTCTTGATTTTGCAGTTTGTCTGGAGACATAACGACTGGAACGAAGGTTTGTACTTCTCTGTTGATTTAAACTCTCCCTAGACCATGTTTAATCACGTCTTACTGAAGTATAGCTTAGATCTTTAGTTATCAAAATTAATTCTAAAATGCTTGATATCCACAGTTCCACGTTTGTTGTCTGGACTTGTTGGACAACTTGTCTGTACGTTTAGTGCTACAGGGGACTTTGTGGCTATAGCAACAAGTATTATTTATATCCTCAATAACGCTAAACCCAGATCACTTTTATAACCCAGTATTTTTTCATGAGCAAATAACATTGAGTTGAAAAGGTATCCCAAATTTATTTGGAATTTGAAGGAGAAAAAAGCATACATATGAGTATGATTTGTTGGTATTTTCTACAAATGTATGTTCTCACTTGTGCTACTAGTTTAGTTGACCTTCGCCTGTAGTGGGGTGTTTGTACTTGGATGATTCATGGTTGTTTGAACACCCCGTACAAAAACATGCCAAATTACAGGAAAGAATGCCAGGTGTGTTGTCGTGCAAGGACCAAACAACTCCGAAATTTCTGAAATACCCCTAAAGTTTCTTCCTCAATCGTTAATTTTTTATTCTCAGAAGAGGTAGAGCTTAGTACACGGTAGTTAGAAAATGTCGACATGGACCGTCAACTGTATGCAATGGCAAAGATATGAGACTGTTTTCCCATTTACAGAGCGGCTGTTTGAAAAGACCAAAGCAAACATTTGTTTTGTTCCCTCCCGACCTGACCTTGTCAACCCTTACCAGAAACACTAGGACAGTCCTTTGGCACAGCATTTCGTCCAGAAACGCTGAACTCGCCTTCGATCGAATGGTTATTCATCAGTTTGCCCGGATATTTTTTGTTGACACCACATAGCAAGACAGGATTTTAAAAGGCATTTGTGAACCCAGAGTTCAAATCTACCTGCACACGGACAGAAATTGTTTGTATGTCACGGGATGCCACATTGGGGGATCAGCAATGTTTGTCACCTACGCTCGATGCCATTCCTTGCTAATATTTGTACTTTCCAGAGGATGGAATTCAAACACAGGCACTGGTGACTGGGGGCAGGCACTGAAAACATTATTGAGAACATCCATATGTTCCTAGTGGAAAATTTGGACGTGGTTGGTTGTCAGACAGGGCGGTTCAATGTATACAGGGAAGAGAATGAGTCGTGTCCAACATTAAAAATTCATCAGCTGAAGTGGCATGGGAGGTCCATTTATGAAATGAAGGTGTGCATATTTAATGATGCTGTCTCTTTGTCACGACAACTAGTTTTCGCATCCCGTGCTAGGTTAGATGGCTACTTGATGAGGGTTTCTTGGTGTTCCTGGTTTAAGTTCAGCTTTTTCCAGTCAACCTGTTTGTTTTTTACTGCACTGAAAGCAGCTTGAAAAAGACCCTTTATTTAGTTCATGACTGTTGCTATGTCAGCTGCTGCATACTCTTGGTGTTCCTGTTTTGCGAGGAATTTCCTTTGTAGTTGTGGTACATATAGATATTTTAGAATAAAACCCAGGTATAGTGTTGTGAAGAAGAGTTCTATATTATTTAGGTAGAAGTAGCTATAGTTTTCCCAGCTTTGGTCACAACCTGACCTAACAGGTGAAATTCTTCTCGGTTTAGGTGAAGGATAAATTGAAGTAACAGGGCTGCAACCTGTTGCAAAGCATGTATCGTTACAGACCAATCTGTTGGATCTAATCTATTGTTCAGTATTAACTGTCATGGCAAGATGCTGTGTGGCGGTAGCCCGAGGCTAGACATACCTTTGTTCAGCAACTTCAGGCCAGGATGTGCCCAGACTTAAAATGAAGGGTTCTGTTTGTTTTGTATGTGTCTAAGGTGTGACAGTAAATTAGGAACTGATAACAATCAGCTCAGTTTAAGTGTTCAACACTATGGATACTGCAGAAACTGGTTTACTAGCCGTTTTATTTGTTTGCGGCCTGCGTAACCACCTAACTGGTCACTACGGTGATTCAACTCAGTAATCATTTAGCAAAGGAGATAAACTAGTTTTGTCAGTTTGCCACGCCCCAGGCAAAATCTTCTGTCTGACCCCAGTTCTGAAAGCAAAAAGGTTGGCCCTGCAAAATTGTTCGTTCGTCATCAAGCTACTAGGTTTCCATTCTTCCTAAATAAATGAACACAAGACCTCATGATTTCCAGACTTTGACAAATAATAGAAAGTGTTTACCGAGAACTTGTGCTTTTGTGAAGTAAAAGGATCTGAAAGAAGTAAGTCAGTGTAACGTGCCCCAACAGACAATTTCCAGCCAATGCAGTTGAACAAAAGACAGTACCTGAAGACAAAACAGTTTGTCTGACTCCACCCCCTTTTTACCTTGCTTCACTGCACCCTTTCAGAGTCCGTCTATTTACCCTTTCAGTACCACTCTATTTACTCCGTATCCCCTTTCTGTACCGCATTTTGTTCAGGTACAGGCTTGGATGGAAGTATTTGCGTGTTGCTGTGAAGAAATGTGGGGGGATCTCAAAGTTATCTTTGCCTTCAGGGCAGGGCTGTTAATCTTATCCCCAGCTTAGTCTGCTCATCAGCAGTGTAAATAGGGGTGTCGGAGGTGCTAGACAGGTGCTATTGTTCGTCATTATCATACATTCAGACCTGACACCATCTTATAGAATTGTCTGATGTGTCTTCATCTGCATTTGAATATGTTAATTAGTCATGTAATGTTGTATACATCAAGTCTGGGTGTTTTAGTGTTACACCCCACTTGTTTTTTTAAGCCACAATAGTTTGTTTCGTTTGTAAATTATTCTCAAATGGCTTCTTCGAATCTTTACAACAGGTGCATTTTCATTGCAAAATTTGTTTTACAAGTGCATAAATATAATGCCTAAAACATCCACAATGCTTAACTGAGAAAGAAAAAAATAGTGCTGAAGGAGGGGATTGTGGTATATCAGGTTTCACCATCCCTCAAGCTTGTCAGCTGGTTTAGGCAGTTGGTTTTACCCCCTGCAACTGTGGTATGGGCGAAACAATGTCTTCTTTATCTTCATCATCTTTATCTTAAAACCTTTTAAATGGCTGCAAATTTAAGGCATGGCATTACCTTAGGTAAGGATCAGTGGTTCTTTGCAGAACAGAAACCAGGTTGTGGAAATATGAAGTCTTTACCCTAGTTCCCTTTTGATATCCTATTCGAAATGAAAACAACCTTTGCATTGTTTTTGTTTTTTTCAGTTCGTGCATTGACCTCTTACCACAAAATCATAACACCCAAAATACATGTTTTTGTAGCTGTATTGTACTACAAAATTGTTTCAACCATGAAAATCAAACAATACGAAAACCTCCTTATCCCTCCTTCCATGAAATAAAAACACCACAAAGGTAAATGCATTTCCAGTATGTGCTGATGAATCTTTTCAAGCACATTGATGTTATAACAAAGCTAGTTAAAATCCCTGGTCCAGAACTATAATGGGTTATACCTGGGTCACACCTGGAAAGAACTGGAACACCTGGCATTTCTGATAGTACAATACATAGCTGTTAGTTACCTGGGTGTTTGGTTTGACAAAAGTTAGTGAAGAATTATCTTTATCATTGCCAAATCATTATCAGTACATGTTTCTGTCTGCAATAAAGACTGCAAATATTTCATGATGTACAGTATGGTTTTCGTTCCACTCGAGATTTTCAAAGGTTACATGTTGACCTTGTCCAAACCAATACTGGCAAGTTTTAACCAAAGCAATTAACAAACACAACACATAGAGCCATCGCTTAGAAAAATTTATAAAATTGTATTTTCTTTTATATTATGAACATTTTTTACCGTAGAACTGCACAATAGCTTACATCCATTACGAAAGCTTATAGGCATTGGTAGTAGTCATAGTACAATGATTAACTCTGTTGGATTTTTTCCTTTCTTTGGTTACAGAGAGGTTCAGACGAGCTACTTTCTCCCCAGTCTCACCCTGAGTTGAATGGTATGGACGGAAACCCTGGTCTCCCTGTAAACCCCAATGGTAAGTACACCAAACTACAGTATGTACTCATGTACTACACCGAAAACGTTATACATGCAGCAGTTGCAAATGTTTGCTTAGGCCTTATGACAGGTCTTGAGCCCTGTCATTGACTGAAATACAGACTATATAGGGATTATTCAATATGGACAATATATCACATGCTGGTCCAATGGTCTTAAGATTGTCACTAAAATGGCAATAGTACTTTTCAAAATTGTGCGAACATGCACCAACATCAAGGTGTTTTTGCATGATGGCTAGGTTTTAGTATTTCACAAGAACAGTAAATGTTCATTTTAGTTGGTCACCGTCATGCATAATAGGTACATGGCAAGGCTACAGTGTATTGAAGAACTTCTGCTTTAATTGTTAACATTAGTTCATTTTTGTTAACGTTTCAATTAAGACATTTTTTTTACTCTGTGTTTAGTGGCTGGTAAGTTTTCCTCCTCATGACTTTTTTTCTCTTTGTCTTATTGTCGTATCTGTGTCTCTTAATGGGAGAGAAGTGACTTAACTGACTCTAGGACTTGGGACAGAATTCAGGACATTAATTCAGCCTATAAATTTCTTGAAAGGTAAAGCTTTTGTTCCAACACAAAAGAGAAATGTTGTCCCCTATATAGCTTTCAACCAGTCACACAGGTCTTCCTCAGTGGACGGACCCAGTGAGACTTTTCAAGCTATTGGCTTCTCTGATGTGTGACGTCAACACTGGGTCAAAGCCTGTGAATTTACCTGTTGGCTTACATCAGCTAAAAGAGAAGCACAGCTGCAAGTGACAAGATAGGGACACGGACATCTTAGCTAGGACTAGTGAGAATCAGTCCAAGTGGGTTCAAACGCGACTGCTCGAACATGAGATAGTGACGATGAGCCCGGAAAACTATACCCACAAATTCGAGGACTATCAGACATTCGCTTTGCTAATTTCAAGACAAGTGAACAAGTGGGTCTAGAAGTCTCTTGTTAGGAAGCATATCCTGTTTATGACTTTTGTTGAGTTGTTATAATCAGTAATGATGTTCTTTGTCAAAATCAATACTTTGATACAAAAATGTTTACCGACAAGAAAAACTGTACCAGGATCAGATGTATGCAGGATATGTTTTGTAGAATGCTTGTCACTTTTTGTCAGAGTTCTCTTTGATGGTGTCAGTTGATATTTGGAAAGAAAGGACTAAAGGTCAATATTTCTATTGGTCTTTTGTAGACGAGCATAAGCTGTCAAAATGTCACCAGTAGACATAATCGTTTTCCTGATTTTTTAAATCTCCAACACAGCTTAGGATGATTAATTCTCGGTTTGCCAAAGCATCAACATGGCCAGTTTTGGGACGAAATATTATAGAAGCGTGTTGTAGCTCATTGTGTGTAATTCAACTTTCAAAAATTTCACTCCTGTGAAAAAGCTGAATTTGTTAAAGTTTAAAAAAAAAACAGCATATTTGTGTCACAAAACAAACTACAGGACTGTCTCCCACTTGTGTTACCCTGTTGTATCACTGACTGATCCTGGGTTTCTCAGCTCTCAGTTTTCCTGTACTCCTTATAGTAGGCATAACAAATGGCTGACGTGGGGTGTTTTTGTTGTGTACACATAGCCTCCGTGGGAACTGGACCCAATGGAAATCATGACTACGAATACGATGCACAAGGTTAGAAATGTTTTGAGCTCATGATATTTTTCTTCTATTCCTTTGGCTCTTTACGGTAAGAGTTTGGTAGTTATTCTTCCCAGCAATAACCTGGAAATAATTGGTCCTACCTTTAGGTAAGTAGCAAGGTGCAGAGAAGATTGAGAAAGGAACACAAAGTAGTTTGTGTAGCTGTTTTTGGAAAACAGTTATTGATCAATTATTGAGCAGTAGACTTGCAATACTACTGCCAAACAAAGACAATAATGTTACTGTTAGTCAATGAATCTATAGTAGGGATGTCACACTAAAAAAAGGGGGGCATCAAGGATTATTAAAAATGATTCCATGTTATCGAGTAGATTTTTCCGGTCAGAATGCTTCATTTCGCATGAAAATTGGACAAAGTTGAGATTTTCTAGAATTTTTTAAAGTTTATGATTTTGACGTTTTCATTGGAAGATGCTTAAGTATTGGTCCTATGGGAATAGGCTAATTAGTCATGGCACCAAAAGAGACCATAAATCAACAATATCTGACATACATTTTATTGTATCTCTTAAAGTTTTCATGCTACAATCTTCAAATTTTCAGCATCTTAGGATCAAACATTTTGCCACAAAGGTCTTTAATTTCATCTTTTTACATACAAAAGTTTACACATTTTTTCCTAATTAGGCTAATGATTACATAATTACATAATTACATCATTTTTACGGGTAACGAGGTTCCCAGGTAAGATACAAATTGTGAACAGAACTCTATACTAACAAGGTATTTTTGTGGTCCTAAATTCCCCTTATAAGTAAACAAAGCATTTTAATGAGGATGATTAAATACCAAAATATGCAAATGAGCCTAATTACCAACATTTATATGCATATCAGGATACATGTCACTTTTCTTCGTATAATAAAAATGTCATAGTAACCTGTTGACATATGAGCAAACTGTAATATTCAAACTGTAATATTCAATATTCATTTCTTAATTAACTAACAATTATTTCAATTAACAATATGCTAATTAGCCTTTTACAATATACTTATTAGTCTTTTAAATTCCATTTTCACACTAACTACTTTGTATTTATGGATGTTACAATTACAGCTAAATTTACTTGATAATTAAAAAAGATAAAATGGTATCTTTACAATCTTTTTCCACATTTTCTATCCACTTCACTCTCGTGTCTTCTCTGAGTCCAGTCTTGTTGACAAAGTTAAACAACTCCAATATTGGCCTGTTTGACAGCTCAACTTGACAGCTGCCAGTTTCATGTGCAGTAAGACTCAATCCTGCATTTCTGCACAGCTCGCCTGCATTTGTCTCTTCTTCATCCACTAAGATAAAATATGGGTAGAATTAGTATCTAGTCTCTTCGTGTACTTTCATATACACGTACAGCCATATATGAATAGCCAATGGAAAAAGAAAACAGAAAACTAAGGAAACGAATAAGAAAGCATAAAACTAAGAAAACAAACAAGAAAAGAATAGAAGAGGAAACCACCACTGAACATGAAGCCGACCGATTGGAAAAAAGCAACAAGAGATGGGTACACTGGGAAGACAGAATGCACAGGAGGAAGAAGACAATCACATGGGACCATCTTCTGACAAGAGTGAGCAGAGTAATAGATTCAACAAAAACAACAACAACAATAGCCATTCAAAATGTTCAGGATGATTCACTTTTCTTTGTTGAATTAAGATATAAAAAAATGAAATCAACCAACTGGCAATATCAAAAAATACTGAGGTTACTAGATTTGGCCTTGATATCTGATATCTGAAACCAGAAATTTGATATTTTTTTCTTCAAAGCTGGATCATTAAACAAAAAAATATCTACATCAGGGGCTGGGTAAACATTGATCACGATGGACAAAACATAACATTGAATATAACACTTAACGACAATCTCATGATCCGGCCAAAGTTTTTTTTCGTCCAAAATATGCCACATTGTCGTAAATCAAAAGTGTAACACACGCTTAAAATATATTACTAAAGAGCAGCGGAAATTATGATTATAGGTTGAATTAAACCGACAACGTTCGCGATCTCACGCCCCCTCCCCTCACGGCCCGGCCGCGCGCATTGCACGCACCATTTTCCCGGCGGCCGGGAAAAACTAACAAAATGTTTCGCTAAACCCACAGCTCAAACTCGCCTCAAATGATACAAAAACTACACCAACATAACCACAAAGTGTTTATATTTGTTACTATGGGCGGACAAAATTGTTAAATTCAAGAAAAATAGCAAAATTTTTCACATACTTTTTGGACACTTCACTTCTCGACTCGTACCTCCCGCCAGCGATGACGTATCAACTTTGTCCCACCGCTGTCGTGAACCCTGAACTCTGCCCTTTCACATCAAACCATTCCCAGAGTTCTACAAGCCCGAGCGGTTTGTGGCTTTTGAGTGGAAGAAGACGTCTCCGCCCGGCGGCTTCAAAATAGCGTGCCGCGTTCGCGGCGTCCGAACGGGGCTGATTTTCGGCTGTATTTTCAACTTTGCTGATTTTTAGCTCCTTTATTGATCCATACTTTCAACTAAAAATACAATGACACGATAGCTGACATCATATACATTTTTGATAACAATTTTTATTGGCATAATACAAACGGTTGATTTTTAACGATCGTTTAAAAATATTTACTGCCTCGCGCGCCCCCGCGTTCCAATGCCGGAGCGGGAAAGTTTGACATGCCTATCTATAGTATAACTGTATTACTGGCTACTGACTGGGTTTGGTGGGTATAACATGTACATGTAAGGCAGTACGAATCCTGATTAAAACTAAACCTTCAGCCTATGCAGTAATTTCCCTAGATGGTTTGAGCGCTTCCGGTTTCCTCTACAGATTACTCTTGGTCTTTAGCTATATATTTTTTTTCTGAGCCTGTCAGTTAACCGTTTCGTCTTGCTATGTTTAGGTAAATGTCAGTTGAAAATCAGTATAGTGTCCATTTTGTTGTTTGATTTATGTAGTAACTTATATTCAATAGTACACGTTATTATCATATGAATATTTGCATAATTGATAACAAAAAGGCATAGTATTGAAACATGAGAATTTTATGACCATGGTATGTATGCAATTAAGATGGAGACTTATGTAATCATCAGCCTCTTCTAATATAATGTCTAGGGACTCAGCAGCATTTTATATTTTCTAGAGATAGGTGAATGGCTCTTGTACATTTTAATATGAAGAGAGGTGAAATATTATTCAAGAGGGTTAAAAATGTCCCTCGTGGATCATGTATGTTGCTGATAGAAGCCTTTTTCATGATGAGTTTATGTCCTGGAGATCAAATATCGGAGATGAGACCACACTTTCCTGGCAGACAAGTTGTTTTAATGCATTGCATGACCTCACTCATTATTAGTCATCATGTTATCAGGTACCAGGTAAGGGATCGGTGAGGGAGACCACATTTTACTGGGAGTGCAAGGAAAGAGACAACCAGATCCATGTATTATCAAAGGAGAACACTAAAATTGATGCCAATGTTCAATTAACCACTATCACATGAAGGTAGCATAACACAATATTCGTCTGCATTATAATAGGGCGTACTCTGGAATTCTAAAAATGGATATGTTTCTGTTTACAATGTACAAAGTCCTCTTTTGAATGGCGCTCTGCGGAGGTCAAATGAACTACAGCTGGCTAACCCAGAAAAGCAGTTGCATTTATGGGCAAATTGGAAAGACTTAGTAATGCTTACACATTCCTACACTTCGCAAAAGTTTACATCTGGCTGTCTCTCACATGAGACTTTCTTACCAGTCTTCAAGAATTTTGTCTGCATTACTTTATAATCATATGCCAATGTCAAAGTCCCCAGGGGTCATGGCTATATTTTGAGTCATTGTGACCTTAATGTGGGTACAAGTACATGTACAAGGTAATCTGTACCTTATCTTCATTAAAAACTCTAATTACAAAAAAATTGATAAGATTGTAATAGACTGATTGACATGATTTTGAAATGTATTTTTTGACTGATCAGTTGTTGGTCTTTGATAGCCAGACCAGCCCCTAGACCAGATCAACTAGATATAAGGATAAGGCTTTTTATCAACACAGCTTTTATACAGTAGGGCACAGCAGTGAATTACTTTATCTGAAGATATGGACTTACTGTATTTTGAATGACATATTAAGAGTTGTTGACTTCATGGCCCATTTCTACTCTTGGAATGCTGCTACTGCTAGCAAATTTACTTTGATAGTTGACATGTGGATGAAGAGTAAGCAACTGCCTCTTCCTGGTAAATTTGTTCAGCAGAAAATAACATATTGGTCAGCCCTAGTCCCACCCTGGCCGACATTTCTAGGTTAGATCAATGTTCTCTATGCTATTTCAGAAGGTTGTATGATCAAGAAAATACAATAACAGATCTAGAAAGGAACCAAAAGTAACAGCTCTATTTAAGCTACAAAGCTAGCTAGTAAATGATGGAAGGGTCTGTAATGATTACTGTATAATATCCACTGATGGTTCGACTAACTTTAGTTCCGAACTGAAAATGGCAAAATAAATAAATAGGAACAGTGAAAGAAGATTGTGATGAAATATTGTAATCATTCCTTATGATTGGATATTCCCAACGTCTTTACTTAATGTCATTTTCTCTGGAAAATGGAACATAATTTTTTTTATGTAAAATATGATCTCTTTCCAGCAGAAAATGATTCATTATTTAATGTATTTTGTTACCATTGACTAATTACCTCTTTGTTTTTCTTTTCTCCACAGGGGAAAATGGTGCAAAAAAGGTAAGACCCATTATTTAAAATTTGTGGTTTGATTTTTGATTTAATTACTTGAAACAAAAAGATATTTGAAGTTCTAGACAAATTTATGTTAATCCTTCAATGTGTGTGCATGTGTGTTTGTTTGTTAACATTCGTACAGTACATTTATATTAATTTGTGTGCAACATAGTAAAGGAGACATGACCTAGTATCTTGTAATCTCAAATTTGTGTGACCCAAATGATGATGATAAAACACTTGTAGGCCCCTTGATGATGCTATCTCAGGTATCTCATTGATTCGAGTAGGGCTTAAAAGGCCAGATAAGGAAATTCCTAGTTTACTGCAACCATTAGGCTATGCATGTGCCTTGAAGTGATCCTGTCCAAGGATATGTGATAAATTGCAGTACTGTCAACATGTGGCAGGCTCTCACTGGCTAATGTAGCTGTTCGGAGAAGTGAAGACAGTGACAACAATGGTCTTTTCAGTACCAACAGGTATCTGAAAAGAGATGTCAAAATTAATACAAAGTTGTTTTAAAAAATTATCAATTATGAAGAGCCTTTATGTGTTATATTTTTTATGATCATCCACCTTCAAAAAGTTAACCCTTAACTAACTCAATGTTCATCATCAGATTGAGCTTGCAAGCTGAAAGTGATGAACATTTTCACCGGTAATAGCTGACCACTGTTTTCTGTGCCCTCAGTCATAATGTTCAGATTATCTTAAAATAGGTTAGAAACTAGTAAAATTTTGACAGCTACCAGCCATCAAAGTTTATTTATGATGCCAAAACTCTCTTTAAAGCTGTGCATCCCTGGGAAATGTGTTTATCAAAGAAACAACCCTCTGACCAGAAAGAGCCACTAAACTCAGTATAACAGCCACTAACTTGATTACTGCCTACCTGGCAGCCATGCAGTCCTGATGGAAATCACATTACCAGGGTTTGTCTGCATCTTTGTTGGCACTTGGTCCATAGGAATGTCTGGCCTAATGGAAGCCCGCTGACGGCACAAGTTCATTGTTTGGCCATTTGTAGCAGATGAAGATTGATAGATTGTGTATGCGTGCTTTTCTGACTGGGATAAAGGAATGGGTGTGAGTGCTGATTGTTTGGAAGATGAGGAAAGCTGAACAGTGTGAGATTGTGTTACCTTGGTATACCCATGCTGAACCATGCCATTCATCAAAATTTTAACTCCTTTATCTAGTGCGAGACTTGTTTCCTTTACCTCTTAAGCGTTCAAGGGTTATGTGTTATTATTCCATGATTATGCTATTAATCTGCAGAAGCAGCATAGATTAGTATCTTTATTCTAATATTAATCATCAATAAAAATGCATATCCTTTTTATCATGATCTTTGGAAGAATTTTATATTCAAATTAGATATTTGACTATTCCAATCCAAGCTACCCTATTTCTGAAAAGGATGTCGATAGTCATGATCCTAGTGTAATATTATAAATGAGCATTTAAAGGCACTCGAAGCAATAATTACAAGGCAGTACAACTGGATTTTCAAAGTCAATTTGCTGGTCATTTATTCAGTGTAGCACTTTAAATCAACCCAGTCTCATAGCATACTGGATGTGTGGGGCAAAAATGTGATTATTTCGTAAAGTAGGCTGGTTCTAGCTATTTATTGGTGGTACCAAAAAATTTAGGGACTCTTTACGTAGCTTGTTTTGGGTTGTTAGGTGAAGACAGAACTGTGCTAGAAATGACAGTGTCAATGTCGGACAGATTTCCTCATCCAGAATATTTTTGTTAGCCGCTCTGAAATTGCATTGGATGCCTTGGAAGACTCAATTAGCCATGTAGCTTTGAAGTGCACGTTTTTGCTTGTTGTTGAAACAGAGTGTTTTGTTTACCCCAGGTGAAGCTGGATAACAAGAGCAGCGGCCAGAACGCCCCCTCGAAGGTTATCCACGTCAGGAACGTTGCGCCTGACGCCACCGAGGCAGACATCATCCAGTTGGGAGTGCCGTTCGGCCGAGTCACAAACATTCTCCTTCTGAAGGGGAAAAACCAGGTCAGTAAAAACCCTGTGTTGTTTCGTGTTATATTCTATTTATGTCATACCCACCAAAAAAACAGACATTTCATTACAAAATGTGCCAAAAGTTGGTGTCCTTAAACGAAAAATTGTAACAAAATGAATTCCAGCATTTGAATCCGATATTCAAATTTCCAAAAGCGGCGCACTCGGTGCACACGAAAAGCGTTCTGTGGAACATTTTGGACCCAGTGTGATAACTGATAGAACCCCATGTGATACGGCTAGTTATCACACGGGCTGGAGTACCCATATCAAACGCTACTGCAGCCCAGGTATGACATGAATGTATGTTCAATCTTTTATTTCAAATGGGGGAAAATATATTATAAAGCAGCAAATCCTAAAAAAAAAAACAGAGAAACAAAATTGGTGTGGCCTTGGTGTAATGTACCCATCCTTGTTCTCTCGCCATAGAAATGTGAATGTTGTTGCTCACAGTCAATATGTCCAACACCAGTATTTACAGGATAATGGACTGATGAATTTTTAATGCTACCTATTGGCTAATTAATGAACTGTAGGGACTGCACGGACAATGGGTAATTGTCTAAAGTCGCACGCTATGGGGAGTAACATCCACCTCACAGGCATTCTTTGGCCTACTGGCATGGTAACATTGACAATGGCCAGCTGGTTACATTGTTGTTCTTGTCATGTGCAAGGGCAAGCCATATTTGTTATTTCTTAGGTGCATAATCTATCAGTTATGACCTTAGACAAGTCAAACTTTCCTACTAACTGGATACTAAGGGACAGTAGCGGATTCTGTGGTGTTGTCTTACCTAAGGAACTTCCTTACATATCAACTACAATAATTAAGTCTTTGTCATATTTTGACATTTTTTCCAGTTGCTATCATATATAAGTGTTGACTTGTTCTGTTCATTATGGATGTCGCTCAAAACATTTGGCAATTTCCGTAATTTATCCAGTAGTAGACTTAGAATTGCGAATGAGTTTAGTTCATATGATTAAAATGCTGCTTAATGTTGATATCTGGCAGTTCAGATAAAGTACCATAGACATAATGTCTAATGGTTAAATACACTTGTTTGAAGTTGTAATGTCTTGGTAAAACAATTTTCAAGACATTTCCCTCAAGTAAGAGGAGTGCAACAGGTTGATGCTTGCCTTGGCGTATGTACTACAGTTTATAATGGCTTTTCCGAGTTAAGCAGTGATGAATAATTTAAACGGCCTCTACATACACGGTTTGCTACTTGACATGTTTTCCCCTCGGGAGCTTAAGCGGTGTTTAATGTCCTTTGGAGACTTCACCTCTGACAATTACATGCTGCAAAGAAATGGTGTATTGGATTGTAATGGGCAAATTGTATTTGGTTGGTTGGGCAGATTTTATCTGGGTTCCCCCCTTTGCCCAGATGACACCAGCAATGTTGAAACTTTGTTATCTTTACTGCACAGTATGCAGTAAAAGTAATGCAAAAACAGCAGATTTCAAATTAACTGTACTTTGTGATGGGCGCAATGTGATTTATCCATACCTTTTTCTAACATTCAAAAGGAAAGAGATGGGTGTTTAAAAAGTGGAGATGGTTGTTGAGACTATCTTGCAAAATATCTTTTAAGCAAATGCAGTAGCCCTTTAATGATTATGGAGTGGCAGAAGGTTGTAACTGGCTTGGACAAAAAAATTGAATACGTTCCCTGTCAAGTGCTTCAGATTTCTTAACAAAATAACAGATGTGTGATCCTTTTTGTAAGCATTTTTGTTGTTCTGTACTGGATATGAGAAAACAGACAGTCACAGTAACACTTGTTTTGTTTGCAGGCCTTCCTTGAAATGGCAGATGAAGACAAGGCTGCTGCCATGGTGAACTACTTTACCTACACGCCCACCCTGGTGCGCGGTCGGCCCGTCTACATCCAGTTCTCCAACCACAGGGAACTGAAGACAGATAACGCACCAGCTCAACAGGTACGGAATCAGGCCGGGTTGGAGGATCAGGAAAAGCTTTTGAGGCCTCATTGATGATGTTTATCTTGTGAGAAAGCATCCAATGCAATTTCAGGGCAGCAAAATAGAAAATGTTTTGAACGAAAATGTCCTTTCATAACAATCTAGTTTTGTCATGTTACTATGCTTTTCTTGCAGTATTGTTTCCTTCAATATTTACTTGTTCTGTTTACAAATGTTTAACTTCGCTATGTTTGTCTTCATAATTTATCCTTTCTGTTTTATTCCTCTTTTCTCTACATGTTGTTTGCTTGTTCTTCTTCTGCTTTCTTCTTCTGTTCCCAACTGTTTCTCTAGCTGGTTAGTTACACTGATGAGGACAAAGCTCTGTCTGACCCAGCTAGAAAACCCAGCTCTGTCAATGGTGATGAGGTAACAAAAATAACAGTACTGAATGCCAGCTCACATATCATGGCCTTGATGTACAAAGACATTATGAAAACTACAGAACTCATTTCTTTTGCTGTTTCCTCTTCCTTTCCTTCAATTCTTTGTTTTTCAATTCAACATCTTTGTTTTCAATTCAATGTATTCCCTCTTCAATTGATACAAAGTTTGACCTTGGGTACTAGAGCTAGCTACCAGTCACTCTGGTCTTCTTTCATATACTGATTCAGTGTCACGTGGCTTCTAAGTGTGACATGAACACTGAGTCAGTCTATTGAAGAAGACCAAAGTGACTGGTCAAAAGCTCTAGGTGAGAACAATCCCTTATGTTGGAAGAAAAGTTCTAACTTTAAACATATAACTATACCAACAGAGATGAAGTTTCCTGACTTGAGATTGTTGCGTGTTTCAGACGGCAGCTGCCCAGGCCGCTCTCCAGGCTGCCCAGTCCTTCATCCCCGGCGGTGTGGGGGTGGGGGGCCTGACCGTGGGCGTCGGAGGGATGGCGGGAATGGGCGCCACGGCTCTGATTGGTGCAGCCTCGCCCAATCCCGTCACTACGCAGGGCCAGCCCAACTCCGTTCTGAGGGTGATCGTGGAGAACCTGATCTATCCCGTCACCTTGGACGTCCTTCACCAGGTCTGTTGCACAGGAAAAACATTTCCTCGCATCTGCTGCATGGCAATTATTTGGTGCAGAAGAAATGTCTGGGTTGTGACAACCTGGGAATTCTAGTGCTTGTTGGAAATAAAACTGTCAAACTAATGGTCATGGGAACCAGGTATCTAGCAGCTGAACTATAAGCAACTGCAGACAACATGTACATGTGTATGTTTTCTACAGCACTATGGTTCCTTGAAAGTTAGTGAACCAGGTACATATGTATCTAGCAGCTGAACTATAAATAGCTGTATACAGGTACATGTGTGTGTTTTCTATGGCACTACGGTTCCTTACCTTGAAAGTTAGTGAACACAATTGCCATGTGTAGCCAGCACCAAAAACTCAGTCACAGGTATGGAAGAAGACCAGTGAATCGGAGGTTGCTACATGTGCATCTTTTTTTTTTTTGCTCCATTTTTGTTGGGAACAAAATTTTGGGTATGGTGGAACCGATATTATTGCAGCGATTACGTATGCAGTCCTAATGACCATGTTAGCAGCAGTATGTAATTGGTCCACAAGAATGACCAATGCTTTTTCACCTCTCGATGTGCTTGCTTTTGCTCATGTTTCATTTCTAGAGGTGACTGGGGCTTTTTTTTCCACCGACCATTTGAACCTTACACTTTAACTGTAGCACGACCTCTGTACATACAGTACATGCCCACTTCTACTCTTCTCTCCTCTGCTGTAGATTTTCTCCAAGTTTGGTGCCGTGCTGAGGATTGTTACTTTCACTAAGAGTGGTATGTATCCTACCCCTCTCTATAGCACTTGAGTCTTCCACAAAGTGCCACCTGACAATAATCCATCCTTGTACTGTACTGTTTCAATCTTTAGTTAGATCTGTTTTTAATATGTTTTACAGAAAGAAAAGTGACTCCCAGACTACAGTTATTTCCTACTGCCTGTTTTAGATTGATTGCTTGCATAACCTGGCATGTTACATGTATGTCTTAGAGCTGACAGTCTCGTATATAGTCCAGTGCATGGCAGGCATTTGTATTGTGTTTGCCATAGATTTTGCATGACCAAGCTATCCGTAGCTTAAAAGGTACATGTGTTACATATGGTACAACTTGCACATGTTGTATATATGGGCTGTGTTTTTACTAACAGCCATTGTGAAGTATACATTGTTACAAATGGTGGGAAAAAGTGAGCAATTCTCATCAAAGAATGCGTATATTTTATATTAGACCATTGCTAGCGCTGTTGGTGTTCTTAAGGTGTCAGAAAAGTGACAGTTAACCATTAGTCATACAAATACAAAATGAACACGGCCATATGAATCTAGGTGTTGGAAAAGAAAGTTCACTGTCTCATACACTTTGTAATTTTTAACCTCTTGTTTTTTTATCAGGCACATTCCAAGCTCTCATCCAGTTTGCAGATGCAGCGTCCGCAGCACAGGCCAAAACGGTACAAAAATCTGTTGGGATAAGATTCCGCCATGTCATTGCTAAAGCTAACTGCTGAAGAAGTCTTTGTAAAGACTTGACTATGAAGAGTAAACATTGTTGTATAGAAAATACAGTGTTATATGGAAGAAATTTCTTGTAACCTCTATTGATGTTGCCAATGTATGAAACTTCTGTGTTTGTTTGTTTGTTTTCACATAATGAAGAATATTTTGGTAAAAACTTGCAACTCCAGCTATCAGCATTTCATATTGCTCATGTTTGAACTCTTTTCCTTTCATTCACTTAATAACAGTCGTTGGATGGACAGAACATCTACAATGCTTGCTGCACACTGAGGATCGACTACTCCAAGCTGGAGACCCTGAATGTGAAGTACAACAACGACAAGAGCCGAGACTACACCAGGCCAGAACTGCCTGCAGGTGACGGGCAGCCTTCTCTGGAGCAGGCCATGGGCCTAGGTACGCTACAGTTTGGGTTTAGCCTTCAGATAGAAAACAGCAACAACAACAGGGAACAATGATCATTTTTGATACTATACTCTGTAACAACTTAAGTTTTCCTCACTGGCTAATATGACGTTTTGACTCTTCATTGTTTTCTCAATAATCAAAAAACAAAAGTAACAGTTATAGTAGTCGTAATGAATATTGAGGGTTGGGATTTTTAAGACCATAATTTTCATGGATGACAGTTTCAAATCTTACTACCGGTAACCCATATTTCTTTCAATGTGAAAATACAGCATACTACTACAATGAAGCTACATGTATGTTTTTTACGTGCATAATGATAAAACCTAAACACGTACGTTTGCACAATTTGATATCTACTAATTGCCGGCAGTTATTTGAAAATAGAATTATTAAAAGCCCATTAGTTTCTAATAACTACCAACAATTAATGGATATCTAATTGTGCACATGTTCTTTTGTAATTATTAGATTATTGCGAAGACAATGAAGAGTCAAAGTGCCAAATTAGTCAGTGAAGAAACCTTAATGTTTCAGTCCTCATGATGATAGACACTTGCTTTGCCAAGTGGATTTGAAAAAAAACATGACAAGTCTACGGGAAGTTAAAAATTCTGAAATGAGGCCACCAAGAAAATGTTCATTCTAATGCCCCCCACTCCCCTAATATGCACCCCATGTGTCAAGAAAAGAAATGCTTATAGCTCACCCGGCTGTTATGTTATGTCCTGTAGTGCTTCTGTTCACGCTACCAATGTTGGCAAGCATGTTTTGGGCCGCATGAGATTGAACCATACTCTTTATTTCTAATCCTAGACCGCTGGGGACACAACTTGCACCCATATCAAGGTAACTACCGAGCCAGCAAAGAATCAATCCTCAAAAAAGGAAATCTTCCCTCTAGCTCTCTTTGTTCCTTCAAGCTGGTGCCATGGTCCAAACTCCAACATACCCCCCTGCCTCCCCCACACAAATCCTTCCTCCACTATGCTCTTGCCAGTCACTGCCTACCTGCAACTTGGCTAAACTATGTTAAAACAGGTAGAAAGTTCAGAAAAAAACTACTGTTCCCACTGAACTCTGGTCATTCTTCAGGCATGCAATGTCTTAGAATCCAATTTAATGGTCTGGTAGTCTAAACTGAGAATAAAAATCATGTTGAAGTAGGAAGAACTTCAGTCCAAAATGTCTAATACTTGTGCTTTCATGTTTTGAAGAGAGCCATACTGAGCTCAAAGTTTGTTGGATATTCATTGATATTCCAGACCTACATGCACTTGACCATCTTTTTTTTACATGTCCTTCAAACTCAATCAAGAGAATTTGAAAGTTCTTTGAAAATTTGGAGATTCCCCCAATGTATTTATTTTTGGACTGATTGCTATGGATGCAAAAGCACCAAAATCCCTTCAGTGCTGATGTTTGGATTTGTGAGGAAGGTAATTTGGGTCATGTGTATTTAAGGAATGCAGTCAACATTATGCATTCCTGAAGTCCAGAATTGGTGAAAGGAGAGTTTTCAGAGTTTTATTTTTTCTCCCCTAGTTGGCAGCCCGGGCATCATGCCTACACCGTTTACACCATCGTCAATTTCATCCTCGGTGGCAGCGGCGGCCGGCGTGGCGGGATTCGCACCCTCGCAACTTTACGGTAGTGTCCTTACAGGTTAAAGCACTTCTGATTCTTTCCGTGCTGTGGCCAGGACGTAGGTGCATGACTCAGAGACAGCTGCATGTCCCTTTTGGTGGGAGACTCTGGAGTAGTCGTGTGTAGCAGCATGACAGTAGCACCACTCTTGACAGGACCAGGGTGGCTTCTGACAGTGCATGCATGACAGACGTAGTGGTAAAACCAGTAAAGCTGCCGTAAAATATAGTGCTAACGTGAAAGAAGCCAAGTTATAAGTGAACACTAGACACCAGTATATGTGGGGTCGTGTGGCATAACGGCAGAGCATTCGGCTCGGAACCAAGAGGTCCCAGGTTCGAATCCTGCCACATGTCACCAATCTTTTGCCCCTGGGAAAGGCACTAAACACGACTTTCCTCACTTCCCTCAAGTGAAAATGAGTATGCCAGATTGATCATAATCATGATCATGAGCATTAAAGGAAGAAGAAGAACACATACTTATTTCACTTTACCAAAAATGACTTTGTTTAGAACTTTTTCTTGCACACTAAGACGTGCAATTTAATGACATGTGGCTTCTTTCATGGTAGCTTGAAGTAAGTGCATACATGTACATGTGGACAGAATTTTTCACCCTCGCCCTCCCCTGTTCCCCCTCCCCGTTAGTTCCAGGTGGGCTGACCGGCAGCATTCCTCTGGCGGGAACCATCCCCAACCTGTCGGCAGCCTCCGCCGCCGCGCGATTGGCCGGACTCCAGCAGGCGGGGTCGGTCCTGCTCGTCAGCAACCTGAACACAGAGGTACGCTTCCCCTTGTGGTGTCCCGGGACAATTCCGCAAGCTTAGATAGTCAGGGCACATCTCTCTACGTAACAGTAACTGCATGCCACACTGGATTTGAAAAAAAACTACTGGCTGTGTAAACTGATATCAGCTTGCCTCGTAATGATCTTACCTATACAGTAGAAGCCATATCGTCCTCCGTGTCTCGTAGTCTTGTTTCTTCTCTTGTAACTTATGTAGAGTGTCTTATAATATAACAAGTAGTTATTGTGTTTTTCAAATGCGTTCTTAAACGTGACATCTTGAAGTCACTCAGCAAGGTAGTCAGGTCAATTATGCTATGCATTTTGTTCCCTCTTCTGGTTTTTGTTACTCCAGAGTTGCCAACAAAGCAAAAAAACATTCCTTAAACATACACAAATTGTATCTATCAGTTGCCTTGATGCTTTTTTTTTGTGGCAACAATTTTGTGCTGTTTTGACCTAAAATCTAGCCATTTTGTTGGCAGCTCGCTCTGTTGTGTAGAAAATAAGGAAAGCAGGAGGAACAGGGAATCTGGTTTTCTTTGGTCTCAATCCTATCCACATTAACACATCTCCTTTTCTGTCTTTTTTGGGACAACAGAAAAATGTGACCACACAGGAGTGTTTGGCAATTGACAAAGCACCCCTCTCCTGTTTGCATGCTCTGCTCAGTAGATGCTTCCAAAGGGTCCGCTGTCTCTTGGCCTGAAGCCCTGAGCATGATGTTTCACCGCAGACTTATTTGTTTTCCTGCGTCTCAAAGTAGAATTATTATACTCCTTCAGCGAAGACCTCTATGATCGTTTAAAAGATCCTGGAATGATTTGATTGATCTTGTAGAACATCCCCTCTCTTGTCGAATGATAAAGAAAAACGAAGCACCCTCACTGGTTCCAACACAGTACCTCCCCCTATGTTTATAAGTGGACAGTGCCAGTGCCAGTGCCATTATCATGTGCATTCTTTCATTAACATGTTTAACTCCTACCAGGTGAAACTAAGAACTGCTATAGCAGGGATGTGGTACATTGCTAATTGGAAAAGGAAGCAAACTTGTTCAATGGTGTAATTTCTGGAAGTTACTGTAGATGTATCTGTCCCAACGTTTTGAAGGGACTGCAGTTCAGCCATGGTTTGCTAGGGTGCACTGTTCACTGTTGTAACAGTCCTTGCTACACCCCTGCTAGAGCAAACAGAAAATGCCTTGGTGGAATTTTGGCAACAAGTGTACACTTGAAGCTAAGGTTCCCCTTCATGCTTTAGTCATATCTCTTTTTGGTGTTTTGTACTGAAGTTCAATTTGTGTTGTGTAGTAGTCAATCTATTTTTGGTTTAATTTCCAATTCAGACTTGTTGAATATAGTAGGTAGAAATAGTTTTAATAGACAGAGATTGAACTTCAGTGGAATACATCTTTATTTTGCTTAACTACTGTAGGTTGATTAATATTTTGATTCCCTAGGCTTGGCTCTGGCACTGTCCACACATAAGTAGGGATGAAGGCGGTCACTCAATGTGCACACAGTTGAAATGTGCCCTGTTTCAGTAGCATTAATTGTTCCTATATTCTGTTGTGCATTGTCCAAACTTCCCCCCTGTTTCCTCTTGCTAGCCTTGCTATCCTAGCCTGTGTGTTATCTATACCAAGCCTGGGTTACTAGGAAGGTGGTGTAACCAGGTTCCATTTTGAACAGGTTTACACCCCCGTTCTAGAAACCTGGGTTTGCCCAATGCACTGTAAGTGGGAGCATGAAAGTCACGTGCTTACCTCCCTGGAGAAGTCTCTGTTATTTTTTTTTTATTTTTTATTTTTTTGTTTCATTTTCTGACCTCTGCCTGTCGAGCGCAGGCCCTCTTTGCTCTTTTCTCTCCTGCAGTCCAGGATACACGTAAGCTCCACACTCTCCGCCTCCCCACTAGAAGTGCTCTTCAGACCTTTTTTATGTCTTAAACCCTGCTGACGGGGGCTGGAACATACATACTGCCTACCAAAAGAAATGTTTTTTCCTTTCCTTTGTGGTGGGTGGTGAGGCAATTGTGCCCGACTAACCGAGACCCCGACGTTTAACCATGGAGCCTCTGACTTTCATGTTCTCACTGTGACATCTGGACCCATGCTGTGGCTAGCTTTGATTGTTCTTGACTTAATCCATGCACAATGACTTAAAAAAAGCAACAATCCAATCACTTATCTTATGACTAAGCATCAATTGCCAATTTTTTCTACCAAAGAAAGTGTTGCAATCACTGAAGAGTGATTGACGTATCCTAATTAATTAATTAATCACTGGCTCCCACTGAGCTTTACTCATTTCCTCTGCATGGTTGACACAACCAGAGATGTTTTGGCATCAAACTTTCAGCAGAATCCGGCATCATTTTACTGTGTACCTGACATCCGACCTGCATGGATTATCATTCCATTGTTAGATATTGTTGTTCTTAATGTATTTTGAGCATTTTTATGTACTGACTTAATAATTTTTTCCATCCCTCTTCTCTTTCCCGCTTTTTATATTTTATGCACGGATGTTATGTGAATGCAAACGATCTCTGCTCCTGAACCTCTGCTCGCTATGGAAACCATTAACCGATAACCGTTCACCACGTCTCATCACCACCACCACTCCCGTGTCCGTTCGTCCGTCCGTCCGTTCGGATCGATTACCCTACCGGCATCCATTACTGCTATCTTCTTCTACACTATCCTGTGTGTCTTGCTCCTCTCTCTAAAGATGGTTACACCCGACGCTCTCTTTACTCTATTTGGTATGTGTCGTATGCACGGTTATACATTTTTATATTCTATTTCCTTTGCTTTTATATTTGTATTAAGAAAGAGTAGATTATTTGCACGTTTGAATTCTTTATTGCACCTTACGTCGCATGTTTCTTGCATGAGTATTTGATTTTATACCTATTGCATGAACTGCTTTTGATCTCTTTAGTTTCTGTTAAAGTAAAAAAAGATGCAAAAAGATTTGAGAGAATCAAGTCTTAACTCCACGATTCTTGAGTCAACAGTACTATTTATTTAACTTTCTATGCACTGATTTCAGTTTTGTTTTGTAGTTTTCATGAATCTTTACATAAATGTGTGGATTATACATGCTTGTATTTCACTGATTCTCTCAAGGAAAACGTAATGATGGCAGTAATGTGCCTGAAAGCTTCTATATCTTTGCATTTCTCGTTAATCATGCTGGTGTTTCATTTAATCATTTTGAACACTTTGCTTGAGATCATGTGCTTTTTTGCTCTTTTTGATGCAACACTGACATAGAAAACAGGCACCCACTGCACACACTTTTTCCTCTGACACAAATCCACACATACGGCTTGGTCCCAGACAAGCGTAGTAACACCTGGTTTGTTACAACTTGTTGTACTGCAGGCGTCTATGGGGATGTGCATCGCGTAAAAATCTTGTTTGCCAAGAAAGACAATGCACTGATACAGATGGCTGAACCTCACCAAGCCAACACAGGTACCCCCAACTGAGCGCTCGTCAAAATCGCAATTTGAGGGGAGACAAAGAAAATTTGATTTGAAAGAGAGATCCTCTATGGAGAGATTCTTTATTGACTCGACAAAAGTACAGCGACTTTGGTATGGTCTGCTACAACTAAGATCGAACAAAGTTAAATACATGTTTGAAATGACACATTGTGAGAGCATACAGCTTATTACTTAAAACCAAAAATACACTACTTGAAACCAAAAATACACAGCAAAAGATAGACCAAAAATTTTATTTATTTGTAATTCCTTTATGTTTTGTACTAAAGAGTTTTGGCTTGTTGTACCACAGCAATGCAGCAGATGTAGACATTCTTAGCCTTCCCATGATAGCGATCTTGATGTGTGTCACACACCTCAGTTTTTACACAATTTAGTTTACCATTCTCTCCTTCTCTGCTCTGCAGTCTGAAAAGTTCAGTCTTTTCAACTCTCTCAGTCATGTGCTTGATCATATTTCATGTTCATTGCCCCCCATTTTGTGATCTCCCTCCGACTACCCGGTAAATGTGCGAATCGTGTAATCTTGTCAGCACTAGACTTTGTACTTGTATTTGTTTTCGCAATACCAAAAACTATATACTCCTCCTACTACTTACAACTTTATAGCTGTTAAATTTCTATATATTTCTGCATTTCTTACTGTGATTTTGAACATATTATGTATTAACTATAAGTATAATCAGTTTTTCTACTCGGCTCTATCTTTGATTTCCAGTCTTTAAACTTCCTACTTAAAAGAAGTGCCGTGCAAACAAACATTTCTGTGTTTTATCTGATACAGGTACAAGGTACTTAATTCTTAAATTGTCCATTCAGTGGTTAAAAGTCTCAGACAAGGGCAAGAAAAATGTAACGTCTCATTGGGATTACTGTACAGAACTATGGCATTTGTATCCTGGAGAACTTGACATAAACACAGTTTGTGTGCTCAAGAAAAAACTCAAAAGATAATCTGCAAATTTATTAGTCAGTGCAGTTTTTCTGCACACTTGCGAAATTGGTTGTAAGTTAGTTGAAGAAAAGTTTTGGATTATTTGGGAAACAGTTGGGTACAGCCTTGCCTTGATTGTGAAACTTACTGGATAATGTGGCTGGACTTGCAGCTATGCAACACCTGAACAACCTGCGAGTGTGGGGCAAGAACATCCGGGTCACACTGTCCAAACACAACCAGGTGCAGCTGCCCAAGGAGGGACAACCGGTAAGACACCACTATTATGGTTGACTTGAAGGCATCCACTACAATTTCAAAATTCCAAAAATGAAAGGTTTCATTCCCTGACCAATATACTGTCAACCAATGATGATGGCTGCAACTTCAGGGCAGCAAACCTGGATTTCCAAGTCAATTTTCCAGTCATACTTTTAATGTACATGCATGTAGTTAAAAAGTTACAGTTGAATCAATCCGATCCCATAGCATACTGATATCTGTGAGGCACAAATGCAATACAGCTGAGGGAAAATGGTTACTTGTTTTGTATCATAGGCTCAGGTGCCAAACGTAGGTTGCTTTTGGGCAATTTTCAAATGCTTCAAGTATAAAATGATGACTAAAAGGTGCCACGAATTAGAAGTAACAGTTTTTACTTTCAATATCAGACAGATTTCCTTGTCCAGTCCCATAATTTTGCCACCCTGGAATTGCATTGGATGCCTTTAACAATGAAACTTGACTATTGGTTTACCAATGTCATTTAAAATGTTGTTTACTTCTTCAGAGACTTGGTCTTTGTGTAAACCATTCTGTTTATATTGTTCTAAGGATGCTGGCCTGACAAAAGACTTCACAGCATCCCCACTGCACCGATTCAAGAAACCAGGATCCAAGAACTTCCTGAACATCTACCCTCCCTCTGACACTCTTCATCTGTCCAACATTCCGTAAGTTCAGCAGAATTCTGGTACTAGTGGTGTTCATTTTATTTATTTGTTTGTTTGTTTGTTTGTTTGTTTGGCTGAAGATACAGCCAAGACTACCTAAGTACATGTAGCATGGGGCTATCATCAAGGACGAACCTTTAGGTTAACCTTTAATACTACAAATGTAGACTGTAGAATTTAGATCACTGGATCAGAGTATGCCCCTATTATTCTCCAAATGGTGGTTTCTTTAACTTGTGTGGAGTGTTATAAAACTGGACATACTTTTTTCCTGTTACATTTTTGTAACTTGCCATTTCTTGTCAACAGAGCGAGCACCACGGAAGAAGAATTGATAGATCTCTTCACAACCACAGGGGGTGCTGTCCAAGCCTTCAAGTTCTTTGCGTAAGCTTGACTTCCTTCTACCCTTCCCAAAATTGTGGTCAGTCTTATGGTTCTCATGTCTCATGATCTGCACATACTAGGATCACAAATTTTGGATGGTAGGAGCTCAGGAAGTAGTGACATAAGTTTGGGCCCCCTAGCAGCTTGTTATAGAACTGCAGGGGCATTTGTTTTAAAATCTTTGAATCATGCACATCAGTAATGTTGTTCTTTGCTATTCCAGGAAGGACAGAAAGATGGCCCTGCTCAAGATGAGCTCAACGGAGGAGGCAGTGCATGCTCTGATCGTAAGGAAAATCATTGTTCTACATTTGTACTTTCACTAATGTTCTCTTTGTCTTTTTGACCTTGGGTAATGCTCCTGAACAGCCAGACTCCTCCCACTTAGGAGTAGGCCAGAAGCAAGGTTGACTGATGTCTGGCCAGGTTTGTAGCCAGGCAAATGTTTGGCTGCACCAGCTAAATGTTTAGAACATTTGGGAGTGGACAGGAGGTTCAGCCATGTTGGATAGTGTTCGGGGGTCAAAGCTATTTGCAAAGAAGGGTAGGCATGGCCTAAATCTGGTCAGACTGCTCCCAAACGTCAGGCAACTTTGGTTGGTTGGTGATCAGAGGGAAGGTTCTGAACGTGTGAAAAGGGCTTTAGTATGAGTCTAAGAATGATGGCTAACACCCCCTTCCTTATGTTCCAGAAAATGCACAACTACCAGCTGAGTGGCTCCAATCACTTGAAGGTTTCCTTCTCCAAGGGACAGATCAGCTAGTTGCCATGGCAACACACCTGCTCTCCCGACAACCAAAGGACCAATGCTGCAGTCTTTCAGAGTTGAATAATTCCTGTACAAGTAATGGTAAATTTTCCAGAGGATGGCATTTCTATTGGTCTTGTTTGGCATGGAACTACCATGTTCAAGAAATAATTTCATAGGGCTCAATACTATAGAAGAGGGGTGATAGGAAGAGAAGATTTGTACTTTTTCGTTGTTTTGGAAGATTTACTAGTTCTTTGTACATTGCTCTGGAAGACTTCATGATATTTCTGTGTATAGAATGAGGCGGCCAGAGTGCTTGTAGCCGCTTGAAGACTAGAGGACCCACTTAGCATGTTGAATCAATCGTATACAATATAAAACATGTATTTTCTTATACATGGATGTATTAATTCATTTTATGAGCACTTGTATTGAGGTGTGCCTTTCCATTATTAATCGGACATGTTTGTTGTGTATTTCTATTAATTACATGTAAGGTAATACGTGTCTGTCCCAGAGCCTTGTAAAATTGGACTTTGTTAACCTGTGATGTTATCTTCGGGAATAGAAAGACAGATTTTTTGTTAGACTTGGTCGTTTTTGTTGTTGGCAGGAGTGCCTGGGAGAGTTCAGATTTCTGGTACAATAAGAAAATATACATCAGAGACATTTTTAAATGATTCCCCCAATATGACTTATTCAAGAGCAATAGATACTATTATGTTTTATTGTGATGTATGTCTGGCAAAGTGATGATTTTGATAGTTGCACAGGTCTTTGTCCAATTTCACCAGAGTTCTGGGACAAGCGTAGTGTGTGCTTCTTTAGCTTGTATATCCACACAATCTTTATACCATGTGTTCACATAGCCTTGTGTGTGGATTGGACCTGATTGTCTCTTGACAACCTATGAAACTTGTACCCTTGTAATGGCCTTGTTATTCCAACTGTACTGTCCCCAAAATTGTATCCACTTTGTTCATTGGATTATATATATGTGTGTGTGTGTGTTTGTGTTTGTGTGTGAGAGACCTAAATGCTTTAGGTTTTTGATAAAAAATACCAAAATCAGAGCTACTTTTGTAACCGGATAGTTTGTACATCTTACAGGGAGGGAGGAAAAATGTCGCAAAAATCGCGGCCCTTACGTGAGGTAATTTGGCAAGAGCGATGACATCAATATCAAAATGTGAAAATCGTAACCTTTAAGTGCCTTATTTGGTTAAACAAAACAAATCCAGGGTATATCATACTTAGCGATGGTGCTCCCCGTATACTCTACTGTATTCTTAGTCTCTGGCATATTTATCCTATAGCAGACTGTCAAACTTTATACATACAGGTGTAGTCGGTTCTATATGATAGCCTGGACCTCGGCAAGCTCTAGGATATAGTATGAAGCATCTTATGGTTTTCTTTGGCGTTTGTAGTGCTGGTCTTTTAGACAGACAGCAAGAGAATGCAAGTTAAGGACAGGAGAGTGTGATACTATAAAATACCTTGCCTATGAGGACACTGTGACTAAACATTCTCCCTTGTAGTTGAGGTATATGTAGGCATCCTTCATCAAACCAAAAGGGAAAACAATTACCCTGATGTGATACAAGGGATGCAGTTGTTTGTCCCTCTTTTGAAAGGCATTCTGCTGTGCTGTAAATATTAGTACAAAGAGGTTGATTTTTAAAGAATGGGGATAGATACAAGTTTTCAAACCTCACAGGCTACTGGATGATACGAAGAAAAAATGCAGCTTCACATCTTTATAAACAGATGGCATTTGTATATTTATTTTATTACCCATACTAAAACAAATATACAGAGGCAGCATATACATGTATATGTGTGAAAGCCGGAGACATACCTACAAACTACAAACGTACATATTACTCCATATCATCGTCATTTAGTTGATGTAATACTTGATTTTTTTTATCTTTAGGCTGCAAGATGTACCCAGTAGTAGCAGAGGTGTAAAAGAACATATTTGATGTTGTAAGTGGATGAAGATATGAAATAAAACATATCTTTTTGTATGAATCATGAGTTTGTGTTTCTTAATTCAAATACATAATTTTGTACCTAAAGCTAGGTTAGCCATAGCCTCCTTCGCAGTCTTGTTGGGTGTGGGCGTAATTTTTTCTCTGAGCGACGCGAGTAATATGCCGCCGCGAGGGACGATTTGCTGCCGAGGGACTTTTGCCACGGAGAGAAGGTTTCCGCGCTCCAACAGAGAAAAAATTACGCCCACGCCCAACAAGACTGCGAAGGAGGCTAGGTTGGCCACATTTTATGTTGCCCCAGTACAGTTACTATGCTTGATAAAAATCAATCATTAGCTATTCTAGCTTCCTTACTAACTTAAAGTTGACAACAAAGAATTCCAATTAATGAACAGACTCAGTCTATAATAAAAGTACACAATTTTTAATTAAAAAATGTACATTGAGTTATATAAAAGATTGTACATTTAGTTACATAAAACAAACTATTCAAAGAATATTGCAATATACCAGGGGAGAGCCCCAATCTTTCTTTTCTGGTTTACCATTCTATGTTCCTTTCATCATGTGTGAACTTCTGTTCTAAATAAATAAAGAGACATAGAAGGACAGTTGGCTGATAAAGCAGACATTCAGGACTTCTCAACCTGGTCTTCATTGAAGAAGTCTAGGTGCTGGAACTTGATGACCTGCAAGGAACAGGGTTTGAGTTAATTGAAATTAATCGATCATACATGTGTATGTAGGCCACACAGATTTCTGGCTGGCTAAGTTCTGTTATAGTACTAATAAGGTCAGCCACCAGGAGGCCCACATTTGATCCCAACCTTTGTCCTAAGACCAATTCACATATCACAATTCATAAAGGAAAGGTCTTCCTATAACCAGACTGACCACAAATATGCAGAAAGACAAACACACACAAATAGACCAAAAACAATACCTCCATTTTTCACGGAGGTAATTGATGTACATCATGATTGTACAATGTATGTACCGACCTCATTGCCCCAGCTGGTCCAACTTGGCTGAAGGCTCCTGGCAAACAGCTCCAAGCAGATGGGTGATGGTGGCAGGTACTTCTGCAAGACTTCTAGCAGCAAAATAGATCAAACCCTTTTAGATTGGTACATGTTCCCTGTACCTGTCATCTCAAAATGTCAACAGAGACTAGAGGAACGCCATTTTCCAGAGTTATGTCAATCCTTCACACATGAAAGTTCATCTGAGTTGATAAAATACATGAAATAAAATACAACTTTTCTGAAGTTGGAGTAGTTAAGTTTTCATTACCTTCACATACTTGTCATGTGGTAAATTTCATGAATAAAAATGATATTATCATTTTGAAGTAAATAAACTAGAACTCAGACTGACCGTCCAGCTGTGGTTTTCTGGAATGTATGACACAGGGCACACTGCAGATGACCTTGTGTTTGGGTACATCACAGAGTGGAGGTGAGCCTGGGCCCTCTAATTGGTCCTTAAACCTGCCCAGTATGATTGTCTCATACGGCTTCTTGTGAGGAGAATCCATGGGGAACACAGGCTCACCTATTCTTGTGACCTGAAATGATACAGACATTAGTACACAATCATGTACAATGCATACCAGATATGCATGGAAAAACAGGACTGGTACAGTATAAGCCAGCCATCTGCCATAATGGCTACTTTTCTCAGTCCTGATTTTTTTTTCCCCACAGACATATAGATAAGCATTAAGAGACTTGTCTAGATTATGTCAAGATATATATATGTCATGAAACTAAGCCTGGAATACCAGCAAAGAGTGTTAAGATTTCAAAATTTTCCCAGGATGAGCATTCCCCCAGACCCCAGTAGGACTGTTTGTGCTACATGTACATAAAGCAAAATTGAGATGAAAAAATTCAGGCTGGCTACATAGCTACCTCAGGGGACTGTACATTTTCTTGAGACTGTTTTGCTGCCCCTTCGATCCTGTATGGAAATCCTGAAATAACTCTTTTCTTAGAACAAGGCTCACCTTCAACCAGTGCCATTCTGCAACTGGCTCTACTGACCAATGAGGGTAGAGACGTTCTCTGACGAATCTCATGTGCTGCTGCCGATTGGTTACCCACGTTACGACCAAACAGCCTGGAGCAGCCAGGGAGGGGACTGGTAGTTGGAACAGCTGCCATGCTGACAGAGATTCATACCTACAGAAATAGAGATACCGAAAATAATTTCATCACCCTACTAGAACATAGGATATAGGGATTTTCTAAGTTTCAATGTCCATCAGACACCTTCCACAGAGGGCCACCTACATCGGTTACATAAGGCTGCAAGAAGCAGTACTCCAGTCAGAAGCTCTGAGATAGACATACAAACTTAAGCAATGTAGGAAGAATGGTTGTGTATAAGAAAATAGCAATATCCTGGAAATAGAAAGTAAAGACTCTCAAGCATTATCTCCAAATATTTATACCATGAATCCAAAGTTACACACAGTTGCTGCTTACTTTTTGCCTCTCTTGACAGACTTGTTTTCCCAGGGTGGGTCCATTACAATCAGGTGATACTTCATACCTCCTGTAACAACATGGGATGACTCAGTACATGTACTTTAAAACCTACATTTCTTTTATAGTCCTACGAGACCAAGGAATGCCTACTACATGTACTTCCTTTCTGTCTCTGTGCAATGGACTACATTATATTGTGTATTACTGTGTTTCCATCCAAGGATTGGGGCCCATTTCTGATATTGTCTCTGTACTGTGTTCTTACACCCTTTAGTGACCTACTGCACTTTGTGTATCTAGTAGTTACTGGGGTCTCTTACCCTGCAAGCTCCTACAAGTGACCTACATGTACATGTATGTCTAGATCAGGCCCAGGTTCTCCTACCCTGTACTGTACAAGTGCCCTACATGTACATCTGTGCCCTATATGTCTGTTACAATTTGCCTATGTCTGTTGCTGGATTCTCCTACCCTGTATGAGGGGCTCCATCCTGGTAATGTCTGACATGAGGAATGAGGACCTGGGAGGAAGCAAGTACTGGCTTCCCAGCATGCATTGAACAATTGACTGGTCAGAATCCACCACCACAAGTCGGTTAAAAATATCTCTGGACTCTTCTGAAGGTATTCCTGAGAAGACAAAAAAGACAATTCAACTCTGTTATGTGACAACTGTTGTTAAAACCGTGAGTGATACGGGAACATTGTACATGTAATTAGCACACATACTTCAAACGTTATTGTGGCCCAGGTATGACATGATGAAAAATCATACGTACCCTGTGATAGAACAAGTGGTTTCTCATCTTCTGTTAGTCTGGCCAAGTCACAAAGTTCTGCCAGGCAGTTTCCAGGCCCCCAGTCCGGGACTGGCTTCCCAACAGGAACAACATCATCAGAGGAGTCTTCAAACAGTCCATTGGCTCTCCCAAGTGACAGAAATGCAGTATGGGCCTGTATCAACTTTGTCCTGATCTGATATGAACCAAAGTGATTTTAAAATTAGATTCTAAGCATTGCCCTGGCATTTCTAGATACATACAGTTTAGTACAGGTATATCATAAAACTGAAGCAGTGCTAGTATTTCTGATGTCTTACTAAAAAATATAACCTACATACTAATAATACCAGTCCATGAACAAGGCGTGAGTATTGTTTTGGGTGCATCTGTGTTTGTTTGTATGTTTGTCTGTGTACACATGTGTATGTGTGTCAGTGTGTGTGTGTGTGTGTGTCCAGCAGCCGACTGACAATGATGATATATCCTACGTCATCTCCTTAGAGATAACTACACTTAACAAAGCCAAGATGGTACATGGTTGCTAACCTGATTGTGATATTCCATAGCAGCAGTCTCTCCTGAATTCAAATCAGTTGTTCTCTTTCTTTTTCTCTTCTGTGGAGTCAATAAACAAAACAAAAATTACATCAGCTCACTTATCATCATTACTAAACCAGAGAACAGAGAGGGGTGAAAATTCACTACTCAACAATTAATTAATTCTTTATGGCCTTATATGATGAAAGTTGAGACATCATCAGCCAAATTTGGAACAGTTCCTTACCCTGCTTTTCCTGTGCATTGGCTCCGCCTCTTCCTCCTCTCCATGACCACTATTGGTTCCCATGGTAACCACCTCCAGCCCATCACCATCCATTCCTCTGTGGTCCACAGTGATGTGTGGCTGAGTTATGTTAAACAGTTCCTCCTTACAACTATAGCTTCTCGTCTTATCAGCATCTGATACAGTCTTGCTGTACTTTTCTATTGCAACTTTTTGATTCAGAAGCCAACCCCAAATATTTTCCACCACTGCTGCCATACAAAAATAGTCTGATTCTACTTATAGATCTGGTATTCCTTGATGTAACATTATATCAAGTTATGCGTAACATGTAACGGTTAGTACTAGTATATATTGCTTAAAAATGTGAAAATATAAAAACTTGGGAAGAAGCTGCTGACACATTGCGTCACATTTCCAGTTTCTTTCTGATCATGCGCACTGCGTCCTGCTCTATTCCATTCAAATAATAGGGGTGTTGTATGTTTCTTCGTTATTTTATCCTGTTCAATTTTGTTAGCAAAAAGTACACAATATACGTTCTAAAAGAACGTTATAGTATATAAACATAACACTGATATGGTGTTTGATATTTGAAATGATTTTTAAAAAAGGATAAATTTTTTTTATAAATAGTACCTATGGTTATATCTAACTGTCCAATGACATTTTCACGTAGGTCACTGGGGTTACTAAGGGTCAAACAACTGTTTGAGCGGTGATTGCGTTTCGTTGACTATTTTTCTGGGGCAAATCGATAGAAATTGCATCAGGCGAGAGTTCCCTGGGGGAAAGCGCTCAGTATTGCCCTATTAGAGCCTTTTGAAGGACATTGAGGGGCTTGTCTTTTGCTGATATCCCCGTATTTCGATGTTGCGTCGTGTGTTGTCTGAAGAGGAGGGGCGTCACCACCCCAAGGCCAAGCAACAAAAATCATGTCGATCTGCCTGCTGGTCCGGTCTTGTGGACGGAGTGTAGGCGTGTTTGGTGCGGCTGGAGTCCGTGCCATGTCCGGTAGCGCGACCGTGGAGGCGCCGCTGTACGAGCGGTGGACGGAGCTGTGTTCTCGGGACAGAATCCGGACGACCGAGGCGCGCCAGGATTGGTGGCGGGTTGTCAAGGCTAGGTGAGGCGCACGGCAGGGTATGGGTTACCACGTCTAGTAGTCCACAACACGCCCGAGGTGTAAATTGTGTGATAAATCAAGGGTTGATGACCCGCCTCAATGCGTACATGATGTAACAAGGCCTGGTCATTTCCTAATCAACCAATGTTTAAACCACCGAGTGAGCGCAGCGAACAAGACGGTTTAAGAGGTGGTTATTTGAGTAACAGGAGGGTTGAGTAATAGGAAAGCTGCCAGGAGGTCCATAATTGCCAAACTCCTCCTTGCCAACACCTACTATTACTACATGTATATGAATCCATCCATCCAAAACTTCTTGTCAGTTCTGCCGTCTACAAACACACACACCCTCAAATAGCACCAAAAGCATTAATTGTCACAACTTTCTTAATGGTACATGCTTATGTCTTCCAGATACTGTGAACCATGGCGCTTCTATCACAACTTGTCCCACATCTACAGTATGTTTCAGCACTTTGACAGGCACCAAGACAAAATACAAAACAGGAATGCTGTGGCATGGGCTATTTTCTTCCATGAGTAAGTACAGCTGATTACGTATCTATATCTGTAACATTATAGTTTTATAGCTGTTATAGGTCTCCACTGTATAGTTTTCACTGGAGCCCAAAATTATTTATATGATGACTTTTGATCCTCCTGCATAATGCACAAACACATTAGAAAATATTCAAATTCCTCATAATTGAGTCATATTATAAACCTTACTAATTACATTGTATTTTCCAATTTTCAGCGTCATTCACATCATTCTTTCATTGAAATAATTGTTTTATTTCCTAGTGTTGTCTATGATGCCAAGGCCTCGGACAATGAAGCCAGAAGTGCAGAAATGTTCCACCACTTTGCCACTGAGAATCTGCAAAAGGTGACTGACATGTTAACCATATCAGTTATTTGTAATGCCAATTGCCCCTTTTCATTATGTCTCACCCCCATTATAGTCTGTGCATTTTGTTGTTATGAAATGCCCATCAAGACCTGTATCTGTCCGTGGTTCTGAACCTACTGTGTTATTACTACACTAGTAGATGCTGATGAGTGATGAGAAAATAGTGTTGCTGTACAGAAGGCACAGATGAAATTGGAGCTGTGTACAATTGTACATGTACAGTAGAGACATCTAGTCATACCACATGTTTCGAGTGTCTGTCTGACATTTTCATGATAGTTTTGCTGATGTGTATGCTGATGTTCCAGCCGCCTGACTGTATCCGTGAGACAGAGAGGCTCATCATGCTGACTAAGGAGCATGTTACAGAGGAACACAGGCACAAGGACAGGTCAGCTCTTACCAACACATTCATACATAACTTGTCAACAGACAGACACAGTCAAATTTGTCTAAGACAACCACCAAGGGGACTGAGGAAAAGTGGTCTTCTTAGACAAGTGTTCTTCTTATTCATACATATACAGCTTGTCAACAGACAGTTATATGACTTTTTCTTATTGTAATTTTCCAGATATGGCACAAAAGATGAGCACTACTTTTTGGATTTTGACATGTCTGTGTTGGGCTGGCCTGAACAAGGTAAGGAATAAGAACAAAAGTGATAACAGTACAGTGAATGTCATCTTAGCTAAAATGAACTAGATGAACAGTTGAGCTACAATTTTACTGGTATATACAGCATTTATAGGTTCACTGTAACATTAGGGAATTCCTCTAGCTCATTTTGAAAAAACAGAAAACAGTGGACCATGGGTTAACATGACTGCAATCCTTTCCAGTAGTGTACATGTTGGGTGAGCAACACGCCAAGGTTCTGAATTCAGGACCTTACTGTTACTATCGTGTAATTTTGTTTTTATTCTGTCTACAGATTATGATGTGTATGCAGAACAGATCAGACAGGAGTATGTTCACATTCCTCTGGACCAGTACAAGGAGAGAAGAGCAATGGTGAGAGATTGATGTAATATGTTTTTTAGTTGTACTTGATGTGTTTAAGCCATTTGTGATCCCCACATCCGATTATGAACCAGGGCTGATGGAAAAAAATTTCGAGCTGGCTAGATCATTGTACTATGATAACATGCTGATGTCATTTATGAATTTGTTTGCACAAAATTTGTACATATTGTATTTTTTCCAGTTTCTAAAGAAGTCGATGTCAGAAACAGCCAATATCTTCAGTACCAAAGAGTTCCGGGAGCAGTTTGAGAAACAGGCCAGACAGAACATGAATCGGGAGATCCAGCACCTACAGGCCATCCAGGTCACCTTAGGTCTGGAGCTGCCTGCACGATGAGCTGAGGGGTCAAGTCACGCTAGGTCTATAGTTACCTGCATGGTGAGCTTGGATCGGATACAGTAGACTTTCAGGTCCAAAAAGGTACCTTACTTGATGTGGTAAGGGGGCATTATGTAACATTTTTCACCAAAAATTAAAATATTTTAATTGAAATAATCTTTGTGTGATTGTAATGTACTTCCACTTTTCAGCATATTTGTGCAATTATTTCAGATTTCTGACACTTATGGCTTAATAAAACAGCCCACACCTGACACTCAGTTTGTGGTGCCACCACAAACTGCCAGAATGTAAACAAACATGGCTGACAGCTATGTTTCCAGCTTTCACACACACTTGTTAGGCATCATATTTTGGCAGTTATATTTCCTGAATTATTGTTGATTCAACTTAAAAGAAATGACCAGTTTACTTCTTATATCATCCTATATATATTGTTACATAATACAGCCTTACGTGTTAATACTGCAATACCCTATAGTTAGGTGGAAAGGAACAATACAGTGTTTGTATAGGCAATTGGTTACTTTCTGGCTAATAGGCTAATTGTTAAGATAATTAACATGCTTATAAGGGCATAACACAACAGTATAATTACTGTTGACAGATATGCAAATTGCTAAACATAGATGGTACAAATAATTGAATTGTAACTGTATGTCTATAAATACAAAGCTGTAGCTAATGTTAAGGCTTACCAGTACATGTATGTAAGAAGTGCTTAAAAGAATAGTGCTATGTACTCAAACTAATTGTCAGCATGAAAGTTCAACAGTGTTAGTAGTATGTTAACTTATGGAAGTAGGGAAGACATGTAAATATGGACGATCTATGCAAACAATATTAATTTTTCTACACTTGGTCAGCCAGCTTGTTGGTTGTTAAGGTGTTGTTGATAAGATGTTGACTTAGGTGTTACATGTATTTATGCACCAAATAATCTGAACAAAATATGTGCTTATCAACTTATATTAAGTTGTTGCCTATGAATGTTATCTTTTCGTTTAATTGTGCACTATTGTTGAGCTGTCTACTGTGCACTGTATAAATGATCATGGTGTTATTATAAAGGTGAGATTGGGTCATTTTGAGTAACATATATTCAAGCCCTTTAAGTGCATTATTACTGATGCATGATGTCCTCTTAGGTGTTATGCAATGGTGCATGGATATGGTGGTTCTGAGATTGTGCAAAGACTTACCAAAGAGAAGATATGTAGAATAAAATATCAATTATGATAATGTCTGCTGATTTTATCTGAGATTGATTTTATGGTCATTGTATTTACCTCCACGAAAAATGGGGTGTGTGTGTGTGTCCATGTGTATGTCCGTGTGTGTGTGTGTGTCTGTGTTTGCATTTGTGTGTGTGCATGTGCGTGTGTGTGTGTGTGTGTGTGTGTGTGTGAGTCACCTCAACATCTGCTTGGAGACCTTATCCAAAATCTCCAAGTAGATACAAGGATCCAATTTCATGCCCCCCCAGTCGTGCAGCCAATCACAGCGCTTGTAACTCTGATAACTCTCAATAACTGTGGCAGCAGATAAACACTTGAGGCAGCATGTTTATTTGTCTTCAGCCATGTTACTTGGTCACCAAACTTGCTTCTTGTAAAAGTGTACAAATTTGTAATATTTCATGGCAGTTATTATTTTCTAATGGGCTATTCCCAAAGACAGAACCATCACCATACAAGAACGTATACTAACAGAAACAACATGAAATTTTGTACTTCTGTTCACATAATTCGTTCTGAACCTCTAATATCTATTTATATTCTTAATATATTTAAATGCTTTAAACAGCCAGAATACAACAAATAAGGAACCTTATGGAACGTTACTGGCTTACATGTACATATATCTACAGATATACGATTACATGTACTTACATTTTCAAGAAATACATGTCACATTTATCCAGACAACACCAAGCATAAAATTTATTTAAGGGTAACAGAAAGAAGTTATTTACAAAGCATTTACGCTTCAGATGTTAGAAATGTATAATGCTTTTTTTTTCTTTATTTGTTTTATGAATTTTTTTACAGCTTAAAATGCTGTTTCTCTGGAGCCCAGTCTACTGAAAACAATACATACAAGATGACAACAACAGATAACGACATTAAATTACAGGGTTTGATGACAGAAATATTTCCCCCACGTCACTTCACCGTTTGCCTTCTACACCGAAGTTTCAAAATGAACTGGTTTTAGGACCTGGTTACTTAACTCTCCAATAGTTGCTAACTCATAGTTTTGATCTTGTTCGCCAAATACTCCGCTCTCGGATAGATTGTCAGATAACTGAAGTCGTCTTCTAAATTTCGCAGACTTGTACTGTCTGCTGTCGACTTTCCCAGTTCCATGTTTTGGTTCTACTGGATATTTGGATGTCGTTTCTATTGTAAGCGAGCATGTGCGGTGGAGTGTAACATGTAGTTTTGCGCCCTCATATGAACTAGAACTGCTTGTAACATTACATGTTCTTCTGTCTTTGGGGGAACCGTGCCTGCTATTCCATCGACGTGGGTAGGTGGCACTGCTGCTCGTGTACCCCGTGCTTCTGCTCAAATTGCTGGGTGAGTAGGTTGCTCTGTCCATGTGAATGGACGGTTTGGACCTGCCTGGCCCGCTGCCGGTTGTTGTGGCCCTCAGCATTGTTGACCGACTGGCCATCCAGTTGCCGCTGGGCGGCTTTCCACGTAGTCTGGAGGGCAGGCATCTGCAACTCACCCTGAAGATACCTCTGTGAAGGAAATGTAGAGGTACTCATTTTGTAGAGAATAGTCTCATTTTTGTTTCTTGTTCAACAACACTGTAGGGTAACAGAAATTATGACCGAGCAAATAACGCAAAAAGAGAAACACATGCAAACACAAACGGCACTTCTTGGCGAAGGTACTACGGTACCGATCCTACAGTCCTGTCTACAATGTACCACCGTAAAAACACATAAAAATTATTAAAAAACTTCAGTACTTTGTTATGCTACACCAAGTGAAGGTAAACATTTTGCATTTTCTTTGCAAATGTTACCTTTCTAGTCATTGGTTGAACTCATAAGATCTCATAATTATTATGAACAGTCAGGATCGGTGCATTTACCTAAAATGTCTTGAGAGGAAGGCGTAACAGACGGGGTTTGCGCAGCTGTTGGAGTGTGCCAGGAGATGTAGTGCCAGCTTCAGGATGTAGGCCGTCTGGGTGTAGCGAGAGATCACCTCAAACTTGATGAGCAGGTTGTAGATGAGGAGAGGCGCCCAGCAGATCGTGAAGACCGCCACCAGGCCTATCATGAACTTGATCACCTTCAAGAAGAAACCCAAGACAGGGCGTTATCACATATATTCGCTACGCTCACTTGGTGGTTTATTCGGCGCCCAGCAGATCGTGAACACCGCCACCAGGCCTATCATGAACTTGATCACCTTCAAGAAGAAACCCAAGACAGGGCGTTATCACATATATTCGCTACGCTCACTTGGTGGTTTATTCGGCGCCCAGCAGATCGTGAACACCGCCACCAGGCCTATCATGAACTTGATCACCTTCAAGAAGTAACCCAAGACACCACCGTTATCACATATTAGGCCACAGCAAGTACATTTTATGGATGACATCCTCCGAAGGCTCCAAATCTAATGCGATAGGGCGAAAAAAAACAAGGCGGGCCCAAAAAAAACAAGATTCCTACATTTTCAAAGTTTGACATCATAAACCTTATTAAAAAGTTTGGAACCTCATACCCTCGTAAGAAATTTAGAACGTTTGTATCTTTTAAATTTCCTGTGCTATCTTTTTTTCATTGATTATATAGTTCTAGTTCTATAAGGTTTTAACTTTCATAATATATTCTTAGTGATGGTCTTCTAAACCCTACATATATATTGAGGCTTCGAGTATAAAATGATGAAGAAAATTGCGTCTCCTACCTTTACAGGGTTCCCCGTCTGTGAGCTGTTAAGACATTGTCCGAGTCTGGATCCACGGGGTCTCGACTTCTTTTCTTTCCCATTTTCCTCCGGTTCATCAATTTTGCCATAGAGCCCCTAAGAAGGTGTATCAAACAGGTCAATTCACAAATGACGGGAAGTTGCAAAAAAAATTGGAAAAGATGTATTTGATATCAAACTATTATATAAGGCCATGTTGATTTGATTACTAGTACATGGATGACATCCGCGCCCGCATGAATTTTCGGTCGTTTCCCCCCAAAAAATTAACAACACTGTAAATCGTACAAAACAGTTGCAAAATCTTCTTCTCCTTTTCGTCTTAGCAGACGCTCTGCTCAACGTCGATGGGCTCGTCCGTGTGCGGCCAGCCCAGCTTTACTCCTGCAGAGTTTCCCGCAGGTTGTGCAGGTGAAAGCGGGAGTTGCAGAAGGATGGTGTCTTTTTTGCCTTCTTGTGGTCTCATTTTGGACCAGGTCATCTTCCAGTTTCTTGGCACCTTGGCGAAGTGCATACCGCCATGCAGTGCGGTTTTGTGCAAGGTGCTCCCAGTTGGCACCAATGTGAAAAAGCTTCAGGTCCCGCTTGCAGACATCTATGAAGCGGAGCTTTGGGCGACCCCTGTCGCGCTTGCCGTCTGCCAGCTGACCATACAGTACCTGGTGTGGTAGACGCGAGTGGTCCATGCGAGACACGTGACCCAACCAGCGTAACCTGCGCTGCTTCAGGATAGGATACAGACTCGTGGTGCCGCATCTTTTGAGGATCTCCAGGTTAGGAACTTTGTCAGACCATGAGACCCCACAAATCTTCCTGAGACACCTCATGTGAAAGCTGTTAAGTTTTCTTTCAAGATGGGCGTGAGAGGCCCAGGCTTCACTACCATAGAGCAGCGCTGACAGAACACAAGTTAGGTATATTCGCACCTTGGTGTGGATAGTCAGATACTTGTTATCCCAAGCGCGACTTTTCAGCTTCCCAAAGAGGTTGGCAGCTTGACCGATTCTGGTGTCAACTTCACGGGTTAGCTTTCCGGACGACGAGGCAGTAGAACCAAGGTACCGGAAGTCTTCTACCGTGTTGAGAGTAGCCTCATTTATGGTTATGTGCGGAGGGGGTGCATTGGTGGAGAAGGCCACTGTCTTCTTCACGCTGACTGTTTGACCAAACTTGTCACAGGAGTTGCTGAAAGCATCACACATGCCTTGTAGTTCTGCTTCACGATGAGAGCATAATGCTGCGTCGTCAGCAAACATAAGTTCCCGTAACAAGACAGTGATGGTTTTTGACTTGGCCCTGAGGCGCGCAATGTTGAAAAGGCTTCCGTCGCTCCTAGTGCTGACGGCGATGCCTTCAGGGAGTGGAAAGGCGATCCATAGGAGAGTGGATAAAAAGATGCCAAAAAGAGTTGGCGCCAACACGCACCCCTGTTTTACTCCGCATCTCACTGAGAAGGGTTCAGATATGTCACCTTCAAAGTCTACACGGGCTGACATTCCATCGTGAAAAGCCTTGATGATGGCTAGGAGTTTAGGAGGACAGCCCACCTTGCTGAGAACCAGGTACAAGCCCTCACGACTGACAGAGTCAAAAGCTTTGCACAGATCTACGAACACAGCCAGCAGTGGTTTATTCTGTTCTATGCATTTCTCCTGAAGCAGGCGGAAGGTAAAGATCATGTCGATTGTAGAACGATCCTTTCTGAAGCCACATTGAGATTCAGGATAGATTCTTTCTGCAAGATCCTGCAATCTCTTCAGGACAACACGAGCAAACAGTTTACCAACCAGGCTGAGTAGGGCGATGGCTCTGTAGTTGTCGCAGTCTTGTCTGGACCCTTTGTTCTTGAAAAGGGTCACCAGCTTTGCATCTTTCAGATCCTGTGGGATGTGACCTTCATGCCAACATGAAAGCAGCAGGTCGAGCAGGTGTTCTTTTAAGACAGGAACATCAAGCTTAAGGAGTTCTGGGGGTATACCATCACTCCCAGGGGCCTTACCGCTTTTCATGACTTTCAAGGCGCTCTCAAGTTCCTGCATGGTGGGATCCTCATCCAGGTACGCCATCACTGGTAGCTGTTCTATGGAGGCGAGCACGGAATCATCGAAAGGTGCGGGTTTGCTGTACAGGGAGCTGAAGTGGTGGACCCAGCGTTTGAGTTGGTCAGATTTTTCCAACAAGATGTTACCTTCATGATCTTTCAGGGGAGCAGTCAGCCGAGGTGAGGGTCCTAGAGCGGACTTTAGGGCGGCATGGACACCAGCAATGTCGCCACGGTCGTCGCAGCGTTGAACATTAGCACAAACGCTGTCCCAGAACACCCTCTGTGCCTCTCTAAGGACACATTGTGCTCTAGAGCGAGCACTTTTCATGGCTGCTTTGTTCTGTGGGTTGGGTGCATTAACATAGGTCAGCCTGGAGTTCCTCTTTTCATCCAAAGCTGGACCAATCTTGTCTAGGTTTTCCAGAAACCAGTCTGGTTTTTTCCTGGTAGTGAGACCAAATGTGTCTTTCCCTACTTGCTGCAAGGTAGTACGTAACTTACACCATTTGTCGTCACAGGATGTTATGCTGTCAGCAGTGGGGGTGTTGAGAGCCTCCTGCAAGCGGTCTTTAAATACCTCAAGCAGTCCAGGATCACTCATGTTGTGGGTTGCCATTTTGGGGATGCGACGTGGCTGAGGCGTCTTGTTCTTTAGTCGCATTGGCTTGGACACACAAACCTTGCACCGGATGAGAGCATGATCTGTGTCGCAGTCGGCACTGTGCATCGAAGCAGTGTGAAGGACACGTTTAAGCAGCTGACGACGGGCCAGTATGAGGTCCAGCTGATGCCAATGACCGGATCGGGGATGTTTCCAGGACACCTTCTTCATTTCGCGGCCGCTGAAGTAGGTGTTTGTCACGCAGAGGTCTAGTTCGGCACACAACTCTAGCACTCTCTGCCCATTGTCGTTCACTTTACCTACACCATGGGTTCCAATCTGGCGAGGCCAGGAAACATGATCAGCCCCGACCCTGGCATTGAAATCACCAAGAACATACACTGGGTGCTTACGGGGGATATTCACAAGAACATTTCGTAAGCTTTGGTAGAATGAATCCTTAACATCTTCAGGAGCCTGTAAAGTGGGTGCATAAGCACTAAGCAGGTGTACCGGACCCGAAGAGGTGTTGAGTTTCATTGACATAAGCCTTTCGTTAATGGATGTCGGAGGGTTGATGAAGGGTAACAGACTGTTTTTAACAGCAAAGCCCACCCCATGGAGCCTTCGATCATCAGCGGATAGACCACGCCAAAATACCGTATATTCCTCTTCACGGATGTGACCTGACTCGGCAAGGCGAGTTTCTGAGAGAGCACAGATGTCTATGTTGAGTCTTGAGAGTTCTCTATCCAACACAGCTGTTTTACGGCATGGTGTTTGCGCACTTGGTAAGGTGTTAAAACCAGGGCATAATGTGCGCACATTCCAGCTTGCAATGTTGAATTTCTTGAATACTGGTTTGGAGTTTAGCTCTCGACGTGAACAAGAAGGCAGGGTATAGTGATGGCAGCTTGCCTTGGGACTACCACCACTCTCTCCACCATCCAAAGGCAGGCAGGAGGCAGAACAGGTCCGACGTCCTGACCAAGTTGGATGGCCGCATTCGTTGGCCGAGCCGGTATGCATAGCAAAACTCCGGGACGCCCTCACCGACACGAAGAGCCGGGTGCAGTTCTTCCGCCCTCGCCTGAGGCCGTTGACCGTCTACTATTTAACCTTAGTCAGGTTGGTGGTACGTGGTCAGAAAGCTTCACTTCAGGTCACGAACGATGCTCAAGTAGCCCAGTAGATAAACAAGGAAACGTTAAGAAAATAATAATAGAAAGTAGGACCGGCTGTAGAATCAGTTTCCCTCAGAAGACGGTGGGGTGGGAGGGGGGCTTGTTGTTGACAAAAATGGCAGGCTTCAAAAATGAGGACTAACTATCAAAAACAAAACAAAAATATAACATAAAGTTACTGTAAACCCTAACTACTATGATAGCATCGCTTGCATGCCTGAAGGAGCCTGCCTGTCTGAGGATGCTGATGGATTGCAAACTCAAACATGGCAGCTCTCCAAAACATGGCCTGCAGCCATCGTGACCTCTGACCTCCGAGTTGCAAAATAAGCAAATATATACCGTAAGTTGCAAAAAAGATTGGAAAACGATACCAATATCGTAGAATTCTAACATCAAAAGACGAAGGTAAAGAAATGAATTTGAGGAGTAGATTATTCTCTGACCACACTCTGTGTCATTTGTTAAATATTCATGACCACGTAGATTTCATAATAAAAGCAACATTTTTGGGGGCCAAACTTTTTTATTCGCACGCTCGCATCAGTTTCGGGGTTCCCAGAGGATGTCATCCATTTAATCAAATCAACATGGCCTAATGCACAAGTCCGCGACTTACATGTTCCGGTCTTTCCGTCCGTGTTTGGTCCCCTGGTAGCCTCCCTTCCTGGCGACCAGGACCTCGTGCCCAGACCGGATGTACATGTACGTCATGACACATAGCGGCACCGCGAGTATCACCACCAAGTTGTAGACAGCGTACAGGCGGCCGTACAGCGGGGCCGGCCAGGCGTGCACACAGTGACACACCTGCTCACCGTCTCCACCTTCAAACAGCCTCGTCGTCTGCATGGAAATATACATGTTTTCATGCTGAGGTCACATTTCCAAACCGGGGCCCGGCCGGGCAGTCTTATGGAACGAAAAGTAGACTAGACAACGAAGCACCAAAAAATTGAAAAAAATTATAATGGGAACTATTTGCGTACTAGTATATTACCGATATAAACTATTGATTTTTCGTTAATCAAAACAGCCCGGCCGGGCCCCGGTTTGGAAATGTGATCTCAGCATTAGGAGGGTTGTATTCCCTTCACGTGAATTGGTGTACTTGAGGTGCTTTTTTAATTTGTTTTAGCTTTTCCTGAAAATGCTACCCGTGGAATTCCTGTTCAAATGCAAAAAAAAGTTGATCCATTTGCGCCTCGTCAACAAATACGCACAGTGATGCTGATAGTACGCTCACGTGTATTTTTCACGAAGAACCCGTGAGAAGCGATATCATCTAAGCATTATCCTAAATATCGTCTAGATTTAGAACTAAACCTTTTACGTTGGGCATTTTATTGCAGTGACAACCAGACCAAAACGCCATTTCAAAACACATAGCGTGAGATGGAATTCTAAACCTAATCGTCCACGTAAAAGGTTCTGAATTATATATAATCGATGCAGTGTCAGACCAGTTAGAATTCCCTTGCGCAGCTCCTACTTTAGCAAGTGAAGAAAGTGCACCCGGCACTAACACATAGAGCTGGCCTTGGTGCTGATCACCACTGTGCGTATGTTATTACATGCAGATTCAGTCTGAAACCATCAGTTCAGAACTGACACCGCTGCCCCACAAACTAGCACTCTTTGATGTAATTTTGCAACCTTCTAGGCCGGTTTATTGCTTCTCTTCACCAGTATCTACGTTGCAGGCGACTTGCAGGCAACAGGTGCCTTCTAACAAGGGAACTTCATTGATGGATCATGCTATAGCAACCGATCATACGACAGCAATTACAGTGAACTAAAGGGAAGCATTTGCAAAACAAATACAGAATGTTTAACTAGGGCTAGCCTTACAGACGGCTCTGTTTATTCTTCCTCAAACATATTAATATGTGACATATGGAGGCTAGCTGCTCCAACTCTGTCTTGCCACAAAATGTAACTCAATCTTACATGTCTGCTACAGCACCAGTTACCATGGTGGCAGACGTCTGGCCTAGGTTATCTAATTTATTTGTTTGGAGAAGAGGAAGAAGAGGAAGAAACAGATCGAAGGTTGTGACGAAAAGACCTTAACTGCTATATCGCTCACCATCCTGATAAAATTATTTAGTGTATGAAAAGATAATGGAGTGGCAATGATTTATGTGTGGAGTCGTGTGGCGTAATAGGTCCTGAGTTCAAACCCTGTGCCCTTGGGATGGGAAAGTCAATTTACACGAATTCCCCACTTAACTCAAGTGAAAATGTATGCAGGAGTATGTCTGTTGTCGGTGCGTTTGTCTACGTTGGTGGCGGCATGGAAATAAGTTGAAAAATTGAATGAGCCGTCGCAATGTCATAGGATAAATGTTGAAATAGAAAAAAATGGTTTTGTCTTACCGCAGGGTACAGGATGGGTGAGCTGAGGATGAGTGAGATGACCCACACCAGCAGCAGCGCCCGGTACGCTCTGTGTCTGCCCTGCTGGGTACGGGCCTTCACCGGGTTCAGGATCACAAATTTCCTGTGGAAAATTATCAATTTATTGGTTAACTGAAATTTGGTTAAGAATCATGTGAAAATTGAATAAAGACAGGCATCATTCTTTCTCCTCAACAGTACCTTACACCAGCATCACACAATCACACCACCTTATTTCTTCACCTGTACCAACACCACAATATGTTTAAATTTACACAATCACTCACACACTACACCGATGCCTAACCAATACAATTGGGTTTTTTTGCCATTTTCATACAAAAAATGTACATTTTGAGTTCTGGAGCCCGGGTATTAAACCCAAATGAGCTGAAATTTGGCATGGAGGTACCTGGAACACATGCACACAGAACTTTTTTTCACATTTTTCGAATATATCACTTTAAAATTGTGTAATGATTTATAAAATTGATAAATTTGTAATGATTTTTTAGACAAATATGTACATTTTGGCTCCTTTGTTGTATTATTACAACCAAATGACCTGGAAGTTGGTACAATATGGTGGAATACATGTCGATACCACTTTAGTAAGTTTTTAAGTAATAGAATTTTATATCACTTTACAGGCTACATATGTGCATGCACTGTAACCCTATATGCATGCCCGTGTAACTTACATCGGCTTTTAAAACACTGTGATTGACATCGGCATATTCCCTCCACAACGTACTGGCTTAAATATAAAGTACCTCAGCTGGCCTAGCGCCCGTCGTTTGTCGCTTTGAAATGGGGGGTTGAAAAGTGTTACCTCCGTAAAAAAATGGAGGTATTGTTTTTGTTCTCGGATTTGTCTTTTCATTTTTTCTGATATGAAAAAAAAACAATGCTGGTTCTGAATCAACTAAAAATGCTCATATTTTGCTCCCACTCGAGGAAAGTCCCTTTCTTCTAGTTGTTGCAGTTTTTCCATCTATCAAAGTAGTGGTTTGATTAAAAGTTTATATTCAGCCTTTTGTGTTGACTTCATGACTTCAATCGTAGTATTTAGGGCTATAATAGGGTGGCTAGACCTGTTTTTTTCACCCTGTTGCTTCATATTTTTCAGAAAAAATCCGAGAACCAACAAATTAAATTGGTGTGGCCTAAGGAGTGAGACACGTTTCAAAGGTAACGCTAAACGACACCCACGATGTAATTACTCCTCGTAAAAACACTTAAGCCAATTAGTTCATCTCAAATTCAACTAATTAGTTCATCTAAAATTCATGGTACGTCATTTTGATATCCTGTTTTCCTGTCTTCCCCGCCCACGCAAGTAACGTTGTTTGCTTGTTTTTCAGCTGTTTCACCGTCGGCTCATGCGGGGAACCAGACAACAGTATTTTCTACGACAAGTGTTCGTACGACTGTCGTGAGACAAATGTGACAAGAACATAGCGACGAATAGACGAGTCGTATGTGAAATTTGATGTAAACCAAAAGTACAAAATATAACCTATTCACATTTCTATTACAGTACATAATAAATCATTTTCATGGAAAGGAAAATACTTCTACATACTTCTACATAATTCTATATGATTGATAAATGTTATGTAGTTCCGTCTGGGGGATTGAAGACAACATAGCAGTAGACAATCCAGTCATTCCTTCATAACCGTTCATTCATTCATTCGTTCGTTCAATCATTCAATCTATACCTTACCGTTCGATTGCAATAGCCGTTAAAGTCATGACAGAGGCGGTGAAAGACAGCATCTGTAGATACGCCAGGATCTTACACATGGCCTTTCCCAGCACCCACTCGGACAGGAAGAACCACTCCGCGATTTTTATAGGCAGGCCGAAGAGAAGGACCAGCAAGTCGGCGACCGACAGGCTCAGTAGGTAGAAGTATATGCCGCCCTGTTTGAAGCGGAGCACGCTGGCGACCACCACCACGTTCCCCACAACTCCTACCAGGAAGATCACCGCCCCTGCGACCAGGGTTGGGATGGCGATGTGGGGATAGAGGTACAGAATCGACGTGACTCCGTGGGAAGAGGAAGAATTGGCGGCGACGGTGCCATTTCCATCGCCCCAGGACGCGTTAGACGATACGTTAGCCGGGTTGACCATGATGTGAATAAACGTCGCCGGCTGTATCGCGACACAAGTGCCAAACGACGTTATGCGGCGACGCAGCTGACTAGAAAGAAACTGACTTCACCCGGTATGAATCGTTCTGACACTTCTTCAGCTCCAATAAGAGCAATCTCGGCGTACGGCTTGCCGGTACCAATTAGAGCCATTACGGCATGACTCGCCACACTCCCATAGTGCAACTTGCACCACCTGAGCCCCAAACAGACTCTACATCTCACTCAATAGAGTGTTTTCCGCTCTTGAAATGTCAAATGTTGACCGTGCTTGATATGTCATTATCAGTGACTGGCTCGTGTACATACAGGTGACGGGTTCTGAAGAGGTGCGCTTGAAATAGTTGAGAGGACAGGAGTTGGGGAAGGTTCCAAAAGATTCCGGGAACAAAGACGTGAGCAGAATTTGCTTGAAATTACTTGATGATGAGAAGTATTTCACCGGTTACAAAATAAACAAATGTGGCGTTTTACATTTGTATCAATGGCACAGTTGAGTTTCTTCTGTGAATAAAATAATGAAAACATTAAAAAAGCTACCCTGCTCCACTGACACACAGTGCTTGAGAGATGGGAGCAAGACTTTTTTCATTTTCAAGTATCAATCTACTTGTTTTTTTGTAACCATACAAAACGTTCTGGACACTTTAAAAGAGACTAGTGACGCAATATGATATTTGTAATCATCAATTGCATGTAAAAAGTTCAGCGCCACTTATTGTGTACCGGTGGCTCAGGTAGTACTTACACACATGGTACTTCGGAATCATTGCCGCACCAGAAGGACTAGTACATTCCCGTAAACAAGTAGTTATATTTCACTCCCTATACCATTGGGAGAGAAATGTATTGTTTTTCTGTGTGGTGTGGTAATTTCTTTAAGTGTTTGGAGAAGAAGAAGATGAAGACACAGAGCAAAAACAATATGTTTTCCCTCTACGAAGGTAATACATTTAAGTATAACAAGGCTAGCTGATGGCTACCCTACCGATACCGTGCACTGCGTTTTATCAGTGATTTCATAGTTTAATGGCTCCTAGCTCTTGCAAGTGTAACCGTAGTCTGTATTGAAACTCGCAAACCCAGTACAACTGACAGAATGTAACCCACTGGGAAAATCCTGCCATACTTCTCGAAAATTGACTTCTAGAACGCTCCCCCACCGCACCATTGGTCGACTAGATTCCAGGAAACACAAATGGGTCTGCGTACCAGACTCTATCATCACCAATGATTTCCAATATTTTAACAAAGCGTTTTAGAAAGGCAGCATGGTAGTTGGACAAATGCACCGAGTGCTAGGTCTGCCGCATAAGCTTGACAGTCTATATTCTACTGCAGGAAACTTTAATGGTTCTCCAACTAGGTGGATTTTAGATTCTGGTCACTACACCCTGTGGAAAAACTTGGGAATCGTCAAATAGACGACGTTTTATGTCTTGCAGTTTCTCCTCATCAACAGTACGATCTAAAATCTGGTAACATCAAAGGTAGGCACTTACATATGATGTATGCTGAAAAAAACATTGTCAGGCAAACATACAGACAGACAGGCCAAAAACAATAAGTACCTCGGTTTTCATGAGATTATTATGCTGACCAAAATATTCCGAAAGTCGGAAAGTCTTTAACATAGACAGACCAGCCAAAAATGGCGCCACGGGTTTTACTTCAGGCCAAAATAATCATATTTATTTGTCATTGAAAAAATGCGAAAAGTTTAACCCTTGATAGAAAATGGCCGTCGAGAGACAAAGTTATTTCGTTTGAAACATAGTCAGGGGTGCCAGAGTATGCAGTGCAATTTTACAGAATACAGTACAATCGTATTAGTATACAGTGCATTTTACTAGTAAAATCGTACTTTATAGTACAATTACACTGTATACTGATACTATTGCACTGTATTTCGTAAATTTGTACTGTGTACTCGGTACCCCTGATAATAGGTTTATCTGGAGAGTAGTACAGAGAGAGGAACTTGTTAGGATCACACACAGACGCTAATAAGTTCCACAAACATTTCCCATGACTTTACGTGTTTACGTGGTTGTTTATAAATACCATTTAACGTTCCTAAGAAAATATTTCTTGATAACCATTTGTGGATTTAGGAAAGACACATTTGAACTGACACAAATGGCTGCTATTTTCGATCACATGCTATCGCTCTGACGTATGAATGACACCACAACAGTTTCACAAAACCAGAAAAACCAGGCCCCTTGTTGACGTATCTGTACATGTGTTTGACCATGCCTGGACAACGGAGACATTTTCCTCCTCTATAGCAACCTGGTTAAAGTAAGTCATGTTTAATACTGATTTTATATTCTGATCGAAGACTAAAACTGTTGAAAACAGGTTTTGTAGCACATTTCGTACTGTTGTTACCTGAAATCGTACGGTTGACCTTGAAACATAAAAGGGCCTCCCATGTCGACCTTAAACGTTGTACCTACACTAACAACAAAAAAGCTACTTAGTTATTCTATAAAATGCTTTATGTGTACCCTTGATAATGTTATAGACTGTTATGATTTCATATCAAATCCCACTGTAAATGTCTTGTCTATGTCAACATGTCATGTTTGCCATAGCCACAGGCTACTTGGGCAGCCATGTGTGTTGAACCAAGGACATTCCACAATGGCCTTGGTTGAACAGCAAAACCAATGAAGAAACAAACGCAAAAGTTACTCCCGTACATTGGCGTTGTATTTATCGATGGTAAACTTAGTATCAATCACTCATCAACAGGCTTCATGATCAGAAGCATGGCGGGTTGTTTACAGAGACTTCTGTGGGCAGCAGGTGTCGTTATTTACATTGGCTCCCACTTCCTCCAGGAAGTTGAAGGGAAAATATTCCCTTATACGGTGGCCCACAAGTACACGCCTATGTCGTCTGCGCGAATATCTGTGTCGTTTGCACAAACGCCTGGGTCATTTGCGCAAACGGTTGCGTCGTCTGCGCAGAAAAACCTCCCTCGTCTACAATACAGGTGTGTACTTGTGGGCCACCGTACCCTTAGGTTGATAAGACTTCAGAGTATGAGCGAAATATTTTCATTATCACCTGAGTAAAGTTAGAAAATTCGTGCAAAAGTGCCATTCCCAAGGACACAAGATTGGTGGCATGGCAGTTTTCGAACTCGGGACCTCTTGGTTCCGAAGCGAATGCTCTATCGTAACGCCACGCGACCCCACCCGAAATATATTGAAGGGTCTCATTCCCAGTCTAAGCATGGGCGATAGGCCACCGAGTTTTTGTTGAGATCGCTGTTGCTTTGTTTTATGAACACTCGTATACTGTGCACTCCGTACAAGCTTAAGATTCCCGATAATCATACACTGAACACAAACACTATGAACACGGTCCGTTGAAAGGATCCGAAGAGTCATGAACTCAACACATAACACCGTGAACACTGTCCGTCGAAAGATTCCCGAGAATCATACACTCATCGCATAACACCGTGAACACGGTCCGTTGAAAAATTTCCCTAGAATTCTCTGTACAATGAACCATACATATATAATACATACTGCTGGGTACTTGGTCCGCTGAATCATACAATAAAAAGCACACTCATTACTCAGCTGTTACATTGGCGTTCAGGGTAGCGCAAAGGCCGACGGGAATAGAACAGGTTTCGCAAACTCGAATGCGTTCGCAAAACCGCTGCTCGACTCGATAGAACCCCAAGCCGGGGCTAGCGCTAGCGGTGATAACTTCAAAAAGATGATATAGTAGTACTAAGTACCTAACCAAGATGAAGCGTTCGAAAGTCGCTCGGCTCTCGGCAATCTTCGGGAGACTTCGGTATCTGTTCATATGGTTCTTTGGAATCCTCATCAGTTTGTGACCGTGTTCAGTGTACGTATGATTCTAGGGAACCTTTCAACGGGCCGTGTTCACGGTGTTATGTGTTATGTGACTGTATGATTTTTGGGAATATTTCAACGGACCACTGTATTGTGATGGCAACGGGCTGAATGAGTAGACACAGTGTATGTTCTAACATGCGCGAAACAATAATAAGGATTTTATTTAATGGTTCACAAAACAATGTAACGTTACATGTATTGTTAGATCTCAACAAAAACTCGGTGGCCTAGCGCCTGTGGTCTAAGTCGAATGTTTCTCTTTTTAAGGATTTTAATCCTCCGTGAAATTTGATATTGTACTGTAAATTAGCGATAATTCAGTTTTTCGTGAGTCTGATCAGACTTAGTATGAGCGAAATATTTTTGTTCTGTGCCAACATTTACATGTATCACAAGACATGGCGACGGCTCACTCAAGTTTTATCTTATGTCTCATGCCTTGTCTACGTGCATGATTAAACCTTAATATAGCAGTCCTTGAAAAGTTGCTTGACTCGATTGACGATGGGTGCCATCTTCCGCAGATTTCGGCGGTTCTTAATGTAGCTGACCACTGAGATAAGAAGTCGGCGGAAACTACTAAGGATGGCCCCCAGGCTAACATTCTGGTCCCTAGTCCTGTGAGCCGCTGTCTCCCCGGGTGCCATGGCGGCTCCGCCCGAGGAGTCCATCGCCGTCGTGGGTCTGTGGTGCCGGTTTCCGCATGCTGACAGCCCGGACGACTTCTGGAGAGTCCTGATGAATGGGGAGGACTGCATGGAGGTATGACAGTGCAGCTGTTCCACATCTATAATATTCCAGTTTTTGTTTATTTTTTTATTTTCTATTTGCACTTAAACAAACAGGATAGATTGCTGTAAATTATGTAGGAATGTACAGGAGAACCCAGAAACCTGCCGGTATATCAAGGGGTTCCCCTTACGTACAGTTGAGTTTTTTTCGACGTCGTTTTTGAATGTGTGACGGTTCCAGGTTGGTTTAGTAGGAAAGTATTGTTGGTCTGAAATGACGAAGTTAAATTAACACAGTTCAACGGACAGTAAACAAGTAGGGTGTACATGGGTGCAAGAAGACAGTAAAAGGGCAAAGTCCAGGTGTTTGGTACTCAGGGTGGCTGTTAAGTAGCCCCATTTAGCAACTCACAATATCAATGTTGACAATATCCGCGTGCGTTATAATGATAAATACCGAAAGTGGTCGATTCCGCGGTCTTTTGATACTAGTAGTATACCTGGCGCTTCTGCATGACTATGAATCTGTTCTATCTGACCCGAAGATAAGAATTTCGTTTCTTGCAGGAGATCCCACCTGACCGCTGGAGCCAAGACGCCTGGTACAGTCCAGACAGGGACACACCCGGGAAAACTTTCGTGCAGAGGGCAGGATTTGTCAAAGGGTACCTTTCTTCTTTTTTTGTATTCATGTAATGTTGAGTGGTTTCAGACACTTGGTATATGAGGGCATATGTGTGTGTGTGTTTGTGTGTGTGTCAGTGTGTTTGTGTGTATTTGTGTGTGTGTATGTGTGTGTGTGTGTGTGTGTGTGTGTGTGTGTGTGTGTGTGTGTGTGTGTGTGTGTGTGTGTGTGTGTGTGTGTGTGTGTGTATGAGTGTGTAGAATTTTGAACTTTGTTTTTAAAGAACTTGTTATGCACAAGCCGATAACAGACTTTTCATAAAAACGTTCCAGATACAAGATGTTCGACCCCAGCCTGTTCGGACTGAGGGACGAGGAGGCAACCCGCATGGATCCCCAGCAGCGCTTCATGCTGGAGTGTTCGTACAAGGCGTTTGAAAATGCCGGGATCACAATGGAGGAACTGCATGGCAGCGACACCGGTGTCTTTGTTGGTCAGTATAAACAACTTTGTTCATGGTTCTTGAATATGCATCGGGTTGTTCATGATACACCTCGAAATAGTCCATTTCCTCTTCTTACTCACTTGACTGAGACAGTTTGTTCTTTATACGCTCTCTAATTTTGCCTAACAAATTTGTAAGACTTTGCAAAACTTGGATGGGACGTAATTATATCTTTCTCGAATGTGCACGAAACAGGAGTTATAAGTGTTGATAAAACTGGTGTTGTAAGAATAGTGGTATTCTACATCCTCTGAGCATTCAGGAATACGTTTTTTAAATGTTCTTTCCAATAGGCCTAATGAGCACTGAGTACCTGCTGGATGGTGACATAGACCTGACACAAATGACCAACCACACGATCACCGGGACAGCCACGTCTCTGTCGGCGGCGCGTGTGTCCTACACCTTTAACCTGACCGGCCCGGCCCTCACCCTGGATACCGCTTGCTCGTCAGGACTGTACGCCGTCCATCTCGGGTGCCAGGCCATCAAGACAGGTACTCATGTTTCTGCATTTCACATAAGTCCAGGTCAGTTTATGTGATGTTTTGATCGTAGTTGCTATGTGTGTGTGTCTATGCGCACGCGCGCATGTGTGTATTTGTGTATGTGTATGTATCTGTATGTGTGTGTGTGTGTGTGTGTGTGTGTGTGTGTGTGTGTGTGTGTGTGTGTGTGTGTGTGTGTGTGTGCGTGTGTGTGTGTGTCTGAACACGATAACTCGAGAAGGCTTAGATGGGTTGTCTTGTCTTTGTTCTGTAACTGCAGGGGCGTTCTTGTTGAAATCTTTCAGGATGGAGGATAAATCAGAAAGCAGATATTACAGGCCTAAATATACATATAAATCATTTCAGGTGACTGCTCCATGGCTGTCTGTGGAGGGGTGAGTTTCATCCTCCGGCCGAACATGTTCGTGTCGCTGTGCCGAGCCGGCATGGCCAGTCCGGACGGGCGGTGCAAGCCCTTCTCGGCGGCAGCTGACGGCTACGCCCGCGGGGAAGGATGTGGAGTCGTCGTGCTGAAAAAGCTGAGCAAGGTAAGAAAGTAACTTACTAATACCAACATTTAACAGATAGCTATAAGTCAACATTTGTAAGCAGATACACATATCTCTTCCCCACATCTTCTATCTGCATGTTTGACCTAATATACAAAAAAGTGTGTCCCCTTTTGGAAATACCTTGAACAACAATTTAAATACCAGATTGTAGCCAGAACAAGAAACACCCGAGAAGACAGAAGCTTGGGAAATATAATTGCTGACATTTCTCTTTTGTGCTTAGTTGTTATCATCAGCAAAATAGTTGCGATAGCTTAACTAGATAGTCGCAATAACTGTCAGAGAAACAGCCCCTTCATTGACGAAAAGGAAAGCTCCTTCCATTATGTGCATTTCTATAGGCCATAGAAAACAACGATCACATCTGGGGCATTATCTACACGGGAGTAAACCAGGACGGCCGCACCACCATCCCCATCACTGCCCCATCACAGTCGCAGCAAGAGAAACTACTCCGCGACATCTTCGAACACTACGGTTTCGACCCGCACCAAATTGACTACATCGAAGCGCATGGAACAGGCACACCCGTCGGGGATCCAGTAGAAGCCAACAGTCTGGGCAACGTCATAGGCAAGACCAGAAAGGCTGACGACGACCCCGTGCTCCTAGGGTCTGTCAAGGGCAATATCGGCCATCTGGAGTCTGCCGCAGGGCTAGCCGGTCTCATCAAGGTTCTTCTGATGATGAAGCACAAAAAAGTCGTACCCAATGTACACTTCGACAGACCTAACCCAAACATCGACTTTGATTATCTGCGACTGTATGTGCCGACTGAAGTACTGGATTGGACACTGCGTGGGAAGGACAGAAGATTAGCTTGCGTCAACTCCTTTGGGTTCGGAGGATCAAATTCCCATGCGCTCGTTGAGCAGTTTCCCCAACACTATGACGAGTTTCCAGACAACATTCACGAAGAACAAGGAAAGACGCACATTGTGGCCGTATCTGCAAAGAAAAGGGAATCTTTGAAGTTATCAGTGGAGGACCTGATCGCAAATTTGGAGCAGACCCCAGACATATCAATCGAAAGGCTAGCGTACACATCGTTGATGAGGAGAACGCACCACAATTTCAGGTTAGCTGTGTCAGGTAGCTCTGTTGAGGACATTAAGCAATCTTTAGAACATTCTATTGCCGGAATACAAGGCGCAGTACGCACACGGACTATCAGACGTAAGGGTGACTCCGACCCTGACAAGCGTGTCATTTTTGTTTTCGGTGGACAAGGGACGTTGTGGGAGGGTATGTGTCTGGACCTGATGGACAAAGAGCCCGTCTTCAGGACAAAGCTGACAGAAGTCGATGGCCTCCTTCGCCAACACGTTGAGTGGTCTCTACTTGAGAAGCTATCCAGTAAGGAAGACTTCCACGTCCCGATGGTAGCACAAGCCATTATATTCGCCAATCAGGTTGCACTTTTTGCGCTTTGGCAGTCGTGGGGCATCACATCAGATGCCATACTCGGCCATTCAGTGGGCGAGGTGGCTGCAGCGCATTGCTCAGGAGCCCTGTCACTACCGGAGGCAGTACGTGTCATCTACCACCGAGGGCGTCTGCAAAATGAAGTCACCGGCGGGAAGATGTTGGTCGTCGGGAATCTCCCGGTAAAGAAGGTGCTAGACCTGTCCAGTAAGTTCTCGGGTAAACTTGGCTTGGCTGCCGAAAACAGTGCCTCGTCCTGTACGCTGTCAGGGGAGAGTGATGCAATAGATGAGCTACATGGGATTCTGAGAAAGATGAACGAAAACGACCTGGCCGGCCAACTGTTTTTGAGAGAGCTAGGTGTGAAAGCGGCCTACCATAGCCACCAGATGGAGCCCATCCGCGAGGAATTAGAGCTGGTTCTGAGAGATCTTAGTGGTCAGACTCCCACTGTGGAGGTATACTCAACTGTAACAGGGAAGAGAGCCACAAAGGCGGATTTTGTGACGGGCGAATACTGGGGGAGGAACGTCAGACAGCCGGTGATGTTCAATAGCGCGATGTCAGAAGCCCTACATCGGGAAAAAGAAAACATCGTCGTAGAGGTCGGAGCCAGAGCTGTTCTTAGGAGCAACATCAAGCAAATTGCATCTGAAGTGAAGATGACCTACGTGGCGTCAGTCAAGCCAAACCAAGAGCATCCATCCATCCTGCGTAGTCTTTGCGATTTGTATCAAGCCGGTTTAATGCCGACCTGGGGTGCTTTCTTCGCAAACAAAACGTACACACCTATTGATCTGCCGCGTTACCAGTTTGCTACAAAGCCACTGTGGTTCGAAACCGAAAAGGCCGTAGCTCGACGGCAGGGCCTTGACCTCAGCAGCGGCTTCACTCACCCGTTCTTAGTGCATGTATCTGCCAGCCCCCCGTTATACAAGTGCTCAATAAGCAAGCAGCGGACCTCTTACCTGTACGATCACGTGTTGGACGACACAGTTGTTGTTCCAGGCGCCCACTACTTTGAACTAGGACTCGCAGCGTGCACAGAAGTCATAACGCCGCGACAACCGGTATCCAACTGCAGGACCAGGGTGGAGTTCCTTGCTCCAGTTACCCTAAGCGGCCAGGGAGGAACGGTCGACATCCGCGTACTCCTCCAACACGACGAAACCTCAAAACAGGTCCATTTCGAGGAGCGGACGGAGCGAGCGCTGCATGCCAGAGGAACAGTGACCTATGGTCAAGAGAGACAACAGACCATCGATAGCTTGGACGTAGATGACCTACGCTATCGCTGCAATAATACCATAAGCCACGACGATCTGTACAACAAGATAGAAACGACAGGTTTCTACTACGGACCGACGCTGAGACGACTGCGGGAATGTCGTTACGGAGACGGGCCTGGTGGTAAGGAGGCCATTGCCCTCATCGATATACATGACACGGTGGCGAAGGAGATGCACAGCTGTTGTGTCCACCCCGCTATACACGACTGTTTGCTACAAGCACACTTTCTACTAGGACTGGACATCTTACAGAAAGCAGCAGGTCGTCGAGTTAGCTTTCTCCCAGTCTCTATTGAAAGTGTTGTGGTGGCCAGACCTCCCGAACAACAGATGTGGGTGTATGTCACACAAACCGGTAGAGCGGCTGGAACAATGACATCAAACGGGGTCATAGTCGGAACCGACGGGCAGGTTATACTTGAGCTGAGGGGATTGACCATCAGGTTTTGGAAAGAAGAAAGCCCACGTAGCTTTGAAGATATGATCTACACCACAGGATGGTCAGGACACCCGTCTGACTGGAAGGGGAAACTTGGTCCCGAGCTGATCATGAAAACGTGTCAACTCAAGTGTCTCGTCCTTGAGGATGAATGTGGGATCATGGAGCATATCAAGCCACTAGTGAGCCCCGAATCTATCTTCATCTCTCTTCAGGAAATCAAGGGGATAGATTATAGGAATGACGAACAGGCCCTGCACAAGATGCTTCAAGCTGCCAATGTCAGTCTAGCAGACGTTAGTGTTGTTCTTCATTGCTGTGGCATCAGTCGGCTCGAGGCAGAGACGATGGACACGGAATCTCTGGATGCCCGTATACAACTAGCCTGCGCAAGTCTCCGACAGCTTATGAAGATGGCCATCGCCAACGGAGAGACCGATCCCCTCTGAAAATCGTCACTCGCAATGCCCAGTTCTCGATGTGGCAGGAAATGCCCCCATCCCTTTTGGAAGACAAGAGTTCCCTCCGTCGTATAGACCTAGCAGGGACGCCTCTATGGGGCCTGGTTCGTTGCGCCATCAGAGAGGTTGCTTATCCATCCTTGCAACTAGTAGAATTGTCGACAGGAGATCACCGAGAGGCTCATACGCTTCTGCATGAACTAGTTGTTGGAGAGTTGAATGGTTACACCGAAATCATGTTTGTGCAAAAGTTCAAAAAACTTCTTGGAGATTCAGTCCTCTACACTGCATGCTGAAACCGCAATCTCTCGAACCAATATTGGCGAACATGGGTGCAGACTGAGGATCCAAACTACCGACACTATGAAGCCCTTGAAACTCCACGCCGTATACGAAGGCAATCTTGACAAAAGTCTTGATGGAGCTGACGGAAGTGTTGTTGTTAACGTCCAACAGCTACATGTGCATCCCGGGAGCTTGTATCCAGTAACGCGGGAATCGGGAGATGGACTTGTGGTGCACTGGTCAGCTTGTAACGATCAGAGCTGGGACCTTCTTGGATTGGACTTCGTGGGAACAGTGATCAAGGTACCCCAGAAGTGCAAACTTCGTGTTGGAGATCTTGTCGTCGGCGTATACCCAGCTGTTGCTTCTATGATGGTGTCTCTCCCTGTACCAGTAGTCCACAAGTTGGCAGACCTACCAGTTTTGCGTGACAGGCCTTGTCTATCGTATTTTGTACTGGCGTGGGAGATTCTGGTGAACCAACTACACACCAAGCCCAAACAGCGGATTGTAGTCGTTGACGAACACGCGGAATTAGTCATGGCCAAAGTGATTACAGGCGTAGCTAATGCATTAGGAGCAACCTGCCAAATCACGGCATTTACAGACGGGCTTCCAGGAATCCTGGACAAAGAGTACGATGTTGGAATCGTCGTTGGGAGCCGAAAGCGGCTGAGATCTCAGCTGGCAGATGTCATCACTACCAACGGTCGCGTAGTGTTTATTCGCGGGCAGATGTCGGATCAACAACGCAGCAGAACACCCTCCCTGTGGATTAGACCAGACGTCATGGTCCTGCAGGTGAACACAGCTGCAGTGTTTCAAGAGGCAAACTTGAAGGTGATCATGCCGAAAGTGTTCAAATGGCTTTCACACAGCCTGCCCCAGCACACCATGATCCACCTGCCTATCACCAACACTCGACTTTTATCTTCCCTGTCACACAAAGGGGAGACTGATGGTGATGACGGGAGTGTCGGCGGCGCTTCCCTCCGTGTCCTGCGTCTAGATGAGCCAGATCTTCCTGTAATCTGCACAAGGCAGACACTCTTCCGACATGATGCGTCCTACGTCGTTGTTGGTGGCCTCACAGGTTTGGGGTTTCTTACCGTCAGATTCCTTGCTGAGAGGGGTGCCGGTCACATAGCAACCATGTCCAGAAGTCAGCCCAAACAGGACGTCGCTGTAGAGCTCAAGGCGTTGGAGAAACCTTCGGAACAAGCATCATATGCCTGCAAGCCGATGTTTCCGCTTACGACAGCGTCAACTATGCACTTGTCAAGCTCCAGAGTTCATTTCCCGGAGTTCCACTGAAGGGTATTTTTCACAGTGCTGTCGTCATAAGTGATGGAGTTCTGATCAATCAGGACCACGCTCAGTTCCAAAGGGGCATGGGTGCCAAAGTGTCAGGGACATGGAACTTACATCTCGCGACAAGACACCTACACCTGGACTATTTCGTCGGCTTCTCTTCTGTTTCCTCCGTTCTTGGCAATGGCGGACAAACAAGCTATGGCGCTGCAAACGCTGTTCTAGATGGCGTGATGCACCTTCGTCGCCAGCTGGGACTTAACGGCCAGGTTATCAACTGGGGAGCTCTGAAGCTCGGCCTGTTGGAAAGAGACACAAAAGTCGCCAAGTATTTGGAGCAGAGAGGACTCATCCCAATTGATAAGGACAGTATTTGCGAAAGCTTGGAGACATGCCTGGTTGCCAACCCTTCGCAGATTTCTGTCGTGAATCTTGATCGACCCAAGTTTAGGCAGTTTTTACAGAACCTGCCTGACTTCAAGAGGCTGGAATCGGTTCTTGGTGGAGCCGCGGAGTCAAACCCAGACGACACCGCGCTGGTAACAAGTGTTACTGTCGACAGCTTGAGTAAGATGGATAGAAGAGATCAACAAAAGTCACTCGGGGACTACACACGTCTCGTCTTTGTCAAACTTCTAATCGCGGAAGACGAAACTGTAAACATGTACACATCAGTGGTCAATTTGGGGATGGACTCGCAACTGGCTCTCAACGCTCAAAGCATATTCAAGAAACAGCTTGATGTGGACGTACCAGTTGTCGCGTTGCTAAGCCAAGAGCCAACGGTTCAGTCGATCAGCGACTTAGTCTACGACCAGCTCAGGAAGACGATGCCTGAAAGTGGCCCCATTGCACCACCAAGACGAAAGACAAACCGACCGAAGAAATTTCGATCAAAGCGGCTCATATCGTTTAATGATGAGCATGGGCACCAGGAAATGCTTCCAACTGACGATGTTTTAAAGTCTGTTGGTTATCTCCATAAGCTCTTTGACAAGCAAGTCTTAAGGACGCCATCACACACGGCTATCATTACAAGTAACAAGACTGTCAGCTATAGTCAGCTAAATCAGTCAATCCAGCATCTGGTCAGGACACTTGTAGGATTGAAACATGGGGATGGCAAAGTACAACTGATGAACACGTCTGGTATTCACATAACGTCAATGTCAACAGTGTCCATGACCCTAATCGCAGCAATGCGGTTCAAGTCCGCCCTCAAGGGCAAACATGAGAACGTCGGTGTCTGTCTGTCATCATCAGAAGAGGTACCATGTGTCATCCTTGCAATCTGGAAAGCCGGCTACACCTTCGTTCCTCTATGTCTTCAAGAGGACGCAGGGCAGCTACAGCAGTTTGTCCGAAGTTGTGACATACAAGTAATCGTCGCGGACCAAAACACAAAACCCGATCTCTTGACAAAACTTGGATCCCTCAGCGTTGCCATTGTCACTGTACCTCTGGAACAAACCGGAATGGAGAGGAAAGAGTCCACACATTCGCCTCTTATGCCAGCACGGAAAGCGTTTGTCATGAGAGACACCCACTCCAACAAGAAAGGCATTGTGTCCGGTAACCATGTTGGCTTGCTCAATCGTCTGACATGGATGTGGGACCATCTACCTGTCCGAGCAAATGACGTAGGGTGCCTCACATCACCAATAACCTCCGTAGAAGCTCTGTACGAAATGTTCATGCCCCTTCTCGTCGGTTCTCCACTGCTCATCCTTCCCGATTCGACAGTGAATAACCCAGCCATGTTACTGACCGCCCTGGAGGAGCATCGGGTCACCAGGATGGGAGGAATTCGCAGTGAAGTGTGGGAGGGCATCTTACAAGAGCTGCAGTCTCAGCCTGGCTATCATCTTCCCCTGACTCATGTTCTTCAACCAGTAACAGCGGTTGATGAAAGCCTAGCCTCACGCCTACAGAAGGTTCTACCTGACACCCAACTGACCGTAATGCTCAGTAGCCTCCATGCATACTCGGCTGTGCTGTACACACAGGACCACCTGCAAGAGGACCAGCCGAGCTTAGACCTTGTTCACAAGACAGCAACGCACATATTGGATGAACATGGGAGGTGCCTACGGCCCAACCGAGTAGGTGAACTGTTTATCTCGGCACCAGGACTGCTGAACACGGATAAAGTTGTGACGGATCAGGACGGAGGGCCCGTGCATGGTGACGACGTGGTCGGCACAGGGCTTCAGGCGTGGAGGAGAGAGGACGGGGCGATTCAGCTGTGGGGGGAGTCAGAAATGATCAACCCGCCAGGCGTCGACGATAAGGCACGGACTGACGGACTGGAGACTACTGTACAGGGAGAATACGAGCGGCATATAATGGAAATGAAAAGAGGTAGGTTTAATTAATGACAAATGATAATCCTCCACTTTCACGCATCAGCGTGTTCAACATGCGCCCTTATCCCTGATAATATATATACTGACAACGATGCACTAAACATACATGGCATGAATGTTGGTTTTAACGTCGTTCATTTTAGCATCTACATTACCTTTTTAATGTATATAAACTTTTGTGATGGCCCCCCTCCCCAACATGGTAGGATACTGTATGTGCATATTGAAAACCTGAAAACACTATTGTAATAAACACTAAGATTACATTACACACATGTCCATAATTAGTTTAATATTTACCTTGCTCGTGAATATTATTTACAGGGGGAAATCGTACCCAAGAAAACATATTTGTACATTTTCTTACTGCTTAGGTACATCATTCATAAAGAAGACCGCGAAGTTTGGCGAACACAGGCGGTTTGTACGGCTCCATCTTGACCCCTCCAACCCAACACATGCCGCCATTTCCTGGGGACCGTCCAAGCAGCTACAGACGGGATCACTGCCTGTTCGGGATATCACCGGAATTCACACAGGTAAGACATGGCGAGCCCTTACCAATAATCCACTACTCATCCACTACCAGGGTGCAGATAACATACAGGATATTATACAAGCTAACTACCTGGTGACCATGGGTGGTAAGGTGGTCTGGGTACCGGTGGCAAGGTGGTATTGTGGTTAGGGCTGTTGCATCAGAATCCGAAGGTTCTACGATTGTTGTCTCATTGGAAAAGGAACTTTATGCATCCATTTCCTCATATGTGCCCATGTTAAAATCGGTGCCTAACTTAGGGACGTCCTTTCGGACAGGATGTAAAGCTGGATGTCTCGTGTTTGAGGAGACTCTAACAAACGTCAAACAAGCACGTTAAAGACCCCACCACACGTATCGAAAAGAGCAGGGGCCCTACCTGGTGTGAGTGGTTCAACCCTTACAGACCAGACTGTAAGGTTTGGACCACTGAACCATATGTCGTAGCTTATTGGACAACACTTAATAATGCTACGCATTTTGCTACCAAAGGGGAGTCTACCTTGGCCGTGTTCACCACCAAGAGAACGTACCACTTTAAGACCACTGATGCGGAGAAGTTAGAGCTGTGGACAGACGGACTGCAGCATCTCCAAGCGGCATTGCAATGACTGGGCAAACTTCACTAATTGATTCACACACTCAGGCTCATACATCATACATTAATACATAGCAACATTACTGGTCAAAGATATTCTCGCTACGACTTAAATGTAAACAACAAAATGGAAATAATCTTGACTTGTGTATGATACTGATTACGAGACAAAATACCTCACAGCATATGTATTCAGCTTGTATTGATACAACATAAAGTAAAGATCCAAATCTTATTTGTCTCGCATTGACCTAGCTGTACATTCCTTGAAACACTTGAGAATTGAGAAGTAAAGTAAATCCTGTAGATTTGGGATAGTATCAACAATGTTCAGTAGTCAACAGTTACATTTATACGCTAAAGGTAAACGGTGTTTTGTTTTGAAAGGGGTCGGTTATTGAAAAGGCACAGGGATTTGGTTACAAATATTACAACGGACAATGTTACTGTTAGGGTTGTATCGTGAAGGCATGCATCGCGCAACTTAGACATATTGTATTGAAGCATTTTACATGTATGTAAGTAGCCAAAGGTGACAGTTTTATATCTTTACATATTATGAGGTTGTCAAGGTCTACGGGTGCCTTACGGTCGTCAATGAAAGCAAAGGTTCACAATAAACAGATACATGTCATCTCTTGAATTTCTGTTCCTTCACATGAGTTAATTAATCATTAATGATAAGATTTGTACATTTCTTTGTAACAACATCGTAATATAATAATCGTTCACAACCTTAAACAAGCTTAAAATTAACAATCTCTTATTAAACAATTCAAGGATTGTGACCCTCGTTCAAATACGTGGCCTGTGTTGACCTTTAACCTCTTGACCTTTAACCTCGTCAGTAGCTGAAGAAACATGGCGTCTGCAAGCATCCACGCTTCGACACTTGTAAGTCGTGTGTATCGGTTTAAAAATCCTTCCTGTTACTAACTTAAGGTTCTAAAACTTTTTCGATAAGTTTTTTCTAAACCCAATGGTCAAGCGAGTGACTCGATAGAGTCCTCCGCTTGAGCATTGGGGTTAGAAAAAACTTCAGTTCAGTTTTGTTACATGTCATTTCAGTTTTGTTACATTTGTGTGCAAAAGGACGATGGAGTCGTCCGGCTAGTTGGCAGCTGGGCGCTGCCCTTGGTGCTGAAGGCACCAGCCGTACATGTATGGGATGTTAGAAAGAGTGTTGTCGCTGACGGGACAGACTTTTGGTGGTCCTTTTTTTTTTTCTAAATGCCGTCCTGCAAGTTTCTTTCATGTTTCGAGATTCCTCCAAATAGCCGGCAGCTGGGCGCTGTCCTTGGTGCTGAAGACACCAGCTGTACCTGTATGGGATGTTAGAAAGAGTGTTGTCGCTGACGAGACAGAGTTTTGGTGGTCCAATTTTTTTCTAAATGCCGTCCTACAAGTTTCTTTCATGTTTCTGTTGGTTGTTAAGTGCAATTATGATATTCTATTTTACACGGATCTTTTGTTGCCCCCAAAAATCAGCCACCAGAAATGCTGCGTCCGAGACAAAGAAATCGCTAATCTAGGATGCTCGATGTCAGGACAATTGTGGAGACAAAAAACACCACACAAACTACCCTAGCCTGATATATGGGCAAAAGAAACGACAATGAAAATCAATTGGCCATGATCAAATTCTACGGCTGTTTATTTCAAATATAACTTTTAGCTAACGAGAACACAAGTGAAAGAAATAAAACTATAGTCTTTAATGTCTAAACATAAATATAGAGAGCAGTTGTTTCCTAATCCTAGACCATATTGCATTGTTTCAGCATCGCTTGACCTATTGTAGTAGGTTGACAAAATCCCTACTGACTATGTTTCAGCAACTGTGACTACAAGATCAAATTTACGTTGACATATTGTAGATCTAAAACTAAAACAACACTAGCGAGAAATACAACGATGCCTTTCCATGTAACATAACATTCAGATGAATACAGTTTCGCCTGTTTGACATTTAAAAAATTACCATGGACACATATCCTCTAGATCTATTGACGAATGCAGCTTTGTACAAGCACGTTGGAAATGATTTAAAAAATGGTGATAAAACATTCCGATAATATTGTCACAACATAGTAGTCATAAGCTCTTAGATGAAGCTACACATAGTCATAAGCTCTTCATGAAGTTATATACATATCTATATATGTCAAAAGGAAAGAGGGTGTACAGATATCTATATATGTCAAAAGGAAAGAGGGTGTACAGATATTGAGGTATATGTAACTGCCAACGGGCCTTAGAGGCCATATCGCCACCCGGGCGATAAACTTCTTTACGTGTCAAACGTCTTCTTCTGTTATATTCACAAAGTTGATACAATCTGTTGGTTACAATATAAGTGGTTATGCCACATCCGAAAATTTTTATACTTTAAAACATTTGCCTATATAGTCTAAGGCACAAAGTTGTTTTCGACATTGAATCATCTGTCCTGTAGTACATTTCGCATTGTCTTCAGCAGAGATGTTGGTCTCATACAATATTTATTTTGGTACAAATATAAAATTCTACGTATTAAAAGTGTGCAACCCTGTATCAAACTAAAGTACCAAATGCAGAAGTGATATGTTTATACTAAATATGGAAACAAAAATTGAAATGCATAATTCTTATCAAACTGCATGAAATAAAAAAAAAATCTCCATACATTTTACATGACATTCACGAAACAGTGTATCTATGAAAAGACATGAAATACATACATAATAAAAACATTGAAGACCAGTGTGTCGAAAAATCTAGGTGAGTAAACGTAAAACCACTTGTGTTGGGACAAAAGTTTTAACTTTAAATATCTAATTGCTAACTACCAACACAGACGACCTTTCAGGATGGACAGATATTTCTATGTTAATCTCAGTACGTCAGTTTTGACCCTCCCGGTGCCCGAGTGTCAATCATGACGGCATGAGAGGCGTAGTCACCGTTGTGACCAACCATAGGCGGCTTTATCATTGTATCCTCGCTGTGCGGTGGAAGAACTTCGTCATCAGACCTGAACGATAAACAATAGCAACAAAGCATTATAGTCCTTGTCGATGAAAAAAGTGTTTGTTCTAGGGAAGAGAACAAAATGGTAGAAAACGACGTAAGGTAAAATTGGTGCAGAATAATGTCTGCGTCTTCAGGAAATCACGTTTTATCAGTGAATTATGATGAAACATTTGAAGCCATTTTTAATATTGCTATTTCTATGCCACAGCTCAAATAAGTAACAAATTGTGATAAATAGGCTAATGATCCGAAGTATAGAAATGGCAAGGACTGGCGACATCGCATAGAAAAAAGAAAGAGAACAAGAAGCAAAGACATTGCAGGAGTCACACCGTGACCATGTTATTTCTTAAGGATACTGAAAATATAAAGAGTTTGCCAGTCTGGCAGACTCTTCAAGTGCTTCAAGTTGTTAGTGGTTGCCATGCTAACCACACATATTGAGGCGAAAGTACATGTATGAGTATATTGCATTTACATAGCTGATACTGGCCAGCTGCAGTTTGAATTTTGCGAATAAAACACAACGCTCAGCCAACACCACGACAAAAGCGCGTACATTCAAACACCAGTCTTACCGGTTCACGTTATTCCCCAGCATCATGAACATTTGAAGCCTCGCTGATGAATAACAGAACAGTAAGAATGATTTTGTGTGATTTTGTGATGTGCGTGCTATCATTGGATCAACGTTCAAAATCACAAGATTAGACAGAAAATAAACATTGGCTATGATATGCGACTACATGTAAATTGAAGCCGCTTCATCATCAGAATCATATCATATGAACGGAAGAAAAGAATCACATCAATGACAGCAAGTGATCTCAAATGACAGCATTAGTTATCTATATGTGGTTACATTGTAGACTAGAAAGGTGCCATACCTGTAAGCGTCGTTATAATGTACGCTGCTGTACGCCTCATCACGGGGCTTGTAGCTAGATCTTGCTCTGGGTATTCTGTGTGGTGCATAGAAACAACATGTCAGCAAACGGCAAATACATTTTCAAGATATAATGTTAAGATACAATATGAGCACCATATAGGCCACACGGATAACGAAAAACAAGGATTGTGTTCTTGGGTGGTTTTGCTTTACTTCACTTTACATTGCTTTTATAAGAAGAAGTATGATAAGTCATGAAAACTTGTTCACACAGATATTAACATACATATGTGGGAGTGTGTGATGTCTACTCACTTGTAACTTTCCGTCGGTATCGCACCTGCAGATATGTTTCTGCAAACAGACAAAATAAAAAAATGTCATGAGGCTTGCCAAGGGAATGTGTGTTTAAAGTCATGAGTCCGTAACAGAATTATGTGTAGAAGCTGGAATGATAACCTATTCATATCGCAAGAAATATGTTATCAATTGGATCACATCCGCTACGGACGTAATATTTTCAAGGAGAAATGAAGAAATTCTTATCGAATGGCAGAAAAAACACTGTCGCTCTCCCAAACTGTACTTCTGTAATTGGCAGCTGATTAATTTAGCATATTTTCGGATATGAAATTATATAAATTATTTTGAGTCACTTTAACCACAATGGCTGCCTAACCATAGCAAGGTATTCAATTTGTTCTAAGTGCATCAATATAGTCTGGGATAGTTTTAATTCCCTGTATTTAAATGTTACGCCAAATATACAATACATATACATGTAGCACATCCACAGGATACTCTGTACGTATGTCTCAAATACATCCTAAATTCTCAATGCATAGTCATCATTATTCATGTCATCAAGGCAGAACCAAATAGACAATCACAAACATGCAGCTTATAGGGATCTCAGAATTGACTGACAGCAATGATTCTACTTGGGTCATGATTTTATGTTTAGTAAATATTGATTTGGGTATGGGTATTGGGTACTCATTAGGGGTTTATAAGTCGTACATGAATGGACGACATGTCTTGTTGGAAGAACAGTGCGTTTCCTACCTTCCATCTACGTTGCTCCAAGCGGAGTGATCTTTAGTGAAGCGTGCAGATCTGCTGCAGGGAAACATAACATGCGTTTCCCTCATGCAATGACTAAGCTACTTAGACCTTAGGCCAGGCTTTGTTTGTTAATAGCTTCATAGAAGAAAGCCTATTGCTTTTATCTATCTATCTATCGTTAGTACTATTATTTACTCTTATTATAATTATCAGTATACGGCATTGGAGACCAATATTATATCATCACAGAGATTGTTTTTCATAAAATTGGAAGTTCTTAATTGGTACAAAAGGTCTCGTCATAATAGCTAGAGTAGTAGTAGAAGTAGAGGTTTTTCCAGACAGATTGTTACCTGTCTCCTGTTTCTGTATACTTGACTGTACATGCAATTAGCCTTCGGGCATGATTTTGCAAATAAACAATATAATTATTGTTGTATTTAGTTATGAAATTACGTCATCAATAAGTCACTTGTGTGAGTCAATTGGATGATTTAGTCATTGTTAGTTATTGTTATTAAGTAAACAATCACGATAGCAAACCGGGAATTAGGTAGCTTATCAGCCAAATAATTGATAAAGTTTAAAATTATCAAGAAAGTTTTTTTTCTATTTACTTTATAAAGGGTTTCAAATATAAGCCGTTATAAGGCAACTTTCAATCTTTTTAAATGTGAACTGATTAGTTCATCGCTGTTATGTGCAAACACAAATGAAAAGCTGACAAGTAACGAAGACCCCTCCTCAATGCAATTAACATATGTAGCTTGCTTGGACATATCGCTTTTGTCCGTATGTTTCCAAAATAAATGTCTTTTTACTTTCAAGTCATTCAATGCAGCTAGTTTATTTCATGTAGATACTTTTAGAATGCTGCAGAATTGCACATGTATATGTGCATTGTAAGTGTCTGGCTGCCGAATACTCCACATTTTACTCGCTTGCAACATGCCATGAGAAGCTTTCTGTCACTATGCATACAAAGTTATAAAGTCGACTGCCATACCTTTTCTTAGTCTTCCTGGACCTGGCCACACTCAGTCCTATGATCGCCATCAGAAGCAGCACGGCTCCTGCAGATGACCCTCCTACTATAGCGTACAGCTGCCAGTCCTCCAACCCTACCGGGCTGGTGGTAACCTGCCCGACTGTGCTGGTTGTCTGCCCGGCTGTGACAGTTGTGCCTGCCGCTGGTGTTACTGGAACTGCTACCTCTGCGAAAGAAGAAATATGAGGTGAAATGCTTAAAAGACTATGGTCTTAGCTTATGTCCAAATATACAAGGCTAATGAATGAAACAAATATAGGAAAACACAATTAAAATGAAATATGATAGACTTACATATAACGAAATATGATGAACTTAATAAATATGCAAGAAACAGGAATATATTTTAGAGGAACATCGCCCAAAAGTATTCTATAATAAGTCATTTAAGTATTCTCTAAGACGTACTTTTCTTTCATTTCATATATATATAAGTTTGCGAATCTATACTTACCCCCTATTAGTCCTATCCTCAGAGCTGGCTCGGCGGAGAAGTTTGTCGGTTTGATCCTAAGAGCTTGAGTCTCGATCGGGTTGGCAAGTGTCTGGTTGACGATTGCGTTACCGTCATTGTTTCCCTCGAATACCTGTGAAAAAAATCAGAAAGAAAGGGATGGATGCTATGGATGATCATGAATGCTTGAAAAGGCAAGAGGTATGCAAATTCCATATGCAAGACAAAGTACAGGTACATGTAGATGTATATACTTCACACTAAAAGTCAATATATATGTTGAGAGAGCTAGATGGTAAATGGAATGATGTTTTCTTATTTATATTCATTTATATACTAGAATTTTTCATACTTGGTTTATTGTACACTTTCGGAAATGAACTGCAAGTGATGAGAAATCTATTCAAGGAAATATAAATGAAGACAGAAACTTAGACAATGTATTACCTTGACTGTTCCGTTCTCCATGTAGTCGACAAAGTTGCCACCAGATTGTCGTCTTCTTCTTCCTGCCTGGGTAACTTGTTGATATTGAAGCGTGTATGATGAGACGTACCCATTTTCGAAACCCTGCGTCTGAATAGTGGTCACCGTTGTTACTTCTCCTAGGTCTACTTGTAAAAATGGGTCTGTATCATTTGGTGGGAATTTCCATGCGCTGTCGCCTCCTATTCTACCATTGAATCCTTCAAATCCCTCTATGAACGATGATTGAGTTATCTGATCGTTAGAGATGATGTTGATATCGTCTAGGCCTAGGGACTGAGTGACAATAACAACGTTAACTGCCTGGGTTGTGGTCGCTGGTCTGGTTGTAACAGCAGCTTGTTCTGTGGTGGGCACTGCGGCACTTGTTGGGCTCGATGTAGAGACTGCTGGAGCTGCGGTTGAAACAGCTGGCGCCGCGGTAGAGACTGCCGGTAGTGCGGTAGAAGCAGATTGCGTCGTGGTTGGAGCAGATGGTGTCGACGCTGAAGCAGATGGCGTTGGGGTTAAAGCAGATGGCGTCGTGCCGGATGCTGTCGATGCTGAGGTAGATTGATCAGCTGTCGTGGCTATTGTTGCTTCAGCACTGGTTGAAACCTGATCCACTACTGATGTTGTTATTCCAAATCCCTCTGTTGTCACTCTATCAGTAGAACTAATGGCAACTGTAAAGATGGTGGTATCTGCCGAATCTGTTGTGTCCGGCTGTGCCATGGTTGACGGTTCCTCTGTCGTTACAACCTGACCTTGTGTTGACGTTAATGTGATCGTTGTCATGTCATCAGTTGTAGAAATTGACGAAGGGCTGGATGATAATTGAGACTGTGTTTGTGACTCGGTGCTTGCTTCTGCGTCTGTGGGGAACATCGATGTTTGTGGTGTAGAAACGCCCGCTGTCGGTGAAGCGACGCTCGGTCCCGATGGTGGTTCTGAGGTGGAGGGCAGCTCTGTCGATGACACTACTGAGTCTTCCGTGGTCGTGTCTTCAATGCTGAAAGTGAACGTTGTCTGTGGCCCTTCTGTCACATCTTCAGCAGTGGATGCACCTCTTGTTGTGGTTTCAGTTGTCGTTTCCGCTGGAGCGAGGGTTGTTGATGGTCCCACAGTCATTGATTCTGAACTAGTCAACAAATCTGTTGTTGATGTTAGTTCCTCAATCATGGTGGATTCTTCAATGGTTGTTGTTGCTAAAGTGGCTTCAGAGCTTGATGACGTTGAGGGCTGTGTTGGAACAGGTGGAGTCGTTACTGGGGGGCTTGTTGTCACAAGTGGAGTTGTTACCGGGGGACGTTGTTGTCACGATTGAGGTCGTGGTCTCCAGTGGAGTTGTAACAGGGGAGCTTGTTGTGGGGGAGCACTGGAATGTAGCAGCCAAATCAAGTCTGTCAGTTTCATCACAACGTTTTACAACTGATGATGACGTACTTCGCTCTATAACAAGTATGTAAAGGTACATCATCAGGTAACAGCTATGGTATAAGTTGAACGAAAACATAATGGTGCTAGAAAGTATTCAGTTTTGATATATCAGTGACACATTCAGAATCTCATGCTTTCTTCGAGTCAATTTTCTCAATGCAAATCATTGATCTCTTTACACCATTATTCCTGTTGATGAAATAAATACGATTTTAACACTTACCTTCAACCCCAAGTAACTCTATCCTCAGTCTCGGAGCGCCGGAGAAATTTTGAGGCTGGACGAGGATATACTGGGCGTAGATGTACGAGGTGAAGTTTTGTTGGACGATAGTTTCGTTGTCACTGTTACCGGTGAAGATCTGAGGAAAATACATGATTTCTGTTTTTTATCTAGATAATTAGCAACTACACTAGGATGTGGAACAATTTCTATATAGATATTACTGCAGGTAACCCATTATGTAAATACCTTCCTAGGTAGTGTTCGTTCTACGTTCCAAAATAGGCAACGCATTACGAAGGCAAGGAAAAATACTTTGACTGTCTAGTAGAAATGATACGAATTGAAGGGACTGATGTATCTCTTGTCATCTTGATGCCTTTTTCTTGTCTTCTGTATCATTTTTAGCCGAAGAAGCTATAGTTTAGCATTGTACTTGGAAAGAAGAACAAGCGAGAAGAATAATGTTAACAATGACAACGTTTACCTTGGCGCCCACACCATCTTCCGAGTAGCCAATCAGTGGTGATGAGCTGTCCGTCCGGTATGAGATCCTGAACGTCTCGACGTAGCCATCTCCCTGTCCCTGGGTTTGAATACCGAAAACGTAATACTTTTTCCCTAGGTCCACGGCCAGGAGCGTCTGTGTGTCTTGCCCAGACGGCTGCCAGGCTCCATCGCCGTTCAAGCG